ATAATATGCACATGTCAAAATGTGTAAAACACTATAACTGTTCTTATGGCGTTCTCTGAATTCTCATACTTTACAAACACTTTTCATTATAATTTGCACTATGTTTAAGATTAATAAATTCTAAGTTTTATTACCAAACAGTTATTACAGATCCCTGCTGTTGTAAGAATAAAGACAATTCTGTATGCACAGCGTATCTGACGTTCGAGATGGCCATGAAGAGGCAGGCATAGCTAGGTCCCATATTGGTGCTCATAGAGAGGCCGTTGATCTGGCTGAAATAGTGGCCATTGAACTCGAAAGAGTTGAGAGTGAGCACTAATTCGGCCAGATGTATAAAAGAGTCATGGCTTTAGCAGGACTGACTATGTTGTAGAAAGAACAGCAAATCTGGAGACCATTGGAATGTGGAAAAGATGTGTAGAGGGAGGTAATATATGGTATCTGGAAGGAGAGGTGAGCTAAATCGATTGAAAGACACAGATAGCATGATTGGTGTCCTTGACAAAAGACGGGAGACCGACGACCAGGGGCTGCAATATACGGTCGAGGAACTCAAATATGAGTTCTGTGAAACAGGCGCAGTCGGACAGAATCGGCCTGCCTAGGTTGTCAGGTTTATGTATCTTGGGAAGCAGATAGAAGGCAGGCTTTCCCAGACAACTATCCTCAACAAACAGTTAGCCCAGGCAGATAGAAGATCTTCCTTGATTAAAGTTGTGACAGTGCTTTTAACTGTTGTATTTTTTTTTCACCTTGCCATCCTTGTCTAGGGTTTGTAAAACGATGTGTCAGTAAGTTGTTTGTTCTCTTCCTGCACATATAAATCTTTTCTCCAGACCACTATGCCCCTCCCTTATCAGCAGGTTTAATGACAATATGATCATGATGTTTTAGTCATGTGAGTGTCTGAAGCTCTTGAGGCGAGAGGCTGGAGTTAAGTTGTTTTGAGTTGAGTCAAGAATTGACATCACAGCACTCTGGGCATTCCCATGCATGCTCCGTCTTCATCTTCATTAGCCAGCGCAGAGTTCCAGTACTGATGGTACTGGTCACAATCTGGTTATATGTCCATCTTGCCTATCCTCTGAGTGTAGTGAGCCAGCCAGACCCTCTAGTTACACCAAGGTACTTCAATCTCTCTAGGCCATAATAGTCTTGTTCTCCTATTGATTCCGTTGCTTGTTCCCAAAGGGCCTTGACCATATCTGCCTTGTCATGGATCAGTTCACCACCCAGTAGTGCAGATCCAGCCAATCTGTCTGCCTGTTATTACCTATTACACCGGCATGGCCTGGACAAAAGATCAAAAGTATGCTCACTGCCAAAGACCTTCCCAGTGAAGCTTGCCACTCTGCTCTAAGCATTCCTGTCTTCACCTTTCTCAGCATGCTTTCAGAGTCTGTTACAATTACAACATGTGTATGCATCTTGTTCTCTAGCCACCGGAGAGCTGCAGTTGCCGCCTCCAGTTTTATTCTTATGCTAGATGTTGTGGTGTCATATGCTAGGCTGTCTTGCACCAAAGATTTTCCTCTGGCTTTCGCTAGGAACCCTCAGGCACTTCTCTTTCCTCTCAACATTGAACCATCTGTATAGATAATCAGATCACCCACTTTTCATCTGGTACTCTGACCCACTCCTCTCCTTGCCTAATGTTCTCCAGCATGAATATGTGTCTTATTGTGTCTTCTGCTTCAGCCATCCATGACTTTCCCCTTTTCAGCCTCTGACCCTTACCTGCAGCCAAAGCTTCATACAGAGGGTGTTCTTTGTCTGCAGCTACTCTGAGGTATGACTTTGCCTGCAGCACCTTTAGCCTATCTGCAATAGTCGGCAATGCAAGGATGTATTGCATGCAAAAAATCAGGGTGTCTCTTGTACAACCCAGGATCAGCCGCATAGCTTCATCATTTTGTATGCGCTCCAGTTTCTCTAGCTGACTCTTCGAGATAGTGAGTAACCCCAATCCATAATTCAATCATTGAGATGATTAAGTACTGGTAAAGTGTGAACAGCATTCTCTACTCCATGTCCATTGCTGCCATAATCTTTATCGCATTAAGACCTTTTCTGAGCCCTTGTCTCAACCCCTCTATGTGATGCTTGAAAGACAAACTTCTGTCAAAGGTGATTCTCAGGTACCGCAGTCTGCTGTGCCTTTTGATGTCCCTGCCACATAAGCTCTAAAAATCCTGTTGTCCAAAGAACATCACAGGACCGTTGCCTTTTTTGGGTTGATTACAGCACTTATCTCTGTACACCTTATCTACTGTCGCCTTCAGCTAATTGATTCTGATCTTTCCCCTTCCTATATACGAGAACACATCATTTGCAAATGTCAACATTCTGCCAACTCCAAGTGTTTCTAGGTATGCAATCTTGCTCGTAAAAACACTAAACAGTACAGGTGACATTGCAGATCCCTGTGGCAGTCCTGGAGCTATAATGGATGGTTCAGAGGTCCGTGAACCCAGGCAGAGAGCTTCCTGGCAAGTTTACAAAACGGCTGCTATCCAGTTCACCAACCAAGGACAAACTTCCTTCTCCAAAAGTGATCATCAAGATACTGTATCTGACTCTGTTGTAAGTGTCTTCTAAAGCAGGTGCCGCTGCCACTGTTTCCTGTTTGTTCTGAAAACCTTTGATGAGATCAAAGGCAAAAGTGGCTGCATTTTACCATGTGTCTTTCTCTGGCTGGTAATTTCATAATCCTCGTGGAAGAAGATTTCTTTGTTCCAAAAATTCTTGTAGCTTACCCACCACTATCTTCTCCAGGACTTTACCAAAGGTGTTTTGTAGGGTTGTGATCCTAAAGCCACTGAGTGTTGAATGATTCTTCCCAGGCTCAGGAAGTGGAATCAGATAGCTGTGCATCCACTCTTCTGGGACTGAAGCTGTCCTAATGCTCTGGTTGAAACAAGTAGTAATCTCCACCAGGTCTGCATCACTCATATCTTTCATGTGGGAATATCTTACCCCATCAGGCCTGGGTATAGTGTCAGAACATGTTTAACATCTTCCACCTGTATGATTCTTCATAATGTTTGTTCTTTAACCCTACCAGACGTGAGGCCCAGAACCTAACTGTCCCCTATAGCTGAGCTCCTGGACATTAAGGCTAAAAAACTAACATGATATACAAAAATATTAGCAAACAAGAAGAATAAGATGAAACTTGGAGACATTGTAGAAAATAGGTTTATCTTTTATCTAGCACTAATATTCCACCTTTGTGTGCCAATCCACTCAGGAGGATCAGGACTGTTTTACATAGTGAGCACGAAATGTTGCTGTTTGAGGGACACGCCACCCTTCTCTTACTACCGATCTATTTCTAGATTTATGATTTTCAAAATTCTCCTCATTATTCGAGCTGAATGTGTCTCTATAACTGTGAACGTATTCCTCATGAAATTATGACCCCCCACAATCTGAATAAACCAAAGTATCGATTACCTGTTGGACTGTGAAAAGCCTAGACCTACTTTAGTCGATTCATCAGCTGCTCGTTTTATTGTATATTATCAGAATTTTTCACGTTAAACAATAAATTTAATCCAAACACATGCCGGTGGACATCTAGAAAGACTATCCACGAGATGTGATTACGACTGGCTAGTTATTTTTAGTCTGTGACACATCTTTTTCACGTACTACACAAATGGCAAAAATTAGGGATAGCGGTATAGCGTCAGGTTAAGAAATTCCCGAAAAATCGGGTCAGCAGTCTCGTAGGATTAAGGTGGCTGTCAGACTTTCTCTAACTGTATCTTTGTTATCTCCATCATTGTGGTCTGAAGGTTGGAGTGCCTGGGAGGTTTAAATTTCAATTTGTTAATCTCAGAGTTTTCTCAGTGTATAGATACAAAGCTCTATATGCCCCAGGGCTAGGAATCCAGGAAGAAGTGGGTTTTGGAAACCAGACAGTAAAGTCAGTGGACACAGGCGCTCTCTCGGGTCGAGTGCTGTGGTCATATAGTAACCTCAGCCTGGGATCAAATGTGTTAGTTTTGTGGTGTTCTCTAGCAACAGGATTGTTAGAACTCATGTCCCAAGTCTCATGATAGATTGTAGAAATATCAACAGAGAGAAAGCAAACTGAAATATCTTGGAATCACATCTGAAAGGAGCCTGTCTTTTGAGGACCATGTGGAAACAGTTGTGACGGGATGGCAAAAAGGACTCCATGCACTTAAGACTACGGCATACAGCAGAGAATGCTTTCCACGCTATATCAGCACTTTGTCCTCTCAGTGATTCATTATGGGTTAGGACTGCTCACTGTCTGAAAGAGTCACCTGGTGAAACTAGAGTGCATACAGAATGCAGCTTTGGGGGTCATTCTAGACTGTTTTTAGAGACACCCCGGTGGAGTGTATGGGATAAATTCTTGGTTTGCTGACTGTTGCAGGTGGGCTCAATGTGCTGTAGGTGAAGTCATACATCAGAGTAGCCAAAGACACAGATTAACGAAGCGCTGGATGCAGTGAAGGGTCTGTGGCTGATAAGAGGGAAGTCATGGATGCTCAGGTGGAGGACACAATTAGACAGGCTTGCTTCCTGGAAAACATTAGGAGAGGAGAGTAGGGGACAGTGCCAGCGGAACAGTCAGGTATGTGAGATCATTCATAATCACATTGAGCCGGGAGTTCAGGGAATGGTTAGCTAATGCGTCAGAGGTGGAAATTCAGCAATTAATTTAGTTTAGTGTTAAGAGGCAAAAGAAGTGCCAGGGGTTCTTAGCTACAGCTAATAGTTGACGTTTGGGGAAAAAAGGGAGGAAGAAAAGAAGAAGAAGAAGGAGAAGGAGTAGAAGAAGAAGAAAAGGAAGATATTTAACAGACTGACAAGATAAAGGACAACATATATCAGAGGTAAGAATTCTTAAAAAACCACAAGTTGATCAAATGACATTCAACTCATTGAAAAACATGTCATGGCACAATCAGCTGAGCAATGGTACAAACTGAAGATAGTTAAGCTACTTTCACTTTCTGTCATAATAAGTCCAGCACATGACTGTGATCAAGCTTGAAAGTGGAAGTCTCCCATGTTATTCCATTCCCAATGGGATCGTGTGTTGATGGAAACAGTATGTGTCTTATAAATGACCTGGAAAGATGAAACAAGCATTTTATCACAAGCAGGCAATTAAGAATATATATATATATATACACACACACACACTGTACTGGAGAATTAATATATTCTCAGAGTAATAAATTACATTTCACCATTTCTCTAATGCTGTTTACTGACACAGGTGGATGATTCTCAAACTTTGAGTTACCCAGTAGTTTATTAAACATGATGCCATGGAGTTTTATTTTGAAATGTACAAAGTTGTCCTGGTAGTTCTTACAAGTGTTGTGGCTGTCTTCACATTAACAATGAATCACTCTTATCTGACATCAGCAGCACTAGTAGATATGCCTGCAAGCAGTTTTTCTTGTTTTAATGTTTTTGATATTTTTGTTTTCAAAATCCTTGACTATGAAGTGATTTGTGAGGATTATCATCACAGAACTCTGGACAGATCCATAGGTGCTCAGATGTCCTAGTCAAAAGCTCTATAACTGTAAAACAACTATTTATGCCCGTTCTGTGTTGATTAATCAAACGACTTTTCCCCTTAGTGAAATGTTCATTTCTTGCAGCTCCAGGTTGCACCCCCATGTCCATCAGCCTAGACCCTTTGCCTTGTGCCATATCTGTCTTCATGGTAAGCATTGTGCATGGCATTGATGACATGGTTTCTGTCCAGTACTGGACAGCCAGAGCAACTGCAGTGTCTTCAGGGTACTCTGCATGCTCGTTGCCTCGAACACCCATAATACCTGGCACAAACACAAAGACTAGGCCAGCCACTTACAAAGTGCTTAGTGTTGCAATTTCTTCTTGACTAAGGAACCCAGCCTGGATTTTTTTAAGCACATTCATGAGTCACTAAGTATGCATCCACGTGTGAACTTTATTATAATGAGTTACTGTGGAGCCTATGGAGAGCAACATAATCTTGACAAAGAACTAACTCTGCAGCATATTAAAATTTTTTTTAAATGGTATATGTCAGAATAAGTAGACTTATTTTGGTGAAGCTGATGATGGAAACCTGATGGCTACTGTGCCTGCTTACTAACAGCTGCCTGCATTCAATCCTCAGCAGTGGCAGGATTTGTTTTCCTGATCAGTACAGCTCTGGATTTAACTCAGCATCATAAAATACAGTCATATTCTCATGTGGATTTAAGCACCTCAAAAAAAAAAAAAAATGGACCTACTGCCTCCCTAACAACCATGTTGTAAAAGGTGACAAATTAGGGACTTTTCCTCCAAATTCATAGCGCATTTGCCTGAGTAGCAAGGAACCATCAGTCTACATACAAGTAAGCCAGATCTGTAAAATATATGTGCGAGATCGAGTGAATAAAGATACTATCAGACAGATTATGTGAACAGCACTTTGTACTAGGTCACTGAAAAACATCAGATCAAGTTGTTTGGCCATCCCATTAAAATAAAGGAACTTCAAATACAATGATAGGCACCACACATCAGAAGATCAGCTACAAGAGCAAGAGGATGGTGAGGAAAATATTGATCGACAACATTAAAGACACTTTATGCCTTTATGTTACGACAATAGCCAGTACCAGTCAATCTGCACTATATTGCAAATTATTCCTCCACATGACGCTTAATGGCAGAAGTGGATGATGATGATGATGACATAATTTTGTTTAAGGTTTAAGGGAATTATTTCAATTCAATTCTCTGCTCTATGTGTTGCTGTGTCAACAGTTATAAGAGAAAGAAGATAGCATCTGAGATAAAGCAGATTATGAATCACAAAACAGGCAATAAAATGGGAAACAAATAGACTGAGGAAGCCAGGAAGTCCACGACAAAAACTGATGACCAGAAGTGCTTTACTTGATTCCATTATTATACTCAGAGGATAGCACAGGACAGAAAGGGATGTACAAATAAACAGCAAGACCTAATTAATGTTAAATGGTACAACAGAATAATGATGATATAAGAGGATAAAAAATACGATGATATTCGGCTTCCCTTTGTTTCCTTTTTTTTAATAGTAATAATGAAGAATGAGGAAAATAAGATGAGCACTGACCTGTTTTTATTTAATCCCAGGAATAACTTCCAGTTCTTTATGATACCAAAATCATAAGGGTTTCTGAAAATCTGAAATGTAATAATAGCATTTATGTTAACCATAATTTTGGAAATTACTACAGTAAATGCTAAAATCTCTAACTGCACAGGATAATATGCTGAAAACGTTAAAGAAAATGTCTCTATATAATACCTTATACACCTCATTGTCTGTGACGTGGTAATGTATAGTTGGTGAGGTTGCTGTCTCTTTACAATAGCTCTATAATACCTCACTGTCTGTGATATGGTAATAGATAGTTGGTGAGGCTGCTGTCTCTATATAATACCTCTATAATACCTCACTGTCTGTGACATGATTATGGATAGTATGTGAGGTCACTGTCTCTGAATAATACCTCTATAATACCTTACTGTCTGTGACATGATTATCATTAGTATGTGAGGTTGCTGTCTCTATATAATACCTCTATAATACCTCTCTGTCTGTGACATGATTATGGATAGTATGTGAGGTTGCTGTCTCTATATAATACCTCTATAATACCTCATTGTCTAAGACCTAGTAATGTATAGTTGGTGAGGTTGTTGTCTCTATATAATACCTTTATTAATACCTCATTGTCTGTGACATGGCAAAGGATAGTTGGTGAGGTTGTTGTCTCTATATAGAACTTTAAAACTTTTTTTCTCTCTGCAACTGACATCTTGTAATTAAACCATATCCACATTGATGGAAAGCAAGGGACAACTAGAGTTTTAAATGATTCTTTGTAAACCAAACTTCTCAACATTCTGGACCTTATAAATTCCTGTGTAGATTATGAAGCCCCATTGTGTTGGGAGGGGGAGAAGAGGACCCCCAAATTAGCATGTCGTAAGAGGCAACTAATAAGGGGTGTTTCCTTGAAAGTCAGAGTGCATGTGTCTGAGAGGCAAGAAACCAACAGTCTGCATACAAATAAGCCAGATCTGTAAAATAGATGTGCAGGCAAAACACAAGTTCTAGAACAAGACCGAAGTCCAGAAGTGGAAAACTACCAAAACTCTCCACTGGAGTTTACAGCTGGTGAACAGGAAAAAGCAGAAGAAACACTTTAATGGGAGCTCCAGTGGAATCACCATGTTCAGTCTGAGGCATCATGTGCTACAAGTGCTACGCAATCATCACCATGTAACTATGTGAATATCCTACCATAAAAATGGTTTACGATACTGTTGCATGGAATGTAAATTAAAATTTTGTGAGCATGCATCTTCCCTGTAGCAACATATGGATGTGAGTTGTGGACTATCTCCCAGTCCTTAGGTAAGCAAATAGGGGCTTTCAAGTTGAAATGCTATAGAAAGATACTCAGAATACCATGGACAAGGAAAGAGAAGAAATACTGACGTTGTTAAAAGATCTGAACATCAAGGAAGATTGGCTAATAAACAGCATCTTGCCTCAGAGGCTGAAATATTTTGGTCATATAAAGCGCCAGGTATGGGAAAATATATTAGCAGAAGGCATAGTACCAGGAAGGAGGGGCAGGGGCCAACTAACATAAAGATGGGCACAGGATAAAAGTTACTCCTTGAGTACGAAAGTGCATGAGGTGAGAGATCTGACTAGAGATCAAGTTTCTTTCAGGCAGACCATGATTAGAGCAACGTTCTGCAAAGGACCTGCTACATGATGATGATGGAATGTAGAAGATGTATACAAAATGTTTAGCTGGAAAACATAAAAAACCAGTGGATAGAATGAATAATATATTAGGTATCGGTGAAATATGATAGCCAGGTGTGGGAATTTTAGATTAACAAAGTGCACTGATAGTTGAACATTTTTAACAATTAGTCTCAGTCATGGCATCATTAGTAAAATTGAATGGCAAACCTACTAATGTGAGGACCAATGCTAGTGCAGTAGCCATGAACTGTGCAGGTTAAGATCTTTCTTATCACTGCCCTTGACAGAACAAAATCTCCATAACCTTACCAACTGGCACTGGATGGGTGATATGGTCAACATCATGCCTGCCGCCTTTACTTCCTAGGACTTTATGTGGTACCCATTTAAGGCTGGGTTCAAACTCAATGTGAATTCAAAATCAAGAACTCTGGCTGGCTGGCGGTCATCTAGCTGTATACCACAGTGGCTCCCAGTAGTTAATGTTAATGTTTCAGAGATACAAAAGATCAATGAACAAAATTAATGGCATAGAGTGCAAGGAAGACTGTATGATTTAACTAAAAAAACTAATTTAACCCCAAAAAAAAACTGCTTACCTTATTTTTCTTTTTCAAACGAGCTCTCTCTTTGTTATTGATATGCTGTTCAATGCTTGTCTGCCCCTCAGAGATCAGCCGAGCATGCCACACAGCCAGCAGACTCAAGGCCACTGTCACGCCCGCACACAGGAGGAATTGTAGGATGATTGCATTATGGAGCAACTGATCTTCCAAAGTTGCTTTAATTTCTGACTCAGTTGTCTGACCCAGGAAGATGTCTTTGTTTGGATCTAACAGTTTGAGGGTAGTAACATTCATTCCTAGATTATCCTGGAAAACATATATAAATAGCAATATACAGAGGAAGTCAAAAAGTAGGTCACAAACGGTTGTTTTGAAAAAAAATTAAAACATAATGTTAATAACAATTTGAAAACCGTGTATTTTTACACAAACACTATCCCTTTATTTTTCAGCATAATTTCCATCAACATGGATGCACTTGTCCCATCATTTTATCAGTCCTCCTCAACCTGCTGCATATGTTTTAATGAGGCGTGCTCTGTTTTCTAAACCACATTTTCACTTCAAATTCAACTTCTGCCTCATTAACAAAATGTCTCCTGCCAAGGGTTTTTTTCACACTCATCCCCTTGTGGGATGAAATTTTTAGTTATTTTAAAGCCCCACCCTGGCTTTTGCCAGAGCCCCAAATATAGCCAGGTCTTAAATTTGGCCTATCGGCTGAACAGGGTTTCCGGGACCTCTCCATGGGTGATCCTCATCCGCATAGTGTTACTTTGTGTCACCGGGTGTTTATCGCTTGTGTGATGTCCTTTTGGGGTAAAACTTACCTACCTACCATCCCGCCAAGGTGGGTTTTCAGTGGACCAAAAAAGTGGAAATCACTAAGGGCTAAGTCGGAGCTGTAAGGTGGATATTCCAGAAGTTCCCACTCTAGATGGTTACTTTTCTCCTGAGTTAACCGAGCCGTATGTGGTCTGGCATTGTAAAGAAGAAGTAGTACTCCTTTTGTCAGTGGGCCTGGATGTTTTCTTTGAATTGCACCATGAAGCATCAATAGAACTTTACCGTATGGATCAGCTTTCACATAGTTACCTTTTTTTTATATAAATTGCTTAAAAGCACTCCTTGACAATCACAGAACACAGTCAGCAGAACATTCCCTGTTGATGGCATAACTTGAATCTTTGAAGAGGGATGTTTCCAGGAAAGAGAGTGTTAAATATTACATAGAATCTGTTCTGCTGTATGGTAGCCAATCTTCGAATGTCAGTGAACAGATTAAGAAGAATTTGGAAGCAACAGTGATGTGGTTTCCAAGGCGAATGTTGCAAATATCTTGGACGGCCAGAAAAACTAACAATGATTGTTTGAAAGAAGCTAATGAAAGTAGATCTCTATATACAACAATAAGAAAGAGACAAACACTGTTCTTTGGCCATGTAATTAAAAGAGAGACATTGGAGAACATCGTGACACTGGAAAGATCAGTGGAAAAAGAAGTAGAGGCAGACCAAGAGAGATGACGCTGGATGGGTTGAAATGATAGTATGGAGGGATATCATCAAGAGAGCTGTTCCAGGCAACCAGGGATCGTGATCTGTGGAGATGCATGAGCGCCTACACCAGTTGGCAGGGCACATGATGATGATGATGTTTCCATTGCATTGAAGCATAATTTGATTCAGGCTGGTAGCACTGCACCCATGATTTGTCCCCAGTTATAATCTCGTTCAGCATGTCTTCTCCTTCATCTGCCAATCAGCATAGATGCTGCAAGGACAGGCCTAATCAGTTTATTTTGTGTTCTTCCGTCAATTGTCCAGGTACCCACTTGAGTACACTTTCTTAAATTTCAATCGATCATGCATTATGTTGAATGCCGAACCACTTGAGCACCTTATTGCAGCTGCTACAGAGTCAACCGTTACGTGTCTGTCACCTCTAATCATTTCCTACACCCACTGCATGGATGTGTCTGTTGCAATCTCAACAGGATGACCAGATCAGACTTCATCAACAATTTTAAAGCGTCTTTGAGAAAACAATTTTACCCCGCCATGCACTGCTTAATGAGATAAACATTTTTAGCATAAACAGGAAGCATTTCCTTACAAATGTACTTTGCAGGCAGCCTTTTTGACTTTCCCTCATAAAATATTCAGATATATCTTCTGCAATGTGTTAATGAGGCCCATAGTTAAAAGTTACTTGTGAATCCTTTACAAGACATTGCAGAACCAACCCCAGCATATTTCTAGCTGTTTGTGATTTAAATAGGTAGTGTTTCATGTTCGGCGATTTGCCTATGATTCTGAACGTCAGCTCTTTACACCACTGTCAAAACTAAATCATGAAAGATTGCTGCCAAACTGCCTGCAGCTGGGATCCAATCAGGCACCTCAGCACTATTAAGTGTCTTCGCAATGGCTAAGCCACAGATGCTGACACTGAGGCTCATTAGGCAAGGGAAAAAATAACCTTATCATGCACATCATGAGAGATAACCAAACAGGGTTAGTGTGAGGCTGACTACCTCATCCCACAGACAACTTTGGTTGTAAAATCCAAAGAATCATGTGTAAAAAAAGTATTACTGCATGTAGAATGAGGGACTATGCTCCACTGCGTTAAACAACAAAAGATAAAAGTAAAAATTTCCCTAATTTTTTTTTCATGATATTTTTATAAGTAGTATCAAATGCAAGCTTGTTCTGAGAAGCATACTTCTTCAAAATTTCCATTCAAATACATTTATACAAGACTAACCTCACTATCACTGGTCCAAACGTGGTAGGCTATGTTGATCGGGAAGAAAAATGCTGGCACTATCAACTCCTGTAAAAGATATCAGAAAGACAATAATAGAAATTATCACTAAATAAATTTTCAAAATGTTTATTAAAAAAAAAAAAAAATTCATGTAAATCTACAATAAATATTAGCAAAAATAATAAATGGATAACAACTTTCTATATAGCATTTATATAATACAGATCACCATACCTCAGATGTAATCTTTACAATGCCTAAATATATTTAGTTTATCCTATTGTTAATGGAGGACATAAGCATGTTATGTTAACCAGTCTGTGTTGAGTGCAAAAGGGGATGAGGCAGGGGTGTATTCTCTCACCATACCTTTTCAATATATATGCAGAAAATATAATGAGAAATGTCAAAAATGACCAGACTTGTGACAGTTATGATTCGCTCAAAATTGAAAATGTCACAAACTTTGAATATCTAGGTTTTATAAAAAAACAGCAATGGAGACTGTTTGACAGAAATTAAAAGAAGGATGGCCATAGCAATGCAAAGATTAAACAGCCTTAAAATTGTTTGTTTTCAGCACCAGCAAAGAGATCAAAACTAGAATTTTGAGAGCATGCATCTTCCCCGTGGCTACATACGGATGTGAGTCGAAGACTATCTTTCAGTCCTTAAGAAAGAGAAAAGTGGCTTTTGAGCTGAAATGCTATAGAAAAATTCTCCGAATATCTTGGACAAAGAAGAGGAGAAATACTGACATCTTGAAAGATCTGAACATCAAGGAAGATTGGCTAATAAACAGCATCCTGTCTCAAAAGCTGAAATATTTTGGTCATATCAAGCGCCACAATGGACTGGAAAAAATTATAGCAGAAGGCATGGTACCAGGGAGGAGGGGGAGGAGCCGACCGACACGAAGATGGGCACAGGATATAAGTGACTCCTTGAGTATTAAAGCACATGAGGTGGGAGAACTGGCGAGAGACTGAGTTTCGTACAGGCAGACCGTAATTAGAGCGATGTTCTGCAAAGGACCTGCTACATGATGATGATGAATATCAAAAATTGGACTACGGACACGTTATGATGTTAATACCAGCCTTGCTGGTATTATCCAATATGGTGCCAGATGCAAGATTCATCATCCTACATTCATCATCATCCTATTAATGTATTATCTTTGCAGAATGTTCAGCTAGCTCCATACAGAATACAAATAATCAAGACAGTGCTAAAGTCAAATCCCAGCACACTGTCATTTATTATTGTATAATGAGATCTTCTTCCTCTTCAGCATCCCAAACCGTTGGGGTTAATTTTGCAGATATCACCTGCCTAAATACATCACTGTAATTAGCCTTCTCTCTCCCTTTAGTGACTCCAGGTGTTTATAGGCATGTCTTTACATTATTGTACATTTTGCATTATAAAAAAACGAACTAGTCTCTACAATGGAAATTAGCTGCAGTGGATACATACATTAACTGTTGTTCTGGGAATATCAGGTTGTGAGGCTTCAATCTATTTAAAGGTCCGGCTCTCAGATCCCTGTCTAAAAGCCTTATGAATGGTCTTTTTCTAAACTGCCCTCTGTCACATATCACTCCTGTCGCGTGCCTGATGTAAGGATTTCTCCTTCAGAACCAACAGCACTCAGAGATAATTATGTTGAGTCGTTTGGCTCGTATTGGTCTAAGGGATTCCCCGTGGCCAATATACGATCAACTTATCTCTGGAGTAGGGCAACTCAAGTATTGGCACTACAAAATATGTCAGTATATGAATACAATATTTCTAGGCACACTTGGCTGGACACCCCCACTACTTACTAAAGAAAGCCCCCAGGTTATGATAGGTCATTATCATAACCATGTTAACACATATAATGAAGATACATACACACACAACTGCTAAACACTTAAAAAGGTGAAATAGAGAAACCTAAGTCAGCCATGAAAATGAATGCATGTAATCAGTAATATATATATACATTAAAAATATAGAGAAGCAGATGCCAGATTTCTATAGCTGGATTCCAGGATACAATGTCTAGATCACCAAAATTACACAGACAGAAGGTCCTGGAGATGACACATTGTCATCATAGGAAAACATAGGAGCTGTGATGTAAAAAAGCACATGAAGCCTCAAACTTAGCTTCCTCTTCCTGTCTATGATGCCTCCCTCCGCTCCGGATGATTCGACTCTCTTTGACTCTGGTAATTCTGCTCCACTGGATCAAGTAGTCAGAGAGTACCTCACCATAGAGGACACAATACTGCACTGGTACTTAGCAAGTCTCTATCACCAAGTAGAATACACACTGTCTTTGAGCTACCCTAAGCTCTAGCACTGGTAAGCTGTTTGAGGTACAATCTCCCACATGTTGGAGATGTCAGGAACCTTCACAGGTGTTAGCTGGTGGGTAGGTGGTTTATGGTTTATGGGTTTATGGTTGGTTGATGGTTGGTGGGTGTTGGTTGGACTGTGAAACTTCTGCCAGCTCCTCACAAAGGATTCATCCCAAGCAAATGCAAAAACTGAAACATTCCAGATCGCCTTGAAAATTGAAATTATACAGGCATAGATTGACACGTCTGGACGCTTGGAGCCGGCAAGAGAGAATAGCGTCACTTAGACACCTCAGGCGTTGGTAAAAAAAAGAAGTCCCTAGTATACATGGGCAAGGAGTGCATCGGTTTCCACGAAACCTCAATTAATTCCTCTAATATATATCAAAGATATATACATTTAAAAGTGGAGTTTAGTTAAAGTAACCAGAAAAGGTAGACATAATAATGTTGTCCAATAAAGGCCTATATATATAGATATAATGGACTATATCTTTCCGGGCGAGTCCAAGTTTGAATTTTGTGAAGATTTACAGGTAAGTTAGGTTACCAGTCTTACAGACTGATGCGTAATGGCTTAGCATTTCACGACACCCACCACAGAAATTGAACAGGGGCAAATCAAGGGATGTGAAATGCATTCACTAACTTATAAAAATCTATTTGAAAAAAATTATTTAAAAATAGCAAACAAACAAAAACATTACCTTGTTTCCAAAAAAGTGCTGCTTAAACACATCATAGCCTGCAATGCTTACATACAGTGTGCCAAGCCACATATAGCATATAAACTGGAAAAAGTACCGATGATTGTATAATCCCACACAGTTATTCAGCCATGCTCGTACGAGTGAAGGAATTTTTTTCAAAGAAATTATGAATAATTAATAAAATAATTATGAATCACAAATCACAGACTGTAGGTGAGACTTCAAGTTAAAATGTTAATAGCTAAGAATAGTGTGAGATAACTGAGACTAGGACAAATCAAAGAAGCTAGTAATTTAAAAAACAAATTCCAATAAATATCACAAATTTATTTAATAATTAATAATTAATTAAAGAAAATGAAAAATGAAATCATAAAAACTACTATAATTTAAAGATACTATAATTTAAAGATGTGGGCAGGCAGGACATGAATAAATACAAATACAGAGAACAAAATGCCATGGATTGCATCCCAAGGAGAGGGAAATTAGGAACATAATAGGAATACTGATAATAGAGAAAAGGACTGTAGACAGGTTAAGAGCTGTGCATTTGAGAATAAACATGTCAAATAAATGCGGTGGCAAACTTAGTCCTGAAATTTGATGCACTCATTGTGAAAGAGTTTTAAAAAAACATGAGCTGGTTTTAAAAGTCAGATTTGCCATCACCATCGGCTGTGATTCTTATGCCTTCCTATGTCACAATGAAACACTATCATTAATAAAGAAAGATGGAAAGGTGCCAGCAAATGGAAATAATTATAAATCTCAAAATGAATCACCAATAAACAACAGTTATTTACAACTGTCAATCTGACCTAGTCAGTCATAATAAAATTGAAAATATATTTCCATTTCACTGTGACAAAACAAAAGGCAGCACAGAAGGATACCACTGTAACTTAGCACACATGTCATAACAGGCAACTAAGGAGGATTGGAAAGAGACTGACTACCTCATCCCATAAAAAATGTTAGCTTCAAAGTCCCACTAATCATGAACAAGTCTACAAGAGGCTTAGTATGTGTTTTTTTTTAAGAGTCTAAGATCCATTAGGAGATGACATGTTGAAGATAAAGTGAGAGAGAGAGAGAGAGAGAGAGAGAGAGAGAGAGAGAGAGAGAGAGAGAGAGAGAGAGAGAGAGAGAGAGAGAGAGAGAGAGAGTCAGAGAGAAAAAAGAGAGAGAGAGAGAGAGAGAGAGAGAGAGAGAGAGAGAGAGAGAGACACACACACACACACACCCACCAACCCACCACCACACACACAAAAACAGACCTGTCTTAAGAGGCGACTAATTATGACTGTCTAAAGTCAGACTGCATCTACCTGAAAAGTAAGGAACCAACAGTTTGTATATAAATAAGTCAGATGTGTAAAACATGTGCACACGTAAAATTGAAGTTTTGAAAGAACATTCGGCTGGAGTTTACAGCCACTAAACACAAAAAAGAAGAAGAAGAAATTAGCAACATAAATGTCAAACGACCAAATTAAAGCAATAAATATCACTATTTAAAATGCACTGCATTACTATAAACTATACTTCGTCTAAGGATACGGCAATGGTGGTCCATCTTGAGAATGCATGTACCACATACAGTACAATGATGGGTGCGAGGTGGTTTAGGAGCAATACACTTTTTGCATATTGATACCACTTCTGGCACATTCTACATTGAGAGGAAGAAACCAAATTTCAATATTCAATTTCAGTGTGTAAAAAATATGCTTCAGTGTACCTGCACAGAAATTTGTAAATAATTCCAAACAGTATGTCAACTCCCTCTTCTTTGTAAAGATGATGACTGCATAATTGACAGGGCTATGCATGTGTGAAATGACCTGCTACCACATACACAGCACATCAAGGTTGGCAATTAGTTTAGTAACATTTAGCTGAGACTATTAAAGGAACAGTGCAGTGTCACTGTGCAAAGCAGATAAAATGCCATGGAAATAATACATCTATTGAACATTAGGCAATGGATAGTTGGTGAAGTTGCCGTCTCTATAATTTAAAATTATACACCAGTCACACGCCCCAGCATGTGCCACTGTGCATAGCAGATAACAATGCCCACTGGCTATACCTTCGCATACTATTGGTGAACTACCAGTTGAATAGTGTGTTCTCCACTTTCATTTGCATATGCTAAAACTGAATGAACAATAGAATTAAAATGTGTAACTTGGTTTTTAAAATCTATACAGTTTAGAGTTCCATATTTTGTTCAGGCTTGCTGATGTGTGTCATAATTTATTTCTGTGTATTTCCTTCACTATCAAAATTACTACCTAAATAAGTAAACTGATCTGTTATTTTAGTTACTTTTGCCTCTAGTGTTGCATCTGCTTGATCTGTTGTCTGTCTTCAATATATTTTTTTTTTAGCAGAACAATATCATCAGTAAAATTGAGATCTTCCAACCGCGTGTTCTCCACTTAGTCAACAGCCGGTATTTCCAACACAACAGTCGTTGGTGATGTCAAACAATAGAAGAGATCAAATGCATCCCTGTTTTACTCCAGTTTCAACTTCAAACCAATCACTTAAAAATCACAAGTTCGCACTGCGTAATCTAAACCTTACTGCATTGCCTTAATAATATTTACTTTTATTTCATTAGTATGGCATTCCAAAATAAGTCAGGAGAGTTGTCTTTTTTTTTTACACTACAAGAACTTCACCTTGGTAAATGTTGAAGACTGCGTAGTGAAATACTGATTTACTGATTTCAGAATCGACAGAGCAAATGTTCTAAGGTATAACTGCTAACTGTTCCCATAGCACACTGATTATAAACTTGTCACTCTCTTTCTCTCATACTTACGCATGTTGCTTCATCTAACCTCGTGTCTCTTGTCGGCATTCATTCATAAAAAATCTTCAGAGTGTCTCCTTTGTCCAGTAAGAGTGTTCCTGTAGCTTTCACTTTTGTAGCCAGAAAAATCTTCTCTTTCATTTCCTTGTATTAAGGGATTTTCCAGGCAGTGAAGCCACATGAGTTCCTGTAATATTGTGTGCTGATTTTTGGTATCCACTCATGCGACATTTTTCCATTTGAAATGTTTGCAGTACTGACTGAGAATCAGTCAATAATTTCTCTGGTTACTCTATTTCTGCTTTTTATTCAGCCATAAACTTTCCCTTCACTCTAGCTGAAAATCCCCAGCCAGATCTTGAACTGTGATGAACAGAACCATCAGTATACATTACTGCACCATCTAGCCTTGCATTTTTATCTATCAGTTGTTGTACCTATAATTCTGAAAATCAAAGCAATACTTCCCTCAAATCTCAATAGACCCAACCGCAGATTATTGAGATTTGTGGAAGCAGCCGTTGTTAAACAGTTTAGTCCAGAATTATGCACACAAAAAGACATAGTCTTTACCTTAGATTTACCTTGGTGAAAAAGACCATTTTTTAATGTAGCTGATTCTGTGTTTCAGTTTGAATGATTAATTTATTTGCAATTGTTACTGTAGCATGCATCTGGTGAGATACAGCGATATATGCCAGGCAATACATTGTGCAATTTACTGTTTGTATCTTCTTTGTTCAAAAGTCTAATTATGCCAAACTGTTACACCTTTCTCTACATTCTCTTCCTAATGTGATAATGACCTGACAGAAACTGTGTATTCCAATCAACCAATTCCTGCCCTCTGTGAATGTGCATGGTGAAAAATTTCACTCTCTAAGCCACATAGTCAGAGTCCTTTACTTTTGCTTTACAACTATCTCAATACCACAGTCCTTTACTTTGCCTTTTGTTTTACAACAATCTCTATTTCCATGGATATTTATTTTTATTCTCTGCTCCTGTAAGTGACAATCAATAGTTGTGAACTTATTTATCATGCTAATTACAACCAGTCTATCAAAAACATTGCCAAAATATAAAAAATAGAAAAGAAACTCAAACCTGTGGTGGATGACCTGGTTTTGTAAAAGCAGCCATAAAATAATTGAAAACAATATTGACCAGTAGCCAATGTGAAAAAAAGAAATGGAATCCACACCAAAAGACATCCGTCACATAGACGATGTGGGGGAATATGCAGATGTAGAACACCATGACAACCATTGTTGTCAACAGAACAACCATTGTCACCATGATCTGAAAAAAAAAAGGCCAAATCAATGTGATGTTTATGAGAATCTTTATGAATGCAACAACTCACAACAAATTTTCAGTGTGAAAAATATTATCTTCTTCTTCTTCTTCTTCTCCTTCTTCATTGTTCACTGGCTCCTAGTTGTTTATCCATACGGGCCTGAGTTTTGCAAGTACATCTGTTTTACTGGCTTATTTGTTTGTTTGCAGTTAGTTGTTCCGTGTTGATGTACTCTCACTTCGAAGGAAGCCCCCAACTAGTCAACTTCTATGACATGCTTGTTGTGGAGGCAGTGTGTCCATTCTTGTTGTCCCCCACACTGGGGCCTCGGTACCCACACTGTGATGAAAGGTTGAGATAAGTAGGGTTTTAGTGTCATGGACTCAGAAACCTGGAGAGAATAATGCAGCAGGGAGTGCCTGCGGGCTTTGGACACCATTTGAGATTCTGGAGAAAGGCAAGAGGAGTAGTTAACCAGATGTATGGAGACTCTTCACTGGCTGTTGAGGAGTTGAGATCTGGGTTTCTACCAATGTGGAAGCTGTTTACTCAGCCTGGTCCAGAGAGAACCTGACATTTAGTAAGAAAAATGGATGAGTGATCTGTGTTTCTTTGTATGAAGATTAATAGAGTTTACTCTCTATGAGAAGAGTTGAACAATTGAAGTTAACCTCAGGCAGATAGAGTTACATGTTGTGTTGTAATGTACGACAAAGAATTTGTGTAACCACATGAAAAGCGTCAGATTTTATAGTGCTAACATGCAGCATGACCAACTGAAGTATTTGACAGATGGTGTGGAAATAGAAGCAACGATTACATTTATCATCATCATTCTGTGGTGTTTAATAAATCTTTGTGGAATATATAATTAAGCTTTATGTAGCTAGTCACCAGCCATTTTGCTGAATTTTTACAATTCCTAACCAGCGGATTGTTGTTACAGTAAATTTTGTATTTAGTTTGTTGTGAAGTCCCAGAGCTTGGGGTAAGAGACAAGATCCATCGAAGGAAGAAAATCAGGCCCTTCAACTGAGGTTTCCCTAGATCGTAGAACTTGGCGTTGGTGATCCAGCCATTTTTAAGTCGAGCAGCAGCTCTTCTAAGACATCTCCTCTCTGTTGTTATGATTGTGTGCTCATCAGTTGTAGTAAGAGTCTGTCTTTGATACTGGTAGCAAAAAGTTGGCCAAAAGAATTGTTCTTCGATTTGCCTTGGTAGACAAAGAAATGAGGACGTCTTGAAAGAAACTGACTCACAAAGTGAACTGATTGCTCCCATTGGAAAGAGATAATCTACATTTTTTGGACATGAGATGAGAAGGAGAAAACTGGAGTACACTGTGATAGTTAGAAAGTTGGAGGGGAGGAGAGGCAGAAGGAGACAGAGAAAAAAGATGCTGGACAGTGTGACATAATGACACGGGGGATCATCTGTGTCAGGATTGACTGAAAGTACACGAGACAGATGGTCGTGGATAGACATGACCACAATTGCCACACAGCACTGACTTTCAGAAAAAAGAAGAAGACAAAAGTGTCTTTCCATGTGTTTAAAAGTGATGTTAGCTGTCTCATCACTCCACAAAAATGAAAAGCAGATTACGTCAATGTTATGTCACAGTGACTGAATAGACCATAACTTTCCTATACACATGTATGAAATGCTCACAGCCAGGGCCCGATTAAGACATAGGCTTAATGTTGATGCATTAAGCAATCTTAGTAACAATATGAGCCCATGGGCAAATCAGTGTGCTGGGGCCCCCATGACAACCACTCATAGGAAAGGAATTGTTTTTTTATGGTAACTTTACATATACAGATTAACACAGGGCTCCTGTGCTTGTAGGGGTCCAAGGCAAACAAGCCTATGTGTTAAAACATCAGTGGTTCCTCCATATATTAGTAACTCAGAATATAAATAGTAATAAAATTAAATTTTATTTTTTAAAATTAAAGATTAAAAGTAATGTTTATTTTTTTTATGCTTCCACTCAATTTTCTTCTTCTTCTTCTTGTTCACCGGCTGTGAATTCCAGCGGTAAGTCACGGTTGTTCGTCCAAAATGAACTTTTGGCTTTTACCTTGACCTGAGTTTTGCGTGTACATCCGTTTTACTGGCTTATTTGTTTGCAGTACTCGTTCCCCGCCTCTCCGGCAGATGTCCTCCGACTTCGGAGGAAGACGTCAAGCCTATTTCTAGGTTGACTGTGGCCATTGTTTTGTGTGGGTCGAGATGTTGCCTTATTTGTGTGGTGTCCTCTTTGACTTTTAACAAGTGTGGCTCCCGGCATGTCGTCCTTAAGGCAGCTCTATGTAGAGTTTTCAGCCCTCAAGGGAAGGCAGAGGCAGATCATGGGCATTCCCCGCCATCCAAGGAGGCTTCCATAAATGCAGAGCCGACACATGATGCTCTGGGTCTGGGCTCACCCAAGGAATCGTCATGTCCTGCCCATGACTGCTTAACCTCACAACCGTGTATTGAGCTTCCCGCGCTACAAGGCTGCGCTCTCCGGAGATCAGCGGGGAGCAGCCCGCAGGTCTAGGACGTTTGTGGCCACACAAATAGGTACATTTTTTTTCATCTTACGTTAGACACCTTTAACGTTGTTTCAGCTGTGCCCTTAGCACGACAGAATGGGGAAGCAAAATGCGTCAGGCGTGGCTTCACCTGTTTGGTCCCAACACTCGGGCGAGTTGGACCAGTGGATACGGACATTCAGACTTTTCCTAATCGGTACGAGTTATGATCGTCGGACTTTGAGCTTGCATGTGTGCCATGGGGTGTGACTTTGTCGGACATTGTTTTCAACTATGAATAGTTGCTGCCATGGTGTACCTCAGCGCGGTGACGACGACACTGAGGATTGACAGAGGATGTACGTAGGTGGGATCTTGCTGCGAGAAGTCGCCCACAAGAGATGTTACTCGTCTTGGCTGCGGGTAAATCTCTCGGTCAGGGTTGAGTCTCAGCAGCACAGTTTTCCAATCGCTCCCGAATTTTAACCAAGAGTTGTCATTTGATGGTACATTTAGCAAGCAGTCCTTGAGTTTTGTTACTTTTCACCCATGCGTTTGGGGGCGGGCTGGTGAGAGCCAGAAAGGACTCTACACCTCTAGGGGCCGCCAGCTCCGAGATCCCCTGCCAACTCTGTTAATGCTCGTTTGAGACATTATCCGTGGCGCACGACGGGGACATGCAACAGGAGTCTTGCATGAGGTTCCGTAAAACCAGAACAGTGAAGGACTGGCGCCCGAGTGGGGTACGGAATATCTCCTTATACACATCACATCAGACTTAACTTCCCCTCATGCCTGTGACCGAAATCACCGCGCCACCCACTCAATTTATGTTTTAAAAGTTTTCTTCTAATTTTTCAACTGCACAGTCTTTGATTAGCTCCCCAGACTAAAATTATGTAACACATCTCCTTCTATTAAAAAAGAATAAGTCATCCTTCCTGCCTTGTTGTTCTGATGTAATAAATTTAAAGAATGAAAATAAACACAGCTCTAAGGCTAGTAAAAACTTCTGTGGTGCCCCTTCTCTCTGTGATGCCCTAAGCACATGCTTAGTGCGATGAATGGTTAATTTGGCCCTGTTCACAGCATGTCATATTTATGTTACAAATAGATCATATATTACCACTCCAATATAATGCGCTGTATGGTCTACAATCCAGAACATTGGTTCAAAAGCAGTGTCAATTATACTATTCCATGTTGTGAACTGATTGTAGCATAATGACATGTAGATCAGGCGGAAGGATTCCAAAAACCAACACATCTTAGCCTTGAGCCGTCTTGGACATTCAAAAACTTTCCACTGAACTTGTGCCATAACTGTTTGCAGAATAACTTAGCTGTTGCTAATTATATAACTCCACCTGTATTGACACAAAAGCAGACACATGAACAAGATGTTAGATTTATGAAATAATAACATGTTGTACAATAATAGAATGTCATGAGGTCAACTGAACCTCCTTTGAGGCAGCCTACTAAGTGCTGATCTATATTTATATAACATAGAATAAGCCCTGCATACTGAATATGCCTTAGGGCAGGGCTATTTAACAAAGTTTACTCAAAGGCAAAAATTTTATAATAGAGGTTTGAGCCCCAGCAAAGAAAGTTCATTAACACAATACAACTTGCAATGATCCACGGGCCACTTGCTAGGCCTCCGCGAGCCATTTATAGGTCTCCATGGGCAAAATCTGGCCCCCGGGCCTCCAGTCGAATAGCCCTGCATTAGGGTGTGAAAGGGATTCCTTTTACTTTATGCTGGCATTGTACTGCCATTCTTCTTTCCTTTCTAATTCTTAATCCCAAGGAATGCATCATACTTTCACCAATAACTACCTATAAAACCAATGAGTGTTTGACATGTTCCTGTTTTTTTTTTATTTACCACTGATCAGCATACAAACATGAAGTGGGCAATCTGGTAGTTCTTTCGGGTTTTATTGTATTTAGTTTATTTATGTGAAGTGCAGTCATTCAATCTGGTGAGTTTTAACACTTGAAACAATACTTTCTATGGTCTAATGAGTCACTCAGCAACTGTTTGAAAACAAATGGCTGCTCAGTCATCGTCTACACAACCACCAATGTGATTTATGGGTTTCAGAATATTCTAATTTAAATAGAACTGTGTTGTATCAGATTTATGTGAAGTTTGATGAAGAAAGCAGAGAAGCAGACTTGTCTCAGACATTTATAGAGTCAAACATTGATGTGATAAAGCTCCAGGTTTTTTTTTTCCTGGGGGTAAGTAAAGGTATGTAGTACTGGACCCTTTTTCAAATGTATCATTTTTGAGTTTTTTCAGTGCTACTGTATTAGGCACTTTGTAATGAGTACCGGCACCTTTTGTAGACACTGTGATGAATAACGGCACCTTTGATAGCTACATTAGATACTTGAAGCAAAGCATACAAAGAGGACAGCATCAGATGGCACAATGCAAATAAATAAACAGCATTTTCTTCTGTGTCAGTTCTAATCTATTCACATTATTATTTAGGAACACAGCTGTGAAAATATGTCAATCTGAGTGTTGAGAAAAGTACTTTAGGATTTAAATTACTTATTGCTTTGTTTGATGATATTCCAAAAATTTCTCTGGAACAAAATGTAAGACACAGACTGTATTTACATTTTATTTATATATTACTAAGTGGTGCATGTTCATTTGTGATTATTTTGGATTTCATCGAGTTTTTGTTCAGCACCATGGCAGTAAGTGAAACAATTATTATTTTATTTGACTGATTTATCTAAACGGGTCATCTGCTTATGCGCTCATTTTTTATTATTAACAAAATTATCTGTTGAAGCAGTATTCTAATATTAATCTGTAACATTCCCTAGTAACTTTGATGTATCATATGTTGATTCTGCACACTAACTGCAGTTGTATAGTCTGTGTTAATGGGTTACACTTGTAAAATTTCAAAATTGCATTACCACCTACTGGTTCTCCGATGTGAAATCCCCTGGTACCAAAAGAATTAAATCTTGTTCATCATATGAAAGAGTTTGTAAATCTCTGGAAAACCATTTTATCTTTCGATTGCATTTTCTTTATCCATATAGTCTCAGTGCTCAACACAGTTTTATCTATTTATTCATATAACATCCCTTGGGCAAAAACTATTGCCCATCCTATCTCTCAGGATCATGTCTTGTCTATTCATGATGACAGCATGTTAGCCAGTCTTTATATTTTGATTGTGAGTGTATGCATCAGCAAGACCTTATTACAAGCACGGATGGCTATTCTGACCAGTAGTAAACTTCAATCGTTTGGCGGCTAAGTTATTTTATGTAATTACAGGGCTTTTCTTTTTCTGGTGGTACCCAACAGCAGTGTGCAGTATCTGCTTTTTTTTTTTAAAGGCATTTTTTTAAAAACGTTTGTAATAAAGGCTTTGTGGCTAGTACCGGGACATTTTGTTTATTTACTCTGTGATGAATAAGGGCACCTTTAGTTTTAGAAAGAAAGAAAGCCCTATGAATTTGTATCATTGTCTGCGCTGTATAATGAAGGCTCTCTAGTCACAATGTTGCTTCTGTTATTCGTGACTTTTTATTAGGAAGCTGACTAGTTTTACCTCTTGTTCCGGTGGACTTTTTTCTTACTTTTAGGATTTAGAAAAGAATAAGACCTTGCATGGCTGACTACTTTCCTTGCAGGATGCTAATATCCAAAGGTATGAAAGAATAAATGAATGAATGAAGAAGTGACACCACTGCTGACATGCTAATAACACCAGTTTGTAACCCTTTGGAAATAAAGTTTGATCATTCGTTCATTAGCTGCAACCTGATCAAAAGTAGGTTAGACACCTCAGTGACCCTTGAACTTCATCCTGGATCATCATCAGTTCTCGTTATGCCTAGTGGCACATGAGGCTTCAGAGAGGACTTTCCATGCTTTCCTGTCCTGTGCAATCTTCAGTGCAGTTTTCCATGTCAAAGATTCGGCACTCAGGTCACTTTCCATCGTTTGTCTCCATGTTGTTTTTGGGCGCCCCTGTTTTCTCTTTTCCTCTGGTGTCCATGTGAGAGCTGTTTTGGCAGGTATATCAGAAGTCATTTTCATAACATGGCTAAGCCATTGCCATCTTCTCTTGGTAATCATACTGTCTAAAGTTTCTTGGTTTGTGGCTTGAAGTGGACAGCTTGTGTGCATCCTTTTTGGTCATTCTCCAGCATTTCGCTCCATAAAGAAGAACTGGCAAAATGATGCTCTTGTAGAATCGGAGTTTTGTTCATCTGCAGTAATTGTTGGATTTCCAGATTTGCCTCATCCTTCCAAAAGCAGCTCTAGCTTTGTTCAGGCGTGACTGTATCGGAAAAGCCAGCGAAACAAACGACACAAGCAACATGGCAGTTAGACGCACTCACATAACTAACATCGTTCTTGCGACGCACGACTTAGTTGCCACGGACAATTCGCCAACGATTGGGCACCAGCCGCACACTATTCGCGTCATTTCAGTGGCGCCACGCCCACAAACATCAGATTGTCGGCCAGTATTTCGAAACCCTACGTCAAAATTTTCACATCTAACTCTAACCCTAACCCTACCCCTAACTCTAACCCATACACAACCATTCACGATGCCTCACGCAACCGTACGCAACTCTGCACGCAACCATATGATGACCACGCATCCCTTCACGATGCCTCACGCAACCCTACGCAGCCCTACACGCAACCGTATGATGATAGGTAAGTGTGTCGTTTGTTTCGTTGGCTTTTCCGATCACTGTTTGCAGTGCTGCCAAGGGAGAGAACTCTGACTAAGTCGTCCAAGGCTTTTTATTCTTCGTCCGGATTTGACAGGAGAGCCGAGGATTAGGACGGGAATGAAAATGAAGAAAGCAGTGACTGCAGAAAGGATGACAGTTGAGCGTCTGAGAAGAAACAGTGAAACACATTAAATTTAAAACACATATGATGGTAACAACGGTCCTGAAATTCCATGCTGTAATTGTGAAAGACATTTTGGCACTCTTCCGAATACCGGTCCCAAATTATTCACCTTTGAAAAATCCTATTCAGGGCCTTAAGAGGTCATTTTTTAACCTTTAACAGGGCGGTTGGCACGTTGTGTTCTGGTTTACAGCTAGGCTGCAAAATATGCGCCTTTCGCTCGTTCTTGTGGTTCACAGCTAGGCTGCGATAGCGGCGGCGAGATGCTCAATGATAATGTCACGGGTAGGTAAACTTCGTTATTTTCGTTCGCCCTTGAAAGGATGGTTCTAACATTGTGTTGTGGTTTACAGCTAGGCTGCGATATCTGCACCCTTTGCCCCAAAGCATCTGATTTCAGCAGTCCTAATTAGTCGCCTTTTACAACTTTTATGTGGCAGTGGATCTATTTTTTCTTTCCCCTGAAATATTTAGCCCTGGACCCCGCAAGGGCAGTAATGGGTAATGTAAACAATGGATCAAAAATCATTCACGTCGCTTAAATGGATCGAACTCTACTCCTCCACAAGACGCTTAAACAATGGATCTAAATCTATTCTTTTCCACGTCGCTTCAATGGATCGAAAACGATTCCTCCCCACGGCGCTTAGCTTAACGTCTAAACATTTATATCCAGCCAGCAATAACGGCACAAGTGGAAACTGATCATGATGGCCTAAACGGTTTTACTACATAACCTCCTGAGGGATGTTTTCCGCAGTGAATAATTTGGGACCGGTATTCGGAAGAGTGCCGACATTTTATTTATCGCGGATGGGTGTTGTTAGACACATTCGCCATCGCCACTGGCTTATAGTCCCATGTCTTCATATAGCACAATATATATATAATAACAAACAGTGCAGTCAGTCAGTAACTATCGTCTGCAAAGACAGAAAGGTGCCAACAACATATAGATGAATGCAATCAACACAACAATAACTATAACATGTTTTTTCTTAACAGTAACATTCAAAAGAATACCAATCATAACAGCCATTTTATAGAAAAGTAAACCACAAGGTTTAACTCCAAGTCAAGCAAGGATCGGAAATCTATTGTGCGGAATTAAATTCTAAGGGTCGAAATTCTCTGAAATCGTCATGAAAAAGCAACCACCATTATCTGTTGAGTGTAAGGGCCAGATTATTTGATTTTACAATCTGCTGCCTGACTGACTGCCAGTGACTGCTGGCCAATAAGATGGCCACTGTAAACACATGTTATGTGGCTGCCGCTTGTAATAGATGCCCGTATAGCGCTGACTGGGGAAGAAACGGACTGATAATATATGGATATAGCAGAGCTGTTGCACTTTATCAGCCTGAGGTGGTTCATCTTTTCTTTTAGGAGGAAATAAACAATGTGTTTTTTTTTTTTCCGCACTGCCGACGTTGTTTTCTGAATTTCTCTCTCTCTCTGAGTGAGACTGACTCTCTCTCTCTCTCTCTCTCTATCTCTCTCTCTCTCTCTCTCTCTCTCTCTCTCTCTCTCTCTCTCTCTCTCTCTCACCCACCTCTCTCACTCACACACACACACATCTTCTTTCTATGGAGCTTAGAAATTCAGTTACAGTTAATCTGTATAGTAGTACTATTAGTACTAAATGATATATTTCGTGATATTACTGATATTTCATTGGTGATTAGGATGGAGGATATAATATTAATAAAATATTTGGTTCTCCTTTATACTACGGCCGGTTAGTCGGAGTTCAGTCCCCTGGCTACAGTGCAATTACAGAGTGGAGAAGGCACGAATCACAAAACAAAGTGCCGTCCACATGGCTGCTAGAGCTAGACCACGCGCTGCGACTCACATTAACGACCGCGTTCTTGCGACTCAAGACTTAGTGGTCGTAGATCTGTATGCCTTAATGAGTGATAAGCTTGCATGGTTGCGGTGGCTAGCTGAGCATAACCCTAACCCTAAACCTAACCGTAACCCTAACCCAAACCCTAGCCATATGATGACAGCAGGGCACTGCACGCTGTCTATCGCCAACACACAGTAATTATGTCATTTGTTTCGTTCCCTCTTTTCCACTCCGTAATTGCACTGCAGCCAAGGGACTGAACTCCGACTAACCGGCCGTAGTTTAAAGGAGAGCCAAATATATATATATGTTGCAAAAAAAAATAAATGAGACCTGTTAAAAACAAAAGACACTGCGCCGGGGCCAGAGGGAGTCCAGTATACCCATATGAAGAGCATGAGTGATGAAGACTTGAGGGAGACGGCTTTTTATTTCAATCAGAACAGCTTCAGCATCCCAGGATTGGGTACACAGCTACCTAATCCCACTTATAAAACCAGGCAAAGATTATTCCAGACTCAGCAGTTTCAGAATTATCACCCTACAAAATACTTTTGGCAAGGTGCTTGAGAAGATTATTGCTGTTAAACTATAGATGTTTTTAGCAAGGGAAAAGCTCCTTCCAAAACGTTTGGGTAGCTACCAGACACAGAAAAATACCTGGTAAAATGAAGCTACTTTTGATCTGCACTCATGGAAAAAGTGTTTTGTCCTTGGCTTGTGAACTGGATAGTCAGAAGCTGTCCTGCATTCACATATGGTAGCCCTTCGCCTGGGTACATGGACCTCAGAACAATGTAATATCACCTCGGGACTACCCCTGGGTTCTGCAATTTCACCAGTGCTCTGCAATGTGTATACAAACAAGATTGCAGAACTTGAAGCACCAGGTGTTGGAAGGATATTGATATTTGCTGATGATGTTCTTGCATATAGGCAGGGGATAAGGCAACGGATAGCCCAAGAGCTACTGGCAACTGTAGACAAAGTGTGCAGAAATGGGTGCTGTCATAAACTCAGAAAAGGCGGGCTGTTTTGTGGTGCTCTCTGGACAGTAGAATTGTAAGAGCTAATGTAGGGGTTCACAGACATGCAGTAAGTGGTCAAGAGGTTATGATATGGAGCAAAGTAAACATGGGTCGGTATTCACAGACTTGCAGTAAGTGGTCAGGTGGTTATTTTATGGAGCAAACTAAACATCGGTAGGTGTTCACAGACATGCTGATTAAACTTGAACTCATACAGAATGAAGCCATGTGGATAATTCTGTGATGTAGAAGAGATACCCCAGCCGTATGCGATAAATACTTGCTCTGACCACTATTGCAGATAGGCTCAAAGTTCTGCAAGCAAAGTCATACCTCAGAGTAGATGCAGACAAGAAGCACCTCCTGCATGAAGCCCTGGATAGAGCTAAGTGTCACAGACTGAAAAGAGGAAGGTCTTGGATGGCATAAGCTGAAGACACAATCAGACTTGTGTGGGCTTGATAAATTTGTGTGAGGTGAGAAGTGGGTCAGAGTGACCGAACAAGTTTCAGACTTGTATAGGGTTCTTATCACTTTAGGTCATGAGTGCAGGGACTGGCCAGCTGGCGCTGCTCAATCAGAAGTTCAACAAATGATTTATGATAATTCCCGCCTAAGTGATGTGATTATCTATACAGATGGCTCTGTGTTAAGGGGCAGATGAAATGCATAGGGGTTCATAGCAAAAGCGAATGGACGTCGCTTAGTGCAACAAGCCTGGCATATCATATCACAATGTCTAGTTTGAGAATGGAGGTGGAGGCAGTCACTGCTGCCTTCCGCTGGCTTGAGAATCAGCTGTACACACATTCCGTGATTGTAACTGACTCACAGAGCATGCGTTGAGCCGGTGTATTGGAAGATAGGCAGATAGACTGGTCTGTTCTGCACCCCTTGGTGGTAAATTGATGTATGACAAGTTAAAGGGCCCTCTGGGAGCGAGAGAACTGTGCAGAAGGGCAAATAGATCATCAGAGGCAGAGAAGAATGGCTCTGCAAGGAGTTGCCAGGGGATCTGGCCGACGCTTAACACTCAAGGGAAAGACATGGAGGCCTTTTATCTCCCGTTACTTGGTATAGCTATTGACTGAAGATTTAAAAATGTTCTGGAAACACTGACATTGAGTGGATGGAGAACACACAGTTGGAAGATCTCATTTTACAGATAATAGTGTTCTACTTAGTAAGAATAGCGAACTGCAAGTAAAAACACATGATTTAGCCAAAATAGTATCAAAAATTAGGCTACAGGCAAGTTATGAAAAGACAAATACATTGCAGCACCAATAACAGGTCAAGCAGATGTTATACTGGAGACAAAAAGAATTAAAGTAACAGATCAGTTTTCTTATTTAGATAGTAATCTTGATAGCCAAGGAAACACAAAGAAAGAAAGTTATGCATTGGTAAGGCGTTAGCAACTTTAAAATGCCTAAAGAAAATAAGGAAATATAAATTGTAGAGTTTTATAACCAAGTTAGGCATTTTCTTTTCAATTGTTATTTCAGTTTTAACAAAGTCAAAGTTGAAGAATCACTAAAGATATGCAACAAAAGTTAACTGCATTCGAAAAACAAATGCCTGAAAAAAAATGATGACGATAAAATAGGGTGAGTTCAAGAGGGCTGAAGAAATAAGAGAAATGTCTGGGCAACCACTGGTATCAACAGTTTTAAGACACAGAAGATGGTGCTAATAAACACATCTGAGAAAAAGAAATGAGCAGATAATCACCAAACAGGCAATAAAATGGCAAACAGGGACTGAGGAAACAAGGACGTCGAAGAGATAGAGCAAACATTGGAGAAAGAAGCCAGAGTTGCTGGACTAGATTTAATCTATGATATCAAAGTGACTGCACAAGGTAGTTCAGAAGTTAGGAAAAGACTGTGAGTTCTGTGTGACAAATAATGGTAATATATGACAATGAATGAACTGGCATGCATATGGCTTCTTTGAAACAACTGTTTGAAACATGCCATCCTCACCTCAACCAGAATACCATTTGACACTTTCATCCCTCTAAGCAACTTCAACCACCAGTTAAGTGTTAAAGCTTTCACCTTGCTGGTATTATCCAAAATGGTGCCAGATGCAAGATTTATCATCCTACTGAAAATTAATTTATTATCCTTGCAGAATATTTAGCTAGCTCCATACAGAATACAAATAATCAAGACACTGCTAAAGTCAAATCCCAGTTCACTGTTGTTTATTACTGACAAATATATCATCAGGAGCAGAGAAGAATGGCTCTGCAAGGACTTGCCAGGGGATCTGGCCAACGCTTAACACTCAAGGGAAAGACGAGATGGATATACAATCAGACAGTTACTGGTGCCATCGAAATTGGAACTCTTTGTTTGCTGCTGAAGATGGGGACGGAGCGCTTATTGAAGTGTCCTGAGTACTGTGATGTTTATTCTTAGTTCAATATTGTCAATATTCAACAGAACTGTAAAAGCTAATGTTCCATATCTAACAGTTAATAACTGTAATATCAAAAGAGAAAGCAAACTGAGGTACCTAGGTATCATTTTCAATAGAAACCCGTCCTTCAGGGATCATGGGGAGGCAGTAGCGGTGAAATGCCAAAAAGGACTCAATGCTCTCAAGATTATGGCAGCAATGGACATGGAACAAAGAATTTTATTCACGATGTTCCAGCATGTGATCCTGTCGGTGATAGATTATGGACTTAAAATGCTTACCATATCAAAGAGTCAGCTGTTGAAACTCGAACGCATACAGAATGAAGCCATGCGGGTAATTCTGGTATGTACAAGAGATACCCCGGTAGAATGTATGCGATATATACTTGCACTGCCTACTATTGCAGATAGGCTCAAAGTTCTGCAAACAGTGGTGCAGAACTGGCTTGAGAATGAGCTGTACACATTTGCCATCATTATAACTGACTCACAGAGCCAGTTGAGAAAGGTGGAGACGGGCATGCTCCATGCAGAGTGGCAAGCATCACTTTAAAGATCCTAGGTAGTTAGCATCCTTTGGATATTTTCTCCAGGTCATGACGGTGTGTTGGCAAATGAGCAGACATATAGACTGGCCAATTCTGCACGACTTGGTGGTGAACTGATGTATGAAAAGCTGGATGTTGTGAGGGTCCTTTGAGAGCCAGTGAACAGTGCCTCTGCATAGATAGATCATTACAGTCTGAGGAGAATGGCACTGCGAGTAGTTACAAGGGGATCTTGCTAAAGCTTGACACTCAGGGGAAAGGCGAGATGGATATACTTTCAGACAAGTTACTGGTACCATTGGAATTTTAACTCTTCGCTTGCTGCTGAAGGTGGGGATGGAATGCTTGTGGGGGTGTCCCAAGTGCTGTGTTGTTGATTCTTAATTCAACATTCAACATCTTTCTCTCTCACGCACATATCTTTCTCTCACTCTCTCTGACTGACTCTCTCTCTCTCTCTCTCTCTGTCTGTCACTCTCTTTAACCCTCTTGAGACAATTTTTTGGAGTTTCAGTGCCAAAAAGACTAAGCCTTTAGGAGAGGATTCTCATAATTTATACACAAAAAATTGTTTTAAAAAAGTGTTTAATTAACGTATACAAAATATATATTGGTGTAGGAAATGAAATAAACTAACTGAATATATATGAATCAAACTGAAATCTCAACATTTATTTAAATCAACTATTCTGATTTGCATAATTTATGCAATTATGTTTTTCAAATTTAGGAACAAACATGACTAACCTAAAAACTGTGGGTGAATTTTTTGATGGGTGAAGCTTGAATAAGTCCTAACACTTGTGTTTTACTAAGTAAGGCCCTTGGACACACTTCTGTCTCCAGCTGTTTTGATTGCTAATACGCAACAGTCCTTTTTGCCATTGTTGGGCACATGTAACCTCAGAAAAAAATTGATGTAAAATTACCGAACACATCAAACTTTCTCGAAAGCCATCATTGAACAGCCCACATGTGCAATAAATGCGAGAAGCAATCTGATTGGCTGGTACGAAAACCTACCAGCCAGTCTCAAGGCCTGTATTACATAGGGCTGACCAATCAGCCCAGTCGTCCTTTTGGCTGCTTTGTGTCAGGCCGATATTTTTGCCGTGTCGTCTTCAAAGGGTCAATACATTTGATTCGCAGTGAAGTGTTTAGTCCATTTGCTTAACACTGAATATTGTTTCACAGACATGTCCAGTTCATCAGTGTAGTTTTTATGCAGATATGTCATGCAGAGATACCTGGGCATCATCCCTGGAGCTGTAGGATTTGTGCTTTGTGTGAAACTGAAGTAGATCCTTTCCACTATATTAAAAGTGTTTACTTTTTTCATACACTTAGGGCCAGAGTGTTGCTGGAGGAGTATGTGCAACATTTGTAGGAAATACTGATCGAGTTAACTGTGTGTCTTGGGTCAGAAACAGATTGGAAGGTATTAAAGTACAGTTACATTATGTATTTTCTGTGTGTGTTACTTGTTTTGGCTTGTTAACATTGATTGTGAGAAAAAGACACTTGCTCTGGATATAGGACACAGTGAAAAGACACTGTAACAGTATAGCTAACTAGGACTTTTTTCTGGAAGCCACAGGGCAAATGAAATAATAGAGAAACCTAAATATAGTTTTTTTTAAATGAGCTTTGGAGTTACAATGTAGAAGCATGTCTACTATAGGAGACATTAGCCCAGAGCCATCTTTCACACTGCCAGGTAAAAAAAAAAAGTCTAATCAAGGACCCTCTTAAACCTTTAAGCACAGGCCAATCAGCAGTCAGTGGGTGATGTGGTAGACATGCAGGCCATCTTTACTTGGTACCCATTTTAGGCTGGGTCGAACATACTACCATAGTCACATGACATTTTATTAAACCAAGCTAGCAAGAAAGGATGTCACCCCGGTCTCACAATACAAAGATGAAGAATATATGCAGGCATAAGATGATTTTATGTCTGCGATTCTTCATATTTTTCTTGCGAGACAGGGGTCTCTTTCTTCTTCTTTGTTCACCGCCTTTAAGCTCTAGCGGACAGTCCTGGTTGTTTGTCCATTTGGACTTTGGCTTTATGTCAGGGCCTGATTTTTGTGAGCGCATCCATTTTGGTTGTTCCTTGTCACTCAGGCCAATGCACTCTGACTTTGAAGGAAGCTCCCAATTAGTCATTTCTTACGACATGCTTGTTGGGGAGGCAGTGGGTGAATTCTTGTTTTCCCCACAATGGGGCCACAGATCCCACACGGAGATGAAACAGGAATGACATCTTCCTTCCTAGCTTTTGTTTTTTCTTTCTCAGGAAAATCTTGTGCGGTTGTTTTAGGAATCAACAGTTTTCATGAGCTACTTATTCTGGATCACTGCTGGTAGGCTAGTAAACTGGCCACCATGGATTGTTTGAAGACTTCAATGTTAGAAACTACATTCTCATGTTTGCTGTTTGTATTTGTATAGCTGGCATGTTTCTACAAGGTGAGTCTGGAATTCTTCATCTTCTTACTGTTCACCGGCTGTAAACCCTGGTTCAAATCGTTCGTCCTCTTCTGGACTAAGTCTTATCCAGAATTTGAGTTATGTGTTAGCATTCGTTTTACAGATCTGGTTTATTTATATGCAGACTGTTGGTTCCTCGTCTCTCAGGCAGATGCACTCCAACTTTGAAAGAAATACCCTAATTAATCGCCTTGTGTGACAAGCTTGTCAGGGAGGCAGTGGGTTTGTCTCCCCCACCCCCCTCCCCCCCCCCCCCCCCTCCCACAGGAAGGTTTGGTATTAAAATAGCTGTTGCAAAAATCAGCTTTTCTATTTTACAGATGAAACTGAATTTGTCTCAGGATCAGTTGATGGTGGAGTTTGTATATGGCGGTTAAATAATGACAAGGTGAGAATTTTTTTTTTAAACGCTATTATTCTAGTGTTCTGTTGAGTGTTCTACATGCTAATATTTCAGAACCAGATTTTTTTAAATGTGAGAGTTAACTCTTTGAGTTCCAGGGAATGCACCACACGCTGATTTGTTACAACTGCGCATGACAAATGAAGGTTTTTAATCTATCAGTGACCGGTTGTTAAAACGCGGACCGCTAAATTTTAACTTCCTTTTGAGTTCTTTGTGTCTGACATCAGGCGTGCTCATTTGTAAACGTTGGGTGGAAAGCCGAAAAATATAGTATATTTGTGAGATTTGCCAAGTTACTAAGTGTTTGTTTGAAAAGAATATAGCCGCCAAGCAGTATTCTACGTCCATGCCAACATGATTTATGGCCATAGAAGCCTAAAATTTAAATAAAGTGTGTGTGTTTTTTGTTTTTGGGAGTCAGTTTTCTTTGCCAAATAATGGTGCTCTGTTATGATGCTTCAAAAGATTCTCTGGAACAAAATCTAATGTATAGATTGAGTTTATATTTTACTTACACATTACTAAGTGGCTCATATTCATTTGTGATTCATTTTGGATACATTTTAACCAGTTTTTCTTGAGTGCCGTGGTGGCAAGTGGAAATTTTTAAATTTTATTTTACTAATTTTTGTAAACATATCGTCTGTTTATTACTAATATTTAATTACTGTTGCAATTATTTGTTGTAGCTGTATTCTAAAATTATTCCTCAACAATCCCTGGTCACATTGATGGATAATATATGTATGTTGCGAGATAATTGAATTAGTATGGTCTATTTTAATGTGTTTAATATTTCAGAATCACATTTGTTTTTAATGTGGGTAGGTTAATATTTAAGATACGCATTATTTCTAGGAAGTAATATTTATTTCCCCCCAGAAGTGAATTTTGAAGAAATACAGTGTTAGCAATTAAGACTCATGTTTTTGCAATCATCAGATCTTTTTTTTTTAGCATAATTACTTTCTTAAAGATAATTTTGTGGAGGCTGTTTATAACAGTGCTGCTGTATTTGATTTTTTTCAACCAACTAAATAACTTCTTTTCTGAATTTTTGACAGTTATCTTCCGCAGATCAGTTTACACTTTTATAATTAGTTATTCATTATGTTCAGGAAAATATTGGTGATATTCAATGCTGATTGGGAAAAATAAACAGACTGTCAACTAGGTTGCCAATGGCATCATTAGCATAGGACATTTTAATTTGCTACTAAAGAAGACCCCGGCGGCGTCTGTGGCTGAGGCGTTGTGAGTCCGACTCGTAATTCCAACGTACCACGATCGAAACCCACTGCTGGCTGCGTGGATTTTAATCATGGTATGGGGCTTCGCAGGTAGACCCAGCCTTAAATGGGTACCAGGTTGTATGTCCTGGGAAAGTAAAGACGGCCGGCGTAATGCTGACCCCATTACAAACCTAGTGCTGATTGGTCTGCATAAATGTGGGTGCTTTTCCCATATGCCCAATGCGCCTAAGGCGTAAAAAGGGATCTTTACTTTCTTTACTAAAGAAGACCTAGATTTATGCGAGTGTCCCAAATATAAAGCAGCTTAGTTATAAGAAATTAAGGCGAAACACTAATACTAAAAAAAAAATTATCTGTCTTGACTTTTAATCTATCCCCTTACACATGTGTTGAGTAGTTGATCATGTTTCCAAGATGGAGGGTGTCCTTAAGTAATGAATGAAAATCTCCTACAGTTATGTTTTCTATTACAATAATTTCAGACAAGTACTGAACCCCTGTGTACTCTGAAAGGACATGAAGGTTCTGTAATTTGTGTGTCAGCATGTACTGTACCCAGAAGTGGCAGCTCTACAAGTGAGACAGTGGAAACATTAATTGTAACTGCTTCAGCGGATTCTACTGTTCGGATCTGGAGCAAAGTAAACAATGGTAGATGTTTACAGACATGCAGTAAGTGGTCGAGAGGTTACGGTATGGAGCTAAGTAAACAGGGGTAGATGTTCACAGACATGTAGTAAGTGGTCAAGAGATTATGGTATGGAGCTAAGTAAACATGGGTAGATGTTCACAGACATGCAGTAAGTGGTCAAGATGTTATGGTATGGAGCTAAGTAAACAGGGGTAGATGTTCACAGACATGCAGTAAGTGGTCAAGATGTTATGGTATGGAGCTAAGTAAACAGGGGTAGATGTTCACAGACGCAGTAAGTGGTCAAGAGGTTATGGTATGGAGCTAAGTAAACAGGGGTAGATGTTCACAGGCATGCAGTAAGTGGTCAAGAGGTTATGGTATGGAGCTAAGTAAACAGGGGTATGTGTTCACAGACGTGCAGTGAGTGGTCAAGATGTTATGGTGTGGAACAACGTAAACATGGGTAGGTGTTCACAGGCATGCAGTGAGTGGCTGAGTATTTTGAATGCCCACTTGATAATCCTAGACATGGTCTATCAGATAAAGCAGAAGTTTTCTTTATGGTTAAGTTGAAAACCTAGACCCAGCCCGATATGTATTTTCAAAGATGATGGGAAAGTTCTCATTCTTTGTGTTCACCAGCTGTAAACTAGCGGATAGTCCTCGTTGTTCATCCACTTTTGGACCTTGGTGTTGTTCCGGGTGTAATGGTGCTAAATTTAAGAATAAAATAAGGGGTCTGATTGGTTACTAGAATTAGGGAAGTCGCCAGGTTACAAGTCACGGGGTTAGAGTGGAAAAGGAAGAACACGAGATATAGTGAGTTTGCTTGGGCAACACTAGGTAACCATGTAAGAATAACTGGTCATTCTTTTAGAGTGAAAGGATGAGAAACTGAATTCAGAGAACAGGTATGAACGTGGATCTGGATGAAACCCGAATGAACATTAGTCCTGGACAGCAAGGAGGGAAGCTGTGTTGAGTTACAGTTGAGGACAATAGTTGTGTTCTTTAGCCCATTGGTTGTGTCACTGTCATATACATGCTGAGAAAAGCTGTGCTACTTCTTGACAACCCACCTTTGCATTTAGCCACGGATGAAAGCTTTATGTTTTGTGATGGCCATCAGCTAAAGGGCTAGGGTATCATTGAAATGGTAACAAAAAAAGATATTGTCAGCGTCTCCTGAGTTCGTTGATATAAACGATTGATAATAGTGAAGACTTCATAAATTCTTGGACAATTATTTTAGGCCGTGAAGATCGACATTTCAACTTTGAACCGGTATGTGAAACTGAAGAGGAAGATGAACAAAGATAAACTTGTTTCATTGCCGGAAAAGTACAGGACTGTGACAATTTCAGTGCAGATGACATTACAGAATGGATGTCAAACGGTAAACTTGATGAAATAACTGACAGTTGTATTGTGAAATGTTGAAGTGATAGAAGATGATGTATTAGGACGAGGCATCCTTATATGAGTCGCCATGGCGGAGTAGCTAGACGCTCGCCGCGGATTGGAAGGTAGTGGATTCGCTTCCTGGCGGAGCCGGACTTTTTTAAAAAATGTCTTGACTCCCAGGTTGACCCAGCCTTGAGTGGGTACTGGGTGCAGTCCCAGGAAGTAATGGTGGCCAGCGTGATGCTGACCACATCACCCATCTTGTGCCAATTGGTCTATAAAATATAGGTCTAGTCCTATGTGCCCTATACGCCTAAAGGCGTGTAAAAGGGTCCTTTACTTTTTTACTTATCCTTAGATGACTGAAAAAATGTCATCCCACATTCAGAAGTGTTAAAAAGTCTGTTGAGACAGCCTGCAGTACATTAGTGAGCAGGAGGAAGCCATGGCAACTGCTATAATCTGTTTGCATAAGTTGAGAGAGATTGTATCATGGAAGAGGGCAAAATACGTGAAACATTTGTCTGTCAAGGACTTTTTCAAAAGCTAAAAACTGTAAGTTTTGGCTCTTTCATCTCAGGCAAACCTTTTCCCATTTGTATAATTATTTATGTTAACAATTTATTTATAAAAACTAGGTTTACCTAATTTTTTGAAAGTTAACCTGTGTTTTACATTAATGTTTTGCTCATTTTAAATGTGTATGTATCCATCATTTTCAGCATACTTGCTTTTTTTTTTAAGCTAGACATATATTTTTATAATAATGTGGACAATATTTTTATTTTTGGACTTCCCTTTTTCATAATAATTGTTTAAAACATACAGTACAATACATAAAAAAAAACATTTATAAAGTACTAGCCTGTACTGAGAGGTCAGAAAATATAAAAATAAAAAGAGTGGGCTTTGGTATAAAAAGGGTGTTCAATATGTGTGGGGTAGAGAAAAAATAAGAAAAAAAACAACAAAAAAAAAAAAAAAAAAAAAAAAAAAAAAAAAAGGGAAAAAAAAAGGGAAAAAAATAAAAAATTTTTTTTTTTTTTTTGGGGGGGGCCGATCACAACAACAGATTGTGACGGCCCTGTTTGTCCTGAAAAGGAACATTGTTCGTATCGACGGCGCAACGGGTGTTTGTTTGGCTTTTTCCGGCGGCTTTTAGATCGGCAACCAAGCAGCAACAGGGCACCAGCACAGCGACCAGCACGAGGCAAACCAAGCACCAGCAACAGTCAGCTAGTACCCTTCAATACCACCGCAAAGAGATCTGGAACACACCAGAACCCAAAACCGCAAACAACACAGCACAGCAAGGAAGCAAACAACAATAATATCAGGTGTGACTACACACCACAAATAAAAGGAAACCACATAAGACAGCAAAGGACCCTTCTTCGATATAGCAGGCCCTCGGGCGGCTGAAAGAGGATCAAATTTTGAATTTTTCTTGGACAACTGGCAATGGCAAGTGTGGGGTAGAAACTGGATATGAATAGAACTCTTGCATATCCAGATTTTTTTTTTTTTTTTATTCAACCTGCTCTTCTCCCACATTAAGCCAGATATTGCAGTCTACTGTACTTGTGTAAAAACTACAACTTCTCTAATATAATAAGAGAGGAAATACAGTCTGTAGAATTTGCTAAAATCAGATGCTCTCTTTTATAACACCAAGATCACAGTATATAAAACACTGATGAGACCATAAGTCTTATATGGCTCTGAAACCTGGAATTTGAAAAAAGATGAAGTCTTATTACAAGCCTTTGAGAACAGGAGTCTTAAAACAAATGTTTTTTGACCTATCAAAGATGCAAACAGCTGGGACTAGAAAGTGAGAAGCAGCAGTTAAATTTATCATCATCATCATGTAGCAGGTCCTTTGCAGAACGTCGCTCTCATCACAGTCTGCCTGTAAGAAACTCGGTCTCTTGCCAGTTCTCCCGCCTCATGAACTTTCACACTCAAGGAGTCACTTATATCCTGTGCCCATCTTCATGTCGGTCCCTGGTACAATGCCTTCTGCTATAATTTTTTCCAATCCGTCGTGGAGTTAAACTTATAATATGCTTAAATAACCAATAATTACTGGCATCATGAGGGCTAAAAGAATGTGGTGGTTGTGGCATACAGAGAGATGCTAGATAACAGAAAGAAGAAAAATGCATGCAAAAGGGTTGAATGAAAGTAGACCACAAGACAGACCAAGAAGACAGTGGAGAGATAATATGTGGGCAGATCTACAAGGTTACCAACTGGAAAAAAAGAAAATGTCCAACAGCAAGATGAATGGAGGAGGCTGTTATATGCAGCAGTTAACCTCAAGAGCTCGAAATGCTGAAAAAGAAGAGTGGGTTAATATGACAACTTTCTAGGACATAAAAAGGTAAGTTTGAAATTGTTAACTGTTCGTTGCTCTGGATTGCACAGATTTGTCCAGTATTGCTGCCTTTATGTGAAACCTTTCTGTTTGTATTCGATTCTAGAGGCTACAGAAAAACAGACACTTAATTTTGGATCAGGTTTTGCACTGACTGTAGCTGTCTTCATCATTCCAGGAACCAGTGGTATGCCTTTAAAGTGTCGATGTTTTGTTGTTGTTGTTTTATAAGAATATTTTTGTAATTATTTCTGTCTTATTGCTGCTGGGTCATCTGCTTTTGGTAGTCCGGTCCCATTGTTGGGTTTCTGAAGCTGGTACAGGTAGCTGTAGAATAAATTTGTGCACTGTGTAGTAATTATAGTTTTTCCCACCGTGAATTTTATTTGGTGAGACAATGTTATACAATTTTACTAGCACTTCAAACCCGGTATTTTGGAGTTACGGATCATGTCCATAACTCATAAGCCATAGATTCAGAAGTACAATTTTTTAAGGATAAAAAAAACTAGACTATAAACATCCTGGACAGTCCGACCCATTGGTGCTCTGTCCTGCGATGCAGCAGCTATCTCAGTGTCTCCATTATCAACGGATCCAGTAGGAGTTTATTGGCATATCTTCTTTCTTTGCCCCACAACTGGTTTATGAATGTCCTCGTTCAATACCCATTTCCAACAGGCTGTCCATCATCTCTCTCCCTTGTCTTAACGGCTCTAGAACACAGCACATTAAATATATCTGCCATACTTGCTCCTCCAATAACCACTGCAGACAAGGCCAGTCTGTCAGCTCTTTTCTTTCCTTTCACCCCGGCCTGTCCCGATGTGTACAGTAAAAATAGTTTCTTGAGGCCGGACTTCTGGGTGATGTCAGCCTATTCTAGCAGAGTTTTCCAGTTTTGGTTTTCTTAAGCATATTCATTGAGTCTGTCACTATCAGTGCATGAGTTGATTCTGTTTCGCCAGCCATACAAGTGCCCTGTGATAGCTGCTATCTCCATTGTCATACAGAGCAGACAGCTAACACTTAAACCCTAAGAATGTTTGTATATATCAGTGTAGGTCACATTTTGTGAAACAAAATTGACATCTCAGAGAAGCTGGAAATACACGACTGTTGGTGGAAATAATAATCAGAAAGGCAAATCATATAATTTGGTTACATTAAACAACCTGATATTTTTAAAAACCGCACTAGAGGGGAAAATCAAAACCCGGTGAGCAAGATGCCAAAAAGAAAACAAGGGGACACAAGTGTACAATCAAAGCTAGTGACAGAAACCATCGGAGGTAAACTGAAGCCAACTTCTTTAATGGAAATGGCACTTGATAATGAATGTATTCTTCTACTTCCTCTCGTGATCTCATCGAAGTGTTGAGAGAATTTTATATTTCATAAATATATTAGATGTATTACTATAATTCTTGAGTTGGAAAATAGTAGAAGGTCGCAGCCTATCTTTGTGTGTGTTTCTTTAGCTTCAGCTACATTATTTTGTAGCACTTCCAGTTTGTTTTTTGTTATCAATCTTTCTCTTTATTATTTTTGTGTGTAGACATTAACATTGTGGACTGCTGCTTCTTATGTGAGATCATAATCTTTTTCTTCTTCTTCACTTAATTTTTATTTGTATTTTACGTCGAGTCAGATTTTGTTTGTTTTTATTTCTGTGGGGTTAAACCCTGGCATTGATACTGGTTACAGATAATTCTTTGAGAAATGGTGAAATCCTATCATGCCATAATGTAGTATATGTATAGATCTATCACTTTACAGTCCTGCAGTAAATTTTTTACCATAAAGATCAGCAATAGAAGAGTTAGAAGCAGACTAAGAAATTATGCTGGATAGTTGAGCAAAGATTGTGGCATAAAGGAATCCCAGTGAGTTATAGTAACTTCTTAGAATATGTGAGAAAGTAAACCATTGCAACCTTTGTTGTTGACTAGTGACATGTTTGTCTGCAGTGCCTATTGTTGCTTGTGGCTGTGATGATCATAAAGTACACTTATATGTGGCTGGGGATGATGGCCAGGTAAGATCTAGTGTAACCATTTATGAATTACTGGCAGTGTTCAGTAACTCACTGACATTCTATGTTGTTTAAATAAAAGTATGGTGGTTCATTTCACTTATCTTGTCAGGTTTGCATTCTCTTCAGCCCTTTATTCCTGAATGGACCATAGACCTTTAACCAGCTCTTGCCATGTTGTCCTATAGTTTGTCATTACATGCAGCTCATTCCGTGTCATCTTTTCAACATCATTCTGTGTGGTTTATTTAGTCTGCCCTTACTCCTTTGACCCTGTGGGCTCCACTACAAGGGTATTCTAGTTATATTCAGGGTTCATAGTGGACCGGGAAACCTTGAATTTACCGGGAATTTTTTTATCCAACAAGGAACAGTGATTTTGACCGTGAATAAGACATTATGACCTTGAGAAACCATGAATTTTGACCGCCGCAAAGAGAACGTCAAAAGTCCTGTGATTTTCAGCAGTTAGGCTATTTTTGGGGGCCATTTGGCTTTTTTTTGGCTATTTGGCTAGTTTTGGCTACTTTAAGGTCGTTTCAGGTATTAGGGCACCTGATTATTGGCTATTTTCAGCCAAAATGGCTTGTTAAAAGCCAGGGGAAGGGCGGGCTGTGTTGCAGCCCATGAATACACGCGCGCGGAGTTGCATGGGGCGTCTCGCGTGTGCCTTTGTTTCTAGTGAGTCCGGCAGAATTTATAATAGTATAAATCGTTTTATGGCCGTGGTTTCTAGAAAGGATTATATTGGGAGATATTGGGGCTCGGTTTGGTTGTATTTATAAATAGTGGGTCGTGGTGGGGGCTAAGCACAGCCTTCTCTATTAATTAAAGACCGCATTGGGGCTAAGTAAAGTGACGTCAGCTGGATTTCCCAGTTCTATTTTTGGCCTGGTTTTATTTTTACAGTGTGTTTGGTGATCAGTATTGTAATTCCCCGAGATTCCCTCTTCTGTTGTTTCACCCCTCTCTCTCTTCCCTCCCTCTTTCACTCTTCTACCTATTGCTCCTTTCTTCCCGTCTCCTGCATTGTCTCTAACCCTCCCTTCTGATCTTCATCTTCTTCTCTTCCTCTCTATCTTTCCTTTTACTCTCTCATTTCCTGTTCCCCCTCCCCCTATTTTTCCTATTTTTTTTTCTTGTTTAAAAGTTTAGTAAATGTGCCGCTTCGTAACTCTTTTCCTAGCAACTCAAGTACACAGGAAGTTGTATTGGGGGGGAGGGGGTCGTTCAGCGTGAACATAGTGGATATTGTCTTTTGACGTGTTTGTTTTCTTAGCGGCCTTAAACTCTGTCCATCTCTCTTTCTGCCCCCTCACATTTTGTCCTACCTGTTCCTCACTCTCTGCCTGTCTGTCACTGCTTTCCTCTCCCTTTCTCTTTGTATTTTTCCGCTCCCCCCCCCCCCCCCCCTCTCTCTCTCTCTCTCTTTTTCTCCGTACCTTCAGTTGGCGTAGAAGGTTATGTGTTGCCTAGTGCAGAAAATTTTATGTCCACCACTCCCCCTCCCTCACACACACATTAAATATATGTGTACTTTTAAAAACACATTTGCCGTAACCCCCCCCCCCCCCCCCCCCCCCCCTTCCCCCCTTTCTCCTCCCACATTGATGACACCTAGGGGAGGGGGTGCACCCCTTCCTGCTACCTTCTTCCCTCTATATCTCATCTTATTTCTTACTCCCTTCTTTCTCTCCCTGTCTCAGTGCCCCCTTTATTTTCTTAAAGTTATTCTCTCACCTTTCTCACCTCCTCTGTCTCACCCATACCATCTCAGCCTTCTACACCACCTCCTCTCCCCCCTCCTTTCTGTAATTGGAAAACCAGAAATAAAACAAGTCCACTGATGAGCTGACCTATTTGTGTGTGTGTGGGTAATCTGCACTATTTTCCACCGGTGGTGAGTTGGGATCCCCTGGACTTTTTTCTTCATAAAATGACCTTGGCTCTCAGGTCACCAGCCTTAAGTGTAAGAAATTGAACTATTGTTGTCACAGCAGATAGGACAAGCACGGGACAGTAGGGGTTAGCACTGTTGTTTATGGACCACGGCCACATTCTCATTGGGAGAGGGTAGGAACCGGAAAAGTGGCCTCAGAGATTTCCTAATTCTATTTTTGGCGCTCAGTGTTCTTATCGCAACCCCCCCCCCCCCCCACACACACACACACACACACACACACACACACAACCGTGTCTTACCTCTCTTCTCTCACCCCTTCTCTTTCCTTTGATCTTCCACTATTCTCCTTTCTCTCTCCATTCTTCCTCTCTTTCTTTCCTTGCTCTGTTCTCTCTTGCTCTTTCTCCTGTCTCATCTCTTCTTTGTCTCCTCTCCATCCTGTCTTTTCATTTTCTCTAGATTTCCTTACCCTCTCCCCTCTCTCATTCTCTTCCCCCCCCCCCCCCCCCCGGTTCATCTAAGTACGTTTTTTGCCTCATAACTATCTTTTCCTAGTGATTGTGTCCACTACACTTGAAATTGTGTGTGGGTGGGGTTTCAGCAGGAGGCTATTTTTTTTTTTTTTTGCTGTATCTTGTCTCCCTTCCTGCCCCCCTCTCTTAATCTGTGTTTGTCACTGCCTTCCTTACCCACCTCTCTCTCTCTCTCTCTCTCTCTCTCTCTCTCTCTCTCTCTCTCTCTCTCTCTTTCTCTCTCTCTCTCTTGCTTTATGTCTGTTTGCCTCCCTTCATCACTTCCTCTTTGTATACCTCCCTCCCATTTTCCTGCTCTGCCTTTTTTCTCTTTCTTTAGTTCTCTCCCTCTGTCTGCTTGCCTCTCCATGCTGTCCCTCTTTCTCTCTCTCCTTTATGTCTACAAGTATCTCTGCTTGCATCTGCTTCTCTCCCTGTCCATTCTCTCTCCCTCTGTCTTCCTTCCTTCAACTATCTTTGTCATATTTTCCTCCTTCCATATCTCTGTTTTGTTTCCTTCTTCCTTCTTTCATCTCCCATCTCTGTATCTGCATTCCCTCTTTCTGTATTTGTCTCCCTCTCTGTCTTTCGCTGTCCCTTCCCCACTTTCCCTCATCATGTCTCCATCCCTCCCTTTCGTTTTTTCCTCCTTCCCCAGACTTCTTTTCCTTCTTTCCTCTACCTTCATCTGTCCATCTTTACACTGTCTCTCCCAGCCTTCCTCAGCATGTGTCTTCCTCCCTCTCTGCATGACTCTCTCTCTCTCTCCCCCTTACCCTTTCAGGTACCATGTCCAGAACAGACAGTGCCCTTTACCGAGCCCTAACAAAATTTTCAAACACTATATCAAGCGCAGGGGCCGACCAACACGAAGATGGGCACAGGGTATAAGTGACTCCTTGTGTATAAAAAAGTACATGAGACGGGAGAGCTGGTGAGAGGCCAATTTTTAGTTCAGGATAAAGAAAATGCTACATGATGATGATGATATATGTGCTGGTATACCAACACATGTGGCACGAATGAAGTAAATTATGTGCTCCGTACACCCTTGAACAAGGCAAAAATCTTGTTTCAGTATTACACCGAGACAACCTTGAGAAAAACTAAAGAGACCTTGAAAAGCCTTGAAATTGATGGGTAAATGGCTATGAACCCTGTATATTGTTATCAGGTTTTCACAGTGTGTATTCTCTCCGATGCCATCATCTTTTACTCACTGTTAATTAACTTAATTTGTTCAGTCTTCTCCCAAAGCTCCACATTAGTCTGGTAGTCTTAGTTTCAGCTTCATAGCAAACAGGTCACCCCATCTTTGCTCCGCTCCTGTGCAATTAAAAACACACGGAATTTTTATCACAGTCCCTTGTGGAAAGATTGACAGACTGCTGTCTCAGCATATCTAGCATACATACGCATTAAAGCATACAGTAGCCATCCTAAGTGCTAACAGTCCGGCATTAGAAATGCAGTTCATCGTTGATGGTAGCAGAAGTCACCAACAGATCAGCAGTTGCCCACGCGATCAATTTTAATCACATACGGGCACCACCAACATTGCGACGACCTGCATCGCGCCATTTTCTGAATCTACAATTCACACCATCACAGTCCGAAAAACATTCCAAATTAAATCTGCAGCTCACAGTGTCACGCCATGCATTTAACTCAGAAGCTGGGCAACGAAACTATATCCAGTCTACAAATGGAGCAAAAATGCATCAGCCACAGTCCAGCAGAAGCAAAAAATTTGCCTCGGCTCCAAACAGTGCCCCTGCCTAGCGTCTATTTTGATCAGAAGTTACATTAGTGATTCTCTCAGGTCTGCATGATTAAATCAGTATTTATTTAAAATAAATAGGTAACAAAGATTACTCAGATCTGGAGAAAATTTACAAAGACAGAAAACAGAAAAGATAATAATTGAAATTAAGTAAATAAGAATAAAAGCAGCACTGAGTAAATTAGGAAGATTAACACAAGAAAGGTGAATTATTATGACCAGTTCAATTAGAATCCTAAATACTTTTAAGTTTATTACATTGTACAAGTTTTAGTTTTACTTTATGTAAGCAATCTGAATATATTCTGTCTGTAGTATTTCAGAGTCCTTGTCTTATCTGGTCATGAAGATTGGATACGCAGTTTGAATTTCACTGTTGATGGTAAGTTTGTCTCTACATTGCAGTGAAAAATTAGGTGGATTATTTTTCAGTACAATTATAATAATGCCCTTTTTCTCAATGTCGATTAAAAAAAAAAAAACTCAGACTTATACAATTTCTTGAAACTTTGTACCAAAAGAAACTTGAACAGCTTAATATAAAACTCTGGGTTGTTGAAACCTGTGATCACTGATGAGGCAAGCTACTGTGACATCATAGATGTCAAGTGATTTAAAAAAAAGATATATTTTTATTTTATTTTTAGTAACGTTTTGTGGTAAGGTTGTTTTGTTTTTTACTGGAAGGAAGTCATCACTAAGTACAGAGAAAACATTTTACTGTTTTCCGTCCCTTTGACCATGTAAACAGTGAAATGTCAGCTTGACCACTCAGAGTTAAGTGACCTCTTCCTCTACCTTTTACAGCCCATTGAAACATTAGCCATCAGCTCACACCAAGTTGTCCCATCTTTTGCCATCTACTGTAACTCCTTCCATATCTTCCCCATTGGCATTTATGTTTTTGTTATGTGCACAGCAATATGAATGAGTATGGCCCTCAGAAGTATAGTCCATCTATTCATGTTCCTTGGTTTAGATGCAAACCTTTTTTGAGAAATATGTAAATTGAACTGCAGACCCATTTGCTGGGTTCACAGTCTCAAGGATTTGGATAGCTGTGCAATTGGGGGGGGGGGGGGGGGGGATAGTAAACTGTGGTTTATCAGAGGTAGTTGCTTTCAGTTCATCTAGCTGAGTGGGCGCATTTTTTTTAGTCTTGTGCACGTATGGACTTCTTGTGACCATTTTTAACAGTATGGTATCATTCTATGATTTCTTATGAACTGTTAGATGATTGTGGTGGATCATGAGTAGGACTAGGAGTTCTGTCTGAGTGTTTTCTGGAATAGCTTGTGTTGTTTGACCCATGTGTGTTGGGGTCGATACAGGGGCAGCTATGTTGCGTTGGTTAGCAGTGTTCTTGAGTGCACAGAGGGTGCTGAGGAACTTTTATGTTAACCAACGTGAATATGTAATAGGGAAGAATCGGAGGCTCACGAGATGTTAGTCAATGATGCTTCAGTGAGTGACAGGGATAGCTGATGGGTGGTCTGGAGTTTTCACTAAGAGGTAAATCTTATCTAGAGCCCATAGTGGTGGCGGGGTGGTTTACAGATGAGCCGTCAAGGGGCTAGTCACTGCACATCACATAGGTGTATCTGCCCAGTTGGGTGTGAATTGCCCGTAGCAGGCACTTGAGACATAGTTGGCTGGGATGTTGTCCATGTTTGGAGAGACTGCTGATGTGAGTTTGTGGAAGGCAGTAGGAGACTTGACAGTGAGCAATCAGTCACCCATTCTTCTTCGTCGCCATATGTTGTCCACAATAAAGAGACTGATCGCACTATGAAGTCTTATCTTGGCAGTACTTGTGGACATGCTAATATGTTATATGTGCCTTGATTATAGTGGTGCTCTTGTTCAGGATTGGCACTCCTTAACTCCAATTATAATCACTTTCAACGTCTGCCGTACCAAGAAAAGTGGGCGATATGGTTGGTGGATAGAGGGAATCCAGTGTATGGGTGGATGACAGACATTTGTACACATTTATAATAACAAATCCCTTAGACACTTGGCTAGCATGCGGTACATTCCTATATCTGCACATGACAGTTTTAGGTTATATTACCTCTTCATAACTGGTGGCCCTGTCCTGGAAATTATGAATCAGTGTCCAACACTTCACTGTAATCCAAATAAAGGTGATGCAGTGTGTTACATCTACACTTAGTGCACTCAGTAGCCTATGCCTCCCAAACTGTTGCACATTTCTAGTGCCCTCATGTTTTATGTGGCACAATAAGATGGGTTGAATAGATTAGCAGATTAGGAATAACGAAGAGGAATATTATAGACTTGTGACAACAGTGTGCCCTGTCTGATAGTGACCTTATTTATGCATTTGTCAAAATAGTCTTCTTCTTTCTTTCGCCAATATCTGCTTATGCTGCCAGGCATCACAGTTCATCAGACGATCAGCAGCCGAGCCAGGGCGCACTCAGTCTCTTGGTTTGCTCAAGGTGTCAGTGACTCCTCAAGTTGTACACTCTTGCTGCTGGCATCGTTGGTTTAATTCTCATTAGGTGGCCAAACCATTTCATTCTTTGTTTCTCAATAAATTTGACAATGGGTGTTTTCCAACAGTTCTTCTGATCACGTCGTTTCTTACTTGATCCCTTCTGGTTTTATTCACAGCCATTCTCAAACATCTCATCTCACAGGTGGTTAGTTTTCTCTCTTGTTATTTTCTGTGTCCAAGTCTGACATTGGTAACCTAAAGTCGGTATAAATATTGTATTTACAGTTTGTGTCTTTTTTTTTGGGGGGGGGGGGGGGGGGGGGATAGCAGGGTGTTTTTAAAATTGGAGGAGGTTGGTATGTGACATTGCTGGATTCTCTTTTCTATCTATATTTCTATTTTATCATTGTGTGTAAAGATGTGTCCCAATATTTAAATTATTGCACTTGTGTTGTGTCTATTTTATTTATATTGTCCATAAAGTAAGTAAAGATTCATTTTCACACCTTTAGGCACATCAGGCATATGGGAAGAGCACCCTTATTTTAACAGACCAATCAGCACTAGATCCGTAATGTGGTCAGCATTACGCTGGCAATCTCTACTTCCCTAGGACATACATTCTAATATTGTCCATGAATAGTAAATACAGTTGAAATGACACACTCTTGCCTTACTCCTGATGTTGTTGGGAACTATCTATGAGGCCAGCTGTTAAAAGTAGTCTTCCATTTCTGTTAATGCATTATTTATAGGATTGTAAAATTAGTATTGCATTTCTGTTAAGGACTTCCTTCTGTTAATGGCTGTATTTATTGTCCACAGATGCTGGAGATATTTTATTAGCCAGTTGTGCTCAAGATCACTTGATTAGAGTATGGAGGTTTGCTCGATCATCAGAATCTCACAACTCTGTACAACAAATGACTTCCATTGCTCATCTGCAGCCAGATGAGGACATCACAGCTAAGGAAACTGTAATTACAATGGTGGAAAATGGTAAGTTTTTAAACTGGGGACCTTGTAATGCATTTCCGTTCTGTAAGTCCTCCTGTGTGGTGCAGCCCTAGATAATATACAATCTTGAGTTGAGTTGATTCAAGAACCGACATCACAGCACCCGGGGCATTCCCCTAACGCTCCGTCTCCATCTTCAGCAGCCAGTGAGGGGTTCCGATACCAATGGTGATTAAACGTCTGTCTTGCCTTTCCTCTGAGCCTCGAGCATCTGCCAGAACCTCTTGTCACTCCCCGCTGCATCCATCTCACCAGACTGTGGTGATCCATCTGCTCCTCCGAACTGTACACGCTCTCCCACAAGGCACTAACCATGTTTGCCTTATCATGTATTCCACCAAGTTGTGCAGAGCCAGCCAGTCTATCCGCCTGTTCATTTCCCAGCACACCGGCATAACCCGGTGAAAAAATCCAGACAGTACTCCTCACCCATGTCCTCCACAGTGAAGCACGCCACTCTGCACGAATCATGCCCGCCCTGACCTTCTTCAGCAGTTTTCTGAGTCAGTTACAAACACGGTTTGTGTGTGTGTGTGTCATGTTCTCTAACCAGCGGAAAGATTAAGTAACCGCCTCCACCTCCATTCTTAAGCTGGATATTTTGGTATCACACGCTAGGCTCTACTGCACCAAATTTCGACCTATAATTTTTGCCATGAAACCCTAAGCATTTCTTTTGCACTGAAACGTCTGTGTGAAAATCTAATCCTCTGAGCGAGCATTATCTTGAATTATTTGCTGAATTTTCACCTCCATGGCACCTGATGGCCAGTCTCTTCATTCCCGGCTCAGTGTGATTATTACCCTACACAAGTCTGACTGTTCAGGTGGTACTTTTACCCGCTCCTCTCCTCGCCTAATGTTCTCAAGAATGCAAACCTGTCTGATTGTGTCTTCTGCCTGAGCCATCCATGACTTCACTCTTATCAGCCGCTGACCCTTAACTGTGCCCAGAGCTTCGTGCAAAGGGTGATCTGTGTCTGCAGCAACCTTGAAAAATGTCTTCTACAGAATATACAGCCATAAGATAGTCAAATTAAGTCTCTGGGTATACAGAAGAATATGTTATATTTCATGGAGGAAAAAAAATCAAATTCAGAGGATCCTGGGAATGAAAAAAGATATTAATATAAGATTACCAGAGTACTGGGAAAGCTAATCTGGTCAACAAATGCCCGCAAAAGTCGGGTGCTTTGGCCCAAAGGTGCAAATATCGCAGCCATGCTGTAAACAGACACAACACAATTAAATCTTCAGATGAACGCAGAAGAAGAAGATTACTAAAGTCATATAATGGTGTCCCAAATGATTCTTTTCTGCCAAATTGTTGGCTGCTTACTGTGTCATATTTTTCTAACATTTTCAGCTACTTCAGTAATTCATACTTCTCTGTTGATTCATGGACCCCATTTGGAGTGGGGTAGTAGACCCGCCCTTTAACAAGCATATCATAAAAGTCTACTAATTTAGGACTTGTTAAAATCATATGTATTGAGCCAAAATTCACAGATATTGCAACCAGCTTTCCATCACAATATAATGTGCTAACTACCCTTTAGAGGGCGAACAAAGAAGAAAATATTCATGTAAAGGGGTAGGTGTGGCTGAGAGATTAAAGTGTCTGTCTAAAGTATCCCATCTAGGGCTCAGAAGTTACTTGATTTGGATCCCAGCAAAAAACTGTTAATTTCCAATGTTATCACAAGTTCCCTAGATCATTTTGGTAATCAGATCAAATGTCTTGGTTTCTCTGTTTAAGCGAAATGTTCGTTAAAATATTACACAGCAGTTTAAAAATGACAAAGATTAGGCCACACAGCCATTGCCCTGATAAAGTTGTTAGGAAAGAAAATAGGCCAAGTGGAGGATATGGAACCTTGAATGGTGTTTGACAAGAGGAAATAAACCTTACACAAGTATATACTGAAGTCAGATATACTGACCTCAGGGTAATCATACCAGGTTAGGTGGACTGCCAGTGAACGAAAATTAAAGAAGAAAATATATTTTGGAAGCCTCTCACAGATAGGTATCGGTCATGGTCTCAGATATCCGAATGGTAGGCAGAGGATCATACTCAAGTGACGGTGGCTACAGTCACCCAACCAGTATGGTCACCGTCAGGAATGGAAACAGTAGCAAGCTTCTGTCTTCGACATGCCAAGAATAGTCATGATTTCATATCTGACACAACTTCAGCAAAAGAGCATAAGGAAGGCAAAGAGATAACTGGATGACTTGACCATATGGACGGGGTTATACAAGAGAAGCGACCTCTTTTGTGATTCTCGTGGTTGTATGAGATTGCAAAACACTCATCAGCAGGGCACATAATGATGATGGTTGGAACAACAATATACCCAGGTAGATAACAATTGCCTACCCTAGTTTTTTTTTTTTTTTTTTGCTATTTTCTTCCACTTCTGGGAATGACTAGCCTAAACCAAACCCTATGTAAGTTTGTTCATAACTGGTTGGATTTTGCTTTGATGTAGCCAGCCCCTTTAGTCTTCTCTTATGACATGAACAATTGGTTATGGTTATATTATTATTTGCTCTCCTTATAAATTAAAAGTAGGTAAAGAATTTTGTTCACGCTTAGGCCCATCCTGGTATATAGTGCTAGGCCTGTATTTGTATAAACCATCCATCACTCAAGGGCGCTATCATCAACATTGTGCCAACCACCTTTACTTCCCAGGACAGTACTTGTGACATATTTGATGCTGGGTCAGCCTGTAAGCCAAGGTAAATTTTTAGCATCTATCCACTATGCCACTGTAGCTCCTTTGCTTCCCTCACGGACCTTAGTAACACATCGGACGCTGCTACTGTAGAGTGTAAATATAGCTGAGAAACATAGTTATAGAAACCGAAAGTCTAAAGGGAACCAACATATCAGTTTCCTTAAGATAAATTTATGTGTAGGCACAAAGTGAGATTTATTATGGAAAGGCATTTGAAAAATGTATGAATAATACATTAGAGGTTGGCTGCAAGGCATCCACTGCTGCCTTTAGGAATGTTACATGGTAAAACCTCAGTCTCTTTCACAGTGAGGCCTCATTCTCTTTCCTGGTAAGGTACCATTCTCTTTGAGAGAGCCTATTCTCCTTCGTGGTGAGGCCCCATTCTCTTTCATGGTGATGCCCCGATCTCTTTCATGGTGAATCCCCAGTCTCTTTAATGGTGAATCCTCAGTCTCTTTCATAATAAGGCCCCATTCTCTTGTGTGGTGAGGCCCCAATCTATTTTATGGTGAGGCTCCATTCTCTTTCATAGCGAGGCCCCATTCCATTCTCTTTCATAGTGAGGCTCTGTTCTCTTTCATGGTGAGGCTCCATTCTCTTTCATGGTGAGGCCCCAAATTCTTTCATGGTGAGGCCCCAACCTCTTTCAAGTTGAGGCTCTGTTCTCTTTGATGGTTAGGCCCCAATTTCTGTCATGGTGAAGCCCTATTCTCTGTCATGGTGAGGCCCTATTCTCTTTCATGGTGAGGCCCTATTCTCTTTCATGGTAAGGCCCTATTCTCTGTCATGGTGAGACCATATTCTCTGTCATGGTGAGGCCCTATTCTCTGTCATGGTGAGGCCCTATTCTCTGTCATAGTGAGGTCCTATTCTGTTTTATAGTTTCTTATACCACTGACTGAAAACCACAGGAACAGGTTTTTTTTCAAACTGCCCGCCACGGAAACAAAATGGCGCGTGCTGAGGATTAAAAACTGTATATGCCTTTGAGGCGGCGTCCGTGGCTAAGGCGTTGCGAGTCCGACTCGTAAGCCAGCATACCGCAATCGAAACCCACTGAAGGCTGCGTGGATTTTTATCGTGGTATGGGACGTCGCAGGTCGACCCAGCCTAAAATGGGTACCAGGATGGGCTGTCCTGGGAAAGTAAAGACAGCCGGCATAATGCTGACCACATTACCCACAGAGTGCTGATGGTCTGTTTAAAAAAAAAAAATATGCCTTTGAATTAAATAGACCTATGATAAATGTTATATTTTGTTGTAGGTCTTGAGATCAAGTTTGCTGTTAGTCTAGAATCTGTGCTCTCTGGACATGAGAATTGGGTCTACAGTGTCAGGTGGCAGCCCTGTGTAATCAAAGGTGAGAAATGCTTGTTATGCACTGTATCTGTTCATCATCTGCAGGTGTATTTTGAAGAATTTATTAATTGATACTCAAATATTGCAGTGGCTCTTCCAAACTGTAAATATTTTAATCCAGAACGTCTGCTTCAGTAATTCTGTTGTAACATAATCTGTAATCCTGTTCTATGTTTGTAGCTTATTAATTATTGTTTTAGTCATTCTCTGTGTTTCTGATCTGTACAGTACTTGTGATATTTAAAATACTGAGTATTTGAAGACTTGAATAATTTTGTGTGTGTCAGTTGTATGTTTAAGGGTGAAAATGGTTGAAGTTACTTTTTCTCCAGAAAATGGAACCACACATCAGCCAATGAAGTTGCTATCTGCATCCATGGATAAAACTATGATCATTTGGTCACCTGATGTTGAAACTGGCGTGTGGGTTGATGAGGTGAGCTCATTGTCTCTAGTGTTTGCTGTTACATCTGAAAATAGGTTAACTGCAAAGTTGCTAACTGGGGAAAAAAACCATGACAATGACAGTCCAGAAAGACTTATGCAGCCATGCAGGCATTTTGTTTTTCTTGATTTAAGATGTGGTATTTGCTGTATATCCACCTTTTAAAGCATGTTTAGGCTACAAACAAATAAGCTTTAAACACATCATTATTTATTTTTAATTTTTAAAAAAACATACAATATGTCCATCTGTTTTTCTTTTATTTAAAAAAAAAAACATCACTGCAACTATAAGAAAGTAATTAAAGGTAATTTGTATGCCAAATAGGATCTATGGGTGATGTCCCGCCATTTGTTTTAATGACTGAGCAGGAGATTTCTATGAGATAAGATGGGCAGCCTTCCTTAGTTACCTCTGACCGCATATTGTTCAGTGTTACTTTTCTTGTGTTTGGTTTGAGAGCCAAGGTGGCAGAGTAGTTGGACACTCACCTGTTGGTTTAAAGGTTTTGTTCTCAAATCCACATTGAGGTCCATTGTATTTATGTTGTTTCAAAATTGACCTTAGCTCCTGGGTCTAAGTGTAAAAAAGTAAAGGACCCTTTCCACGCCTTTAGGCGTATAGGGCATATAGGGCTAGACCTATATTTTTATAGACCAACGACACAAGATGGGTGATGTGGTCAGCATCACACCGGCTGCCTCTACTTCCCGGGATTGCACCCGGTACCCACTCAAGGCTGGGTCGACCTGGGAGCCAAGGTCATTTTTTAAGAAAAGTCTGTCTCCGCCAGGGAGCGAACCCACGACCTTCCGATCTGCGGCGTGCGTCTAGCCGCTCTGCCATGGCGACTCCTGGGTCTGCCCAACCTAAAATGGGTACCAGATAATTTCCTGGGAAGTAAAGGTGGTTGTGGTGTTGTTGACCACATCACCCCTAATTAGTCACCTTTTAGAACTTGCTTGAGACGGGAGGGCCCCTGAGTCTGTCTCCCCCCCCCCCCCCCCCCCCCATCTTTTCCCCCAATTAGGGCTCCAGAACCCAAACTGGCAACTTTCATGTTTGAATTCTCAGAAAATAAATACAAATTCTCAGAAGTTATTAACCCTTTTAGCACGGGAAGTTTTTCAGAAGTCTAGCCAAAAACACGGAGCATTTTTTCAGTGAATTTGGTTATTACTTTATTTAATTTTTTTTTACAGATTTCTGTTATTCTGACCCCTATGAAATAATATATCTATTTGAAGGATATAGATTGAAGTTCGTGATTTTCACAATATCGTTAAAATTAATTGATGTATATGCAAATTATCTCATTTGCATATCTAAAAATAGAAAATATGAATTTGAATTTTCAACTTCAATGCTTGAAACATAAAACTAAAAACAAAAATTTTTTTTATTTGAAATCTTTTTATTGATCTTTGGCCTTTTTACGAATGTTGTAAGCAATTCAATAGTCAAAAACAGGTATATATATGTGAAACAGCAATAATATCTTTAGGTGACATGTGTTTTTCACCATCAGTCAGCACTAGAAATGGATGTGCCGGAGTGTCAACACCTTCGGGTGGATATACCCTGAGCCATGGTTGGGCTGTGGTCTGAACACAACAGTGTCCCTATCTGATTCCCACTATTACTACTAACACTAAATCCTGCATCAGTATCAACAGAATTAGTGTCATCACTTGATTCAAATGTTTTATCAACATCAAGTTTAGGGGCAGAAACATACGAGTCAGACATACTTTTAGCGGTTCAGGTCACTATCTAAAAAAATTCAACAACAATTTTCACTTCGATACCAAACACTCGAAAGTCGCCATATGTAAAGCTGATACCGCAGTTAATATAAATGAATCACTTTCAGTGTTTCAAAGTAGGAGATTTCTTAGCGGTTCGAGGCGAAACACGATCGGGCCGATCATCGGCCGTTCCGTGTTTTTGGCCAGACATCCGCCGGCCGATAATCGGCCCGTCCGTGCTAAGAGGGTTAAACAACTTAATCTGTTTTTTAACTTTACAGGGATAAATTATTTCAGCATGTCTTCTTCTTCTTCCTTTCTATCCCCCAATGGAGCATGGGCCCTCAACCAACTCACGCCAAGTCGTTCTATCCTTTGCTATCGCATGCAGCTCTCCCCATGTACTGCCCATCTCTCTAACTTCATTCTCCAGCTCTCTTCTTCGTGTGTTTTTTGGCCTTCCTTTATTCCTATGCAGCTGTGGGTTCCAGTGCAAAAACATTTTAGTTATATTGTTCTCCGGTTTTCTCAATGTGTGTCCTATCCAACGCCAGCGTCTTTTCTTCACCTCTTTGTGCACTGGAGCCTGTTTAGTTCTCTCCCAAAGCTCTACATTAGTGATTCTATTATACCATTCAATTCCCTCTATTCTGCGCAGGCACCAGTTAATGAATGTCTGTAGTTTATTAGTAATTGCCTTAGTTGTTCTCCATGTTTCCGCTCCATACAAAAGTTTGACATTAGAATTAAAAATTTCCGGGAAGGCTAACTCGGTCAACTAATGCCCGCAGAAGTCAGATGTGTTGGACCGAAAGGTGCAAATATCGCAGCCATGCTGTAAATGGACACAACGCAATTACATCTTCGGATGAACGCAGAAGAAGAAGAGGAAGGAAAAGAATTAAAAATTTAAAGTTTATTGTTTCTTTTAATTTCTTTTGACCTCCACAAATTCCCTAGTGCTATGAAAGCTCTTCTGGCTTTTTGTATTCTTATTTTAATATCTATATCATTTCCTCCATCTTTATCTACACTACTGCCCAAATATGTGTATGACTCCAGATTTGGGAGTGGGGTGCCATTAAGAGAAACCACATTACTATTTGCCTGATTTATTCTCATTATCTTTGTCTTTCCTTTATGGCTTTTCAGACCTAGCTACTGTGATCTCGCATCAAGTATATTTAATTTATCTTGCATCTGATTCCATGAATGGGACAGAAGAGAAATATCATCAGCGAAGTCTAGATCATCAAGCTGTTTTGTAGGGGTCCACTGAATTCCCATCTTGGTGTTAGCAGTTACTGTTTTCACAAACTTCGGCATGTGGTATTAGCCTATTGTGGTGGATAGCATTTTTCCATGAATTAATGTTGCCGCTTGAGTTCTCAATCATTTGGGGACGATTTTTGTCAATAAAGCTGTCCTGGTGGCAAAGCAAATAAAACAAGGCTCCCAAAAAATAATTGTTACTGAAAAATTAAGAAAAATTGTACGTTTTTTAAAACACTTTTTTATTTACTAAGTTTTATTTAAAAGGCATACAATAATTAATGTACTAAAGATAATTTATCATTTAATTTAGTGGACACAATAATTTAAATAATTCTCCTTACACAATTTTATATCACAACTAATAAAACCATGGGGTGTCTTAACAAACACTTATACTTGTATAAATACTAGACTTGAATTATCAACAGTATAAGCCATTATTTATACACATTTAAATCAGTTGTTCTTCCTCTGTATACACAGCTGTTTATTGCAGCTTGTCAGACAAATGATTATTCTGATTTGATCTAGGTTCGTGTCGGTGATGTAGGGGGAAACAGTCTTGGCTTCTTTGGAGGGCTGTTTGGCCCATGTGGTCGGTCAATTCTTGGCCATGGCTACCAGGGAGCATTTAACCAGTGGACTTGCAATAAGGTAGGTGTATGAAATGTAATAACCTCTTAGAAACCTTTTGTGTCAGGAGATGTCTTATTCAGTCTTATGTATAAAAGGGCATCCTCAATGAAGTGTTTATAAAGTTAAGTTGTGTTTGCTTTGTGCTTTAAAAAAAGTGGGAATTCTGTGCTTGACTTTTTTGTTCTGCTCACAGGCCCTGGTATTTCACAGATACTTGGGGGGTCATAGCTGGAGCTATGGAGTTTAAGCTTTGTGCAACTCTCAGCAAACAGTCAGCTACTCTGTGGAAGTGATATTGAGCAGTATGTTATCCAACTACTCTGTGAAGTGAGATTCATCAATATTCTATCAAACCTGATGCCATGAAGTCAATCTTTTCCACAAAGATTTGGCTTTCCTTCTAGTTCCACATCCACAAACATTTATATGGTGCTTTCACATTAGCAAAGACAATGCAATCCTTCCATATCTCCTTTCATATCCATATAGGTCCTTGTAAAGTAAGTAAAGAACCCTTTACACGTCTTCAGGCATATTGGGCTAGACCTATATTTTATAGATCAGTTGGCACTCTGTGGGTGATATGCTGAGCATCATGCCAGCACCTTAACTTTTCAGGACTCCACATGGTAGCCATTCAAGGCTGGGTGGACCTGGGAGCTGAATTCTTTTCAAAAAGTCCATAGGGGCTTCCATAAGTCCTTGTTTTTGACAAGTTTTCCTATCTGAATGCAGGACTGAAGGCAGGGTTGCTGAATCATATGTGGTAATGCACCAGAACCAGGGCTCGTGCTGGTCAAGACCTATCTTCACTTTTCTGTGGTCATCCTTCAAACAGGTTCTCAACCGGAGGCCTGGCCAACATGGTTATGGTATATATGTCCTTAGAAGAAGGAGTGCATCTGCCTGGGAGACGAAGAATGAACAGACTGCATACATAAGCCAGATCTGTAAAATACAACATTTACACTCAACTTCTGGAACAAGACCAAAGTCAAGGTGTGGATGAACAACCTGGACTTTCTGCAGAACTTTACAGCATTGAATGCAAAGAAGAAGAAGATCTCAGGACATGCGAGTACACTTCTCTACTCAGGAGTTATGTTGCCCACTTATTCCATTCATCACTTGAACTTTTCTCTGTTGTCCATTATCTAAAAGGTGGAGTCGGGTGCTCCCTCTCATCCCCTGAGACAACAGGGGCATATCTCAAACTTCCCATTATTTAATCAGATTGCAAAAGTCTGGTTTCTTTGATTTACCCATGTATTGTCTTTGTTAACTCTTTCAGTCACAAGCAGCTCACCATGCATCAATTGGATTGCTATACTTTTGTGAGTTCCTTGTGTCTTATGCAGCTGTAGCTTTAACTCATTCATTATCAACTGGTACTTCATCTCCGATTGTCCTATAGTGATATAATTTGGACCCTTTCTTATCCAGAAATATATTACTTTGAGGAACTATTGCTGAAGAGAAGATGAGTAAAAGAAATGTATGGTGGGATAATCTTAAAAACAGTTTATGTACCCTGCTCAGTCCATGTGTTGTTATTCTATTATTTAGCTATAAATATCTGTTTCTCGTATATCTTTTGTTTATTTATTTTTCGTTATGAATTTAATGTTGATTAGCACCTGAGGCAACAGATCACATCCTCCAAGACTAAAGAAGCCAACGGCGCCTTCTCCATGACAACCAGCAGCATGACGATGGAGGTGATGGCAGTGACACAAGCGCTTGCCTGGCTTGAAACACAAAAATACACCCGCGTGTGTATACTCAGTGATTCAATGAGTATGATCCGGAGGGTTCAGGCAGGTTCAGTGTGAAGACAATGGCTTGAATCATTACAGAAGTCCACTGTCCGTGGAGTCACCTTTATTTTTGTTCCGGGACACGCAGGCGTCGATGGAAATGAAAGAGCTGACAGGTTGGCTGGATCCGCTATCACTACCGACGGTCAGCCTATGGATCATGCTGATATTATCAATGCCCTAAGAGAAATGGGAAGGATAGACGACTTTGGTGGCAGTGAATCCACATCACTCGCCAGAATGGCAGACTTGGGAATTAAGATCGGCACAGCAAAAAACGAGACGCACACCAGCTACGCCAGAAGACTTGTTAATCAACATAGAACTGGTACTATTAGCCATCGGATGTTGGGTTTCATACTGAGGGGAGGATCTGAGCACCTATGGACATGTCCGGAGTGCAATGAGGATAACCCAACTAACTAACTAACTAACTAACTATCCTCCAAGACTGTACCAGATACAACTTAACAAGGCAAAAGTTTTGGCCACAAGAAACAGGTGCAAGCCAAACTTTACTGGTTGCTGATTGAATTACAACAGTCAGTGAAGTTCATGCTAGAGACAACATTGCAGATATAGATAATATATTTCAAGGAAACGAAAGAAGAGGAAGAAATATTGAAGTTTCCCAAAGTATTCTGTTAGTCTCTAATAAAGACCTGTTTTCTAACCACGAGGCTAACTGGGCATATAGTCCTAGCCCCATTTCTTTATCGGCAAATCAGCATTTAATGGATAATGTAGTGAGTATATTCCTGGCTATTTTTATTTCCCAGAATATTTTCTAATGTTCATATGTGAATTGGGGTCAAGCTGGGAATGATTTTCAAAATCAAACTTGATGGTGATTCAACACATGACCATCTGACAGTGTGGCAAACCTGCTAGCTACTGCAGTGCCACTGCTCCTGCTCTGAAATATTTTTGTGCCGTCATATTTGTAATTATTATTAGACTCTGTATCTGTTAGTTTTCAGTTTTAATGCCAGTAACAGTTGGGGAACCATTTAAGACAGGGAACAAAAGTTCAGTACAAATAAAAACAAATGCCTGAGAAAACTGATGAACATTAAATGGTATGAATTCAAGAAAGGTGAAGAAATGAGACATGTCTGGACAACCACTGGAGTTAACAATTATAAGACAAAGAAGATGACATTATATCAGGCACATCCTGAGAAGAATTTAGCAGATAATCACCAAACAGACACTGAGCTGGGAAACAAATGGATTGAGGCAATGAGGAAGTGCAAGGTAAATCCTTAAAAAAATGTTGATGAGAGAGGCCAAAGGTGCTGGACTGGATTCCATACATAATATCAAGAGGTTTGCATGGGATCAAACAGAATTGAGGAGAAGTAAAAGGTAGAGAGGATTTCACTGGCTTTTATCCCATATGGCTAGGTCACTCTCCACAGAACAGCTAGCTGCCTGCCGACAGCGCCGCACAGAGCACAACCTCCATGGTTCTGGCACAGTCCCTAGGGATCTACGTAAAAATTGCACTCCTGAAGCAAACGGCGCCGCTGTAAAACAAACCCACGACCTTCAGAGCAGGAGGCAAACAGCTTTGCCACGGAGACCCTCCAGAATAGAGGAATAGACTGCAAGCTTGATCTGACATATAAAGGCACAACTGGATAAGGATGATCTGTTAAATGATACCATCTTGGCTTATTTGCAGAACAATGATTTTTAAAACATCTCTGATCTGAATATTTTCAGGAATTTTGTGTATGGGAATCTCAGGTTACTGGTGGTGGCCATTTCAACTCAGTTGTGGATCTGTCTTGGTCAGGTGGTGGCGGTCATTACATCCTGAGTGCCAGTACTGACCAAACAACACGACTTCATGCCCCATGGGTGAGACAGTACCAACAGGTAATACTGGGTCTGTGGTTTTCTCGCATTGTGTTTATATTTTCTCTCCATTTATCAGTATCTGCTTTTTTGCTGATAGGCATTGTAATTTAACAGATGCTAGGGCACTCTTGATTGATTGGTATGCTGTTACGTTGTGAAGGCTGTTATTGACTCCTTCAATCCATCATCTTCATGATTTTGCTCTCGCTATCGGCATTGGATTCATTCTCTATCATTTTTTAAACTCCAAATATGCGAATTAGTTTTTCCTTTTATTGTGTTGTAATGCTGTGGTATAATTCACATTGATGTTAGTATGTTTATGCTTATCTACCAATGCAGGGATCCAGGGTCAATTCCCAGCAGCTACAGTATTATTGTACCTGGACCAATACATCACTGAGCTCAGCCGAGACTCTAATCTTTCATCTTCTGACCTTCATTCCCCATTTTAGCATAGGCTTCCAACCGATTCATGGCAGTGTGACCTTTTACTGCATGTCCTACCATATTGTTGAACCCTTTTCTCTAATTTTCTTCTCACTGTATTTAAAATCTCTTGATTTATTGAAACCTGCTTATTTCTCTTCTAGCTCCATATTAGTGTTCTGTTATACGATTAGTGTGTTCTTTATTGCATAAGTGCCAGTTAATTAATGCTTGTAGTTTATTAATTGTTTCAGTCACTCTTAATGTTTTTGTTCCATACAGCGGTTTGATTCTGTTTATGTTAAATCCTTAAAACAAATACCAAATGTTCTTCACAATTTTATGAGGATTTTTCTGCTGCACTTCAGGTTAATGAGAAATGATAAAAACATTGTGGCAGATCGCCAGTGTGTATGTTCATAGTTTATCTCATAAATTTTGGGACATAACTTGTGCTTGTTTACAGCAAAGCTGCAACATTTGCACCTGTCTAACACATCCAGCTTCTTCAGGCATTGTCTGGGTGAGGCTTCTCAGGTGCCAAATACATAATATTGCCAGGTCATTTTTGTTCTCTACACCTTGCATAGAGGTATAGCTAAGAAGGAAACAGTTGTTGTTTCTTGTACTGGTTAGAAATGTAATTCTGTCTTTATATAGGTAAATAGCTCTCCCATCTGTTCTTTCTCCCCAGCCAGCCTGGTATGAGATAGCTAGACCACAAATTCATGGTTATGATCTGCAGTGCCTGGCAGTGTTAGGGAAGTATTCATTTGCTTCAGGGGCAGATGAGAAACTGGTCCGAGTGTTCAAGGCTCCAAGAAACTTTATCAATAACTTCGGTCAGATTTGTGGACACAGTTTAACTAGTGACTTGAGAAGTGAGGTAGGTCCTGTGGTGTTAACAATCGTTCTGTTATTTTTGTTATTTCGGTTGTAATGGGAAAGATACTTGATCTCAAAATTGTTACTTTGACACGTTTTCAGGCGCTGTGCTGTAGGTTTTTCATGCTGTTTAATCTCTGAATTGCTAAATCAAGTCTTCTTCTGACTTCTTTTTCAACCTTTAACCATTATTGTTCACTTTTGAGCCTAGATGTTCAAAATCTGACATTTTCAATTTCTTCATTATCAATTTAGTATGATGTTGGTATGGTGTTTTTACTGTAAACTTTTTTTCCCTCCAAATTTGGGGGGGGGGGGGGTGCGGGGGGAGGTACCATAGGGGAAAGAATGTTTTAGTTTACATAAAGCAGAGTTGTCCATCCTTATTATGACCACATTGCCAAATCTCTAATCACACCAGTTTAGCATGTAATACACCAAAATGATCATATAAATGGTCCTTTTGAGAACACAGCAACCATCACAGCTCTCCCGCCTTATGCATAGTCCTGCCTGAGATATCTCTTATATCCTGTGCCCACCATCTTCATGCTGGTCAGCCTCTGCCTCTTACCGGGAACCATGTCCTCCACTACTGTTCTTTCTAATCCACTGTCACGTTTGTGGCAGTAAATGGCACGCTATATGGTTGTGTACTCATTGTTTAGATTTGTAGTTTGAATTCATGTTTTGCTTCATAATTTTGTGACTGTTGTATAGTTAGCACCAACATTGGGCTCTTATGTTGGAGACCCAAGTTCGACCCCCGGTAAGGTGATGAGGTTTTTCTGTAGGGGAGCAAAATTAAACATCCTAACCTTCAGTCTATGGCGACAGCACTAACCATGCAGCCCTAAATCCCCAGGCTCAGTACCCCCTGTCTACATGCCTTAAAAGGAGGTAAATAGTGACAGTCAAGCATCAAAATAGGGTTGGAATGTCTTAGAGGTACAGCTCCTGTCTAATTTTTATGTTACAGTCCGTGGCTAATGGCTAAAATAAAATGTAAAAGTGCACACAATCAGAAACTTAAAAATCAAACTTTATTGGTTTGTTTAATAACAAATCTAAATTGTATGGTTCACCATTAATTCATCCACCATAGTACTTGCAGTGATGTAATAGAAGAATAAAATTAGATATAAATTATTTTACATCTGAAAACATGCTATTTGAGTAGTACATTATCGGCCATTCTGTATTCATGGGCCCTGCTTTGTTTAGCTTGTTTCATTACTTCTAATCTAAATTCACTGTTTTGTAAAGGAGTTCTTGTCATTACCGGAAGGTGCCAATGTGCCAGCACTTGGTCTGTCCAATAAGGCAGTTTATGTTGGAGGAGATGCAAGCACTAAGGAACAGGAAGAGATCACTAAACAAGGGCAGTACCCTGACAACTATTTTACCTCAATTGATTTACGAGGTACACGCTTGTTACTTGTAATTGATATGTGTGTAAATACAACGATGGGTATTTTTCTGTTGAAGAATTATTTTATTGATTGAGATAGAAGACTGTTGACCTCTTTATCGTCATTATGGAAAAGACTCCTTCTCTTCATCGTAATGGAGAAGAATTGTCTCCTCTTCATCGTCATCATTATGGAGAAGACTGTTCTCTTGGTCACAATCATCATCATAGAGGAGATTGTCCTCCTCTTCACCGTCATTATGGAGAAGACATCATTGCTTCCTCATGGTTATGTACCTTGCCCAATGGCTGATTTGTTCACATCTCTTCACAGATTCATTCCTTGGTGTTCAGCATAAATTTTGTTGATGTTGTTTCTCTCGCCTACCATCTTTAACTCTTTCACTACCAGAAGGTTTCACAGGAGATTCCAAAGGGAGGAAATAATCATCATACTAAATCAAGAATGGAGGAAGCCAGATTTCTCTAGTTGTGAAGTCAGATTTCTCTAATCTGTTCTAACCAAACAGTAAAAGTAAGAGCGCATTATGCCTTGGAGTAGAATGAAGAGGTAAATGCATTCACACATCGGGCATTTATTGGGACTGAAAGAGTTGAGACATATCTCTCGGCCTAACCTACACTGATCTCTCCAGTCATCATGATGTTCACAGCCTTGCTTCTCTTCACATTTCTTCCCATAGAGCAGTGAATCATGAAATTCATAAGGCTCTTTTATCTTAGATTGTTAAAAGCAGCAGTATTATACACTACAGACTTATCTGTTGTATGACCCAGACACAAGACTTGTGGTGTTTCTGTTCTGGAGTAATGAGTCACAAGCCAGGCCAGTTTATTTATCTTATTTCATTGCTGCTGCTAATAATAAACATTGAGAGTCATTAAATTATCTTTCTTTGTCACCTCCAGACAGCATTGTGAGTAAATTTGAAGAAAGTGATGGTTAGCTTAAGGTTGTTGATTTCCTCAGAGGTAGTGGAGATAGTTGAAAACAAGAATACTTTCTCTGTTCTCTGTGTGCTAGATATTGTCTTATTCTGCTTTCTTCTCTAAATGGAGCATAAGTCAGCCAACTCTCACTAGATATTGTCTTATTCTGCTTTCTTCTCTAAATGGAGCATAAGTCAGCCAACTCTCACAATTTGTTGTTCATATTATTAGATTGGTTGCTGCTGCATCATAATTTTTTTTAATGTATTGGTTAATGAATTAAAAACATTTTCCAAAAAGACAGTGTTTCTAATTTGGTGATCCATGGACCCTGTGGGTCTGCTGAATAAACTTAAATGGTCCATGATGATTACACAGAAATCCTCAACTTTAGAATGCAGTCCCTTTTTTTTTTTTTTTTTTTTTTTTTTTTTTTTATTTAAATGATTCAGACATTATAAACTTGAAGTTCTTTACCTTGACTGTTAATAATAATGTTTGAGTCTGTTGCACACCTTTGAAAATGAAGGGGTTTACAGGTCTTAGCTAATTATGAACCGTTGCTTTAGGATTTTAGTCAGCATTCTTAAAAATAGATCCTAGCACAGTGGTTAGCACACTTGCTTGCTGATCCCATTGGTCAGGGTTAAAATCCTTAGTGAGACAGAAGTTTAAAATTAACAATATCTACCAGGTTGACCCGGACTGGAATTTGTATCAGCAAATTCCTAGGGAGTATTGGTGGTTAGTATCATATTGGTCACCTTATTTATTATGTGCTAATCAGCCTGTATGAATACAAGACTAACACCATGTCTTATGCCTGAAGATGTGGAAAAAGTCTCTTTACTGGTTTGTCCCCAAATTACTCCTAATAAAGTGAGAAGTGAGAAGCAACAACGAAATTCATAAAATATTGAAATCACCAGTTACTTACATCATGAAAGCAAATAGACTAAAATGGTTAAGGTATGTAGGGAGAATAGCAGAGACAAACGAGTTTAATGGGAACAGAGGCAGACCAAAAGAACGGTGGAAAAATTCTATATACATGCAGACCTACAAACCTTGAAGTTGCTAACTGGAAAGAGAAAGCATAGAGATTAATGGAAGAGAGTGATATCAGCAGCACTGAACCTTAATGGTGTGAAATGCTGAAGAATGATGTCAGAATGGATTCACACTTTTAGTTTAGACTTCTGTTGTCTCATTTCTGGCTCAGCTCCTCCTAGTGAAGACCAACTGCTACAGAACACTCTGTGGCCTGAGGAAGCCAAGTTGTACGGCCATGGCTATGAGATATTCTCACTGGCTGCTAATCCTGAGGGAACATTGCTAGCGTCAGCCTGCAAGGTTAGATCATTTTTCTGTTAAATTAATTTATTTTTGGTATTGTCATCATTGTGTGACAACTTATGTGACATTTCTGATCAGATTTATCCTAAATGTATAGTCTTTACTGTTTTCATAATGTGCCACTTTCAGTGGTATTTATGACAAAATTTCTCCAAAATGGATCGTCTCTACTGTTGCTTTAATTATATACCAACTTCACTTATATTTGTGATCAAATTTCTCTGGAACATAGTCTGAACTGTTGTCATTTTAGTAGCTTCACTAATGTTTGTAATCAGATTTCTCCTAAATAAATAATTCTACTGTTGTTGTTATTATCTACAAACTTTAGTTATATTAGTGATTAAATTTCTCTGAAAAATATAGTCTCTACTGGTGTCATTATATGCCAGCTTCAGTGATATTTGTGATCAGATTTCTCCTGATAGTATGCTTTCTACTGATATTTCATCACGTCGGGCTATTCCATAAGTTAACCAGCATTGGATTCAATGTCCCACAAACCTGGAAAGTTCAGGCGACCAGCATGATGTTGATCTCATCACACATTGAATGCTGATTGTCCGCATGTGGGTTCCGGGGCCCTATTATAGGGAAAACAAGAATAGACCCACTGCCTAACTGAAAGCATGTCGTAAGAGTCAACTAATTGGGAGCTTCCTTTGAAGTCGGAGTGCATCTGCCTGAGAAGTGAGGAACCAACAGTCTGCATAAAAATTTGTTAAATCTGTCAAACTGATGCACACGTAACACTCAGGTTCTGGAACTGGACTGCAGTCCAGAATTTGACGAACAACCATAATTTTTCGTCAGAGTTTACAGCCGGTGAACACAAAGAAGATGAATGCTGATTAAACAATAAAAAGAGGTCCACTAGTATATTGATGATGTACTATCAGCATGATAAGGGTTGGTTACTTACTTCCTACAGAGTGCTAATTTGCCCTAATACCTTATGTCTCTTAGGAGAAACACTAAGAGAATGGCTAGCATGCCTGCATTACTGGCTAACTTATTATTTCCCTAATGGGGACTGTCATTTAACTCAACCTAAAGTAGGTACCTAGACATTTATGTGCAGGTTAAGGTAGCATCCTTTACAGGGATTCACAGAGCAACTCCAAAAATGTTGTCTGAAAAAATTGGTCACAGTAGAACTGGCTAACAGTAGAAATTTCGCTAAAAATTAGACTTGGCTAACACCTAAAGTAAACCTATCTTAGATTAGGGGATTTAACTCTGTCACTCCAAGAAAGGTATTTTTCCATCTTTTATAAGATTTGGTCGACATAATTTGGTACTGGTTGCAACTACATAGTGATAAGACATGGTGGGTATGATTATATTTAAAAAAACACGTTTTTAGTATTTTTCTGAGTGGTCAAAATAAATAATTTGTAAAAAAAAATTATTTTTATGTAAATTTATTATTTCTTTCTATGGCAAAGTGTCCACAACCACTTCTGAATGATTTAAGGGATGGAAGTTAGTTAATTCTTTGCTTTGTTTGATTTAGGGATAACTTTTCTTCATATAAATAAATCTTTCAACGATCTATACATTTGGTGACTGGGAAAAATAATTACATTTTTAATGAGGTGACATCATCAAAGAAACAGAAGACTTTGTGTCTGCCCGTCTGTTCACTTGGCTAGAGGTTTGACTCCCTGGATATTTATAAAAACTGACCAGTACTGCAAATCTGCTCTGTTGCTTCTTCTCATTTCTTAGGATATAGTTTCAGAGAATTATGAGAATGCTTTTTTTTTTGTTTTTTGCAAACTGAAATTGGAGAGAGAAAAGTTTTTTTTTTTTTTTTTGTTGCAAACTGAAATTGGAGAGAGAAGACAATTTTTTTTTTTTTTTTAAAGATGTTTACTGGCAAAAAGGGTTACAGATGGGTCCTGTTGACATTGACATTGGCTTCTTTGAATGTATACAGAAGACATTGTTTCTATCCATGCTCAGGGATGTGGTATATGATAATTTCGCCTTAGCCTCTGTCAAATATGTTAACTGAGGACATTCATGTTTGTCAGAAATGCACTAGACGATAACACAGTAAAAGATGTAAGCTATACTTTAGCTCTGTTCTGGGGATCTCCGTGGTTAAGGAGTTAAGCTGTTTGGCTCGGGCTCTGAAGGTCATGGTTTTTCTTTCATGGCTAAGTTTTTCGGTTCACAAGTGCAGTTTCTACAGAGGTCCCTCAGGATCATCGCAGGAGCTGCAGATTTTGTGCTTTGTGTGATGCTCTGGGCAGTTTCTAGCCGTCAGGAGCCTCTTTTTTTGGCAGTGATGAATCCTCGCAAGATAGTTTGGTTCGGGCATGTGGTGAGACATGATTCATGAAATCTAGGATTCTTTTTTTTTTTAAACTATACTTCAATTAACACTGGGAGATAGATGAAAAAAAATGAGGATTGGGGAGGAAAAAGGCGGGGGGGGGGGGGGGGGGGGGCAAGAAAAACCTGGAATGACAACATAAAGAGCTGGACAGGATTCACATATTGCACACTTGTTCAACAAGGGGAAGACAGAAATATGACGGGTTTTATGTGCTAGTGCTTCCATCTGTACACCGCCACAACCCTAACAGGTCAAAGGTTATGTTATATTGCAGGGGGAAAGTGCTGTGATTTTAGCTTCTCTTAGTTTGTTCTGCTTTTCATGTTGAAATGGTTAAGTCATTTGTCTTGTGTTCTAGATTGTGTTTGATTTCCGATTCTGTCCTTTAGTTCCTGAGTGCAGGTTTTTCAGAGATCGTTGGGGGGGGGGGGGGGCTATTGTTAAAGCTACAGAGATTCATGCTTTGTGCACCTCTCATTGGGTGAGCAGTTTCTCTGCGGCGAAAGACCGAACCATTGAATATTGATCCTTTTACCTATACACCATCAACTCTGTCATACCAAGGAATGCACCTTGTGTTGATTTAGAAGTAATATAATCCTCCTCTGTCCTCTGGTACAGAAGGACTTGAAATAAAGATAAGCCTGAAATAACAAAGGTGTTGGTTATTGAAAACTGGTCAATAAAGGCCTGACTAACATGTTTGATTGATGATTTAATTGTATAAACCTCCTTGTCTCCTTGTCATTGAAGGCAGCAAAAGCTGAGGTAGCCAATATTTTGCTGTGGGACATGAAGACAAAGAAGGTTTGTGCATCTCTGTGTGGCTGCACACTGACAGTGACACAGATGGCTTTCAATCATCAAGGCAATCGTCTGCTTGCTGTCTCGAGGGATAGGACGTGGGCTCTGTTTAAACAGTCAGGTCAGTTCAGAAATGTATCATTTTTGTCTCTTTCCCTTCCTCTCTCTTTCCGGCCTACTCAATTTTTTTCCCTCTCTTTCCTTTTTCCTCTTTTCTCCCTTTCTCTGTTAGTTGCCTATCCTTTATAGGACATTGCAGAACCAACCCCTGCATTGTTTTACTGTTATGATTTTTCTTCACAAATTTTACATTTAGTAGTTTGCCATTGCATCTGAACGGTCATCTCACGGAACCACTGTCGAAACCAAAGCAGGACAAATCGTCCGCAGCTGGAATCCTGCCTGGCACCCCTCTACCCCTCTCGAAATCCTGCCCCTTTCTTTTCCTCTCTCCCCCTCCCTCTTGAATTTGTTAAAAGATCCAACATATTGAATACAGAATATTCCATTTAAGTCATGATCTCCATCTGTGTTAAATTTCTGCTCAATTATTTATTTCTGATATCTAAAATTAAAGCTATATCTAGATATGTGTTCTTGTTCTCAGAAACTGGTCAGTTTGTCCTAGAAGCCAGCACAGACAAGAGGACTACATCACATGCTCGTATTATCTGGTCATGTGCTTGGTCACATGATGACAAGTATTTCTTCACAGCTTCCAGGGATAAAAAGGTGAGTTGCTTATACATTGGTGGCATTGTTGTTAGTGCTGTTGCTGACATAGCAATCATTGGTTAGTGCTGTTGCTGACATAGCCATCATGGTTAGTGCCGTTGCTGACATAGCCATCATGGTTAGTGCTGTTGCTGACATAGCCATCATGGTTAGTGCCGTTGCTTACATATCAGTTATGGTTAGTGCTGTTGCTGGCATAGCAATCATTGGTTAGTGCTGTTGCTGGCATAGCAATCATTGGTTAGTGCCGTTGCTGACATATCAGTCATGGTTAGTGCTGTTGCTGACATAGCAATCATTGGTTAGTGCCGTTGCTGGCATAGCAATCATTGGTTAGTGCTGTTGCTGGCATAGCAATCATTGGTTAGTGCTGTTGCTGGCATAGCCATCATGGTTAGTGCTGTTGCTGACATATCAGTCATGGTTAGTGCTGTTGCTGACATAGCCATCATGGTTAGTGCCGTTGCTTACATATCAGTTATGGTTAGTGCTGTTGCTGGCATAGCAATCATTGGTTAGTGCTGTTGCTGGCATAGCAATCATTGGTTAGTGCCGTTGCTTACATATCAGTCATGGTTAGTGCTGTTGCTGACATAGCAATCATTGGTTAGTGCCCTTGCTTACATATCAGTCATGGTTAGTGCTGTTGCTTACATAGCAGTCATGGTTAGTGCTGTTGCTTACATAGCAGTCATGGTTAGTGCTGTTGCTTACATATCAGTCATGGTTAGTGCTGTTGCTTACATAGCATTCGTGGTTAGTGCTGTTGCTTACATATCAGTCATGGTTAGTGCTGTTGCTTACATAGCATTCATGGTTAGTGCTGTTGCTTACATATCAGTCATGGTTAGTGCTGTTGCTTACATAGCATTCGTGGTTAGTGCTGTTGCTTACATAGCATTCGTGGTTAGTGCTGTTGCTTACATAGCATTCGTGGTTAGTGCTGTTGCTTACATATCAGTCATGGTTAGTGCTGTTGCTTACATAGCATTCATGGTTAGTGCTGTTGCTTACATAGCATTCATGGTTAATGCCATTGCTTACATATCAGTCATGGTTAGTGTTTTTGCTTACATAGCAGTCATGGTTAGTGCTGTTTCTGGCATAGCTGTCATGGTTAGTGCTGTTGCTGACAAAGCAATCATTGGTTAGTGCCGTTGCTTACATATCAGTCATGGTTAGTGCTTTTGCTTACATAGCATTCATGGTTAGTGCTGTTGCTGGCATAGCAATCATTGGTTAGTGCTGTTGCTGACATAGCAAGCATTGGTTAGTGCCGTGGCTGATATAGCAATCATTGGTTAGTGCCGTGGCTGACATAGCAATCATTGGTTAGTGCTGTTGCTGACATAGCAAGCATTGGTTAGTGCCGTGGCTGATATAGCAAGCATTGGTTAGTGCCGTGGCTGACATAGCAATCATTGGTTAGTGCTGTTGCTGACATAGCAAGCATTGGTTAGTGCCGTGGCTGACATAGCAATCATGGTTAGTGTCGTGGCTGATATAGCAATCATTGGTTAGTGCCGTGGCTGACATAGCAATCATGGTTTGTGCTGTTGCTGACATAGAAGAGCTTATTGTTAGTTAACTCTGTTGAACTGTTTCCTCTTATAGTGGCAATAATTGCTTCAAAGATCCCTGGTAGTTAGCGCCCCTTATATTTTTTTCAGGGTGTGAGGTGTGTTGGGAAATGAACAGATAGATAGTTTGACTGGAGCTGCATTATTAGGTGTCGATGTCGTGCATAACAAGCTAGACTGATCAAGGCTCTTTAGGAGCAATTGAACAATGCACAAAGGTAAGTAAATCTTTATGGTGCTGCAGGACATGACTAGGGGATCTGGCCGATACTCTACACTTAGACGAATGGCCAGACAGACATCTAGACAAACTGCTACTGGCACCATCAGAATTGGCACGCTTCTTTGGTTGTTGAACATGGGGACAGAGTGCTTATGGGTATGTCTTGAGTGCTGTGATGTCGGTTCTTAACTCGACTCCGCTCTGGTAGCTAACTGCTGTTCATTTCTTAACCTGGAATTATCACAAAAGATTATTGTGCAGTTTTTGAAAATTGTAACAGTCAGAAAAGGCCTACATTAGACTGATTCCAAAAGATGCAGCAGTATTCCCAGGCCCATATGACAGAATTGTCAGTATATTATACTTAATTAAACATGAAAATTCAAAACATGTGTAACTGGCGCCTGCACAGAATAGAGGGAATGAAATAGTACTATATAATCACTAAGTGGGGCTTTGAGAGAGGACTAAATAAATTTCAGTGAATCAATCCTGTCACCCTGAGAAAAATAAATCTAGTCACTTCTGGTTGTGACACAGTCGATATATCTGCATATCTTAAGTGGCCTGTTTTTGAAAAGCTTAGTTAAATTCCATTGGCTCTCTATGTGCCTGTGCAATGTCAAATAGGTCAGGATATAAATATAGCAACTAAAATAGCATTTTTTTTTTTAATGTCATAAAAAGATATAAAACCGAACGAAAAGTAGGTCAACAAGCTTTACAGTATGAACAAACACTAACAGAAAGTGAACGTTGCGGCCATAGAGCCTTTATCAACACATTACATAAATCAGACAAAACCACAAGAATACACAAATATCACTTAACTGACGTATCAAAAAGCTTGATGTCTAGCCAGTAGAATGAAGTGACATGTGCGACCCAAGAATAAAAAGCCTGAGAATTCTGAGGATCGTAATTTGAGAATTTTAGATGAAACTTTGTTGACATTTCAGTCCCCTTGGTGTTTGTTTACCCCAGGTGAAAATTAAATGATTCACAAAAGACTTGCGGACTCTGTCGCTGAAGTGGCTAGATTTAATGGCTGTCACCTACAGGTCGCGGACACCTTGGTGATCCTGAGAATTGAAGTACAACAGTACTGGTTTCATGGCACTGTTCTCCGCGTCTCCCTGATATAGGCGAGTGACATCTGCAGCAGTAAACTTCAAGAGGCTCAGAATATTGAAGAAGTACTGAGTGGTTGCTGACGTATCACACATTGGTGTATTTATGTGATTGCCTTAAAAAAGGCAGTTGACAGGTTGTGTTGTAGTTTGCAGCTAGTAGGCTTTGATATTTGCATCTTTCGGCCCAACACATATGATTTCAGCAAAAACTTAATTAGTCGCACGTTATGGAGCAGTGGGTCTACTCTTTGTCTCCCCACAACCACACTGAAAAATTGGTGTACTTGAATTGCTGACTAGCATGGACACTTGCCAGTTTGATAACTTTCTGTATTTGTGTTTCAAACAGGTTCTTGTCTGGTCAGTGGATGCTGTTGCCAGGACCACGCACACATCTCCACCCATGCCTGCAGGATCACTAGTATTACCTCATTCTGTGACAGCTGTTTCACTTGCACCATTGTTTGTTCAAGACGACAGGTCAGTCTGTTTGGCTAAATAAGAATTGTAGTACCATCACCACATTGAAGGTTGGCTACAGTGTACACACTTCTGTCCTTGACAATATTATGTGGTGTGGTCGAAATCTCTTTCACGGTGCAATTCTCATACCACTTTCCATCATAACGGTTTAAACAAACAAACAAAAAATTACCCTTCACTCATGGAAATTTAATCCCAGTTCTTCAGCATCTTAAAAAACTCACTTCTTAGTCACAGGTTGTTAGCAGTTTGTTGTAGTAGCTGTCTTCCATTACACAGTAGACCAGGGCTATTCAACTGGTAGCCTGCTGAGGCCTAGCATCTAACCCGCGGATCATTGCCAGTTGTATGTATTGTATTAATGATTTTTCTGTGCTGGGGCTTGGACCTCTGGTCAGCGATGATTCCCATTTTCAACATTGTGGCCCTGAGTAAACTTAGTTGAATAGCCCTGCTGTAGACTTTTGATTATCTGATCCCTGAGTAAACTTAGTTGAACAGCCCTGCTGCAGACTTTTGACTATCTGAAGCCTGAGTAAACTTAGTTGAATAGCCCCGCTGTAGACTTTTGACTATCTGAAGCCTGAGTAAACTTAGTTGAATAGCCCCGCTGTAGACTTTTGACTATCTGAAGCCTGAGTAAACTTAGTTGAATAGCCCCGCTGTAGACTTTTGACTATCTGAAGCCTGAGTAAACTTAGTTGAATAGCCCCGCTGTAGACTTTTGACTATCTGAAGCCTGAGTAAACTTAGTTGAATAGCCCCGCTGTAGACTTTTGACTATCTGAAGCCTGAGTAAACTTAGTTGAATAGCCCTGCTGTAGACTTTTGACTATCTGAAGCCTGAGTAAACTTAGTTGAATAGCCCCGCTGTAGACTTTTGACTGTCTGACTCAATGTGGCAAAAGGGTAAGATGGAAAACAACAAAAAAGCCGGATAGGCTGGAGTTATATAAATACCTCCTGCCTCACCCACACCAAAACACTCCCTTTTTTTTTTTAAATTATTCCAAAATCTATTCTTAGTCATATTTTCAGACCTCACAACGTCTAGTTTGAGAATGGAAGTAGAGGCAGTCTCTTCTGCTGGCTTGAGAATCAGCTGTACACACATGCAGTGATTGTAACTGACTCACAGAGAATGTTGAGAAAGGTTAAAACAAGCATGCTTCATGCAGAGTGGCAAGCATCATTTTAGAGGTCCCGGGTAGTTAGCATCCTTTGGATATTTTCTCCAGGTCATGCTGGAGGGTTGGGAAATTAGCAGGCAGATAGACTGGCTGGCTGTGCACCACTTGGTGGTGAATTGATGTATGACAAGCTAGATATTGTGAGGGCCATTTGGGAGCGAGTAAACAGTGTGGAGGCACAGATAGATCATTACAGTCAAAGGAGAATGGCACTGTGAGGAGTTACCAGGGGATCTGGCCGACGCTCAACACTCAGGGGAAGGATGATATGGATATACAATCAGACGGTTACTAGTACCATTAGGATTGGGAACTCTTCATTTGCTGCTGAAGATGGGAGACTCAGCACTTATGGGAGTGTCCCAAGTGCTGTGATGTCGATTCTTAATTCAACATTCAGACCTCTTAGTACAGGACAGTACTTTTAAATGTTTCTTTAAAAAAAAAAAAGATTATTATTACAGAAAAAGAATTTCCGAACATAAGAATATTATTGTACACCTCTCAATATAAATTTTATAACGTCTTACTGAATTGCAGTAAATATAGAATTATGTACACTGTACGGTATGGATACACACACATTTAAAATGAATAAAATATTAAAGTAAAACCTAATTCTTGAAAAATTTAAACTCATTTTACTGTGTGCTGATAAATGATAACACAGATTATTCCTAATTTTATTAGAGAATTTTTTATTTTTTAAATATAGACATGCATTTCTAGGCGGGATAGTCGAGAGCCTACTGTATGTGTTTCCACAGGCACATTGTCATACAGTATAAATGTTTATCTCTTGATGACATTTCTATGTTCATGTGGCATGCTTTCCTGCAGACCTGAAGGTCTTGGGTTCAAATCTACATAAAAAGCTAATTGTTAAAATTGACCTGGACTTTCAGGTTGACCCAGCCTAAAATGGATTGAGGGTAATTTCCTCGGAAGTAAAGGTGGCTGGTGTGTTGGCCATATCATGCATTGAGTGCCATTTGGTCTGTTATAATATGGACCTGGTGCCATATACCTAACTCACAAGTGACACAGACGAGTTTCTGATTGATTTATGATTTGCATTATCTTCATGGCACTCCGGACATGTCCATAGCTGCTCACATTCTCCCTTCAACGTATACATCAGCGTCCCGTGGTTCATAGTTCCAGTCCTGTGTTGGTTGACAAGACTTCTTGTGCATCTGGTGTGCTTCTCGTGCCTGGCTGTGCCGATCTTTACTCCCAATTCTTGCACTCTTAGCAAAGATGTGGATGTGCTGCTCCCAAAATCCTCCGATTGTCCTACCTCTCTAATGACATTGACAGTGTCTGCATGATCCATGGGCCGGTCCTCTGTAACTAAGGCAGAGCCGGCTAATCTGTCAACTGTTTCATTACAGTGTCTATTGCTTCATCAGGTATGAAAACACTTTAATCACACAGCCTGTGGGTTACTTAACTTTAGACATGATGTTCTTAATCCTAAGGCCTTGGAAACATTTCAGGAATTCCTGAAAAATCCATTTTTTTACAGGTCAATACAATTTTTTAAAGAATTTATATTTATATATATATATTGTTTTTTTCAAAATGGGGCCGTGGGGGGGACGACCCACTGCCCCTTAACTAGCTTGTAAAAAGGGGACTAATTAATGATGTGCTGAAATTGGATGTGTTGGACCAAAAGCTGCATAACACAGCCTATCTGTAAACAACAGCACAACGTGCCAGTCGCCCTTTTGAGGTGTAATGCAAAAAAAGAAGAAAACACAACAATGTTCTAAAGAGGAACTAAACATGTGTGCATGTTTGATTGCAGGTATCTTGTAGCTGCAGCGCTAGAAGACGGTGAAATCTTCCTCTACACATGGTCACCATCAGACTCTACCAGTGAGTGGAGGTTGGCCGCATCACTGAGTCAAAGGTAGAAAGTCCATTTTTGTGGCTACTTCACTAACATATATATATTTTCTTCATTAACACTGGTGTTTATGTTGAATATTTGTCAATTTTGTCATGTAAATACATATCACCATGTGTAGTAAATATTTAAGTAAAGGACCTTTCCCACATCTTCATGCATATTGGGCTGGACTAATACTTTATAGACCATTGAGGGTCTCCGTGGTGAAGTGGTAAAGCAGTTTGCCTCACGCTCTGAAGGTCATGGGTACTTTTCGTGGCACCGCTGCTCAGTTTACGGTTGCAATTTTTATGAAGATTCCTGGGGATCGTCGCCAGAGCTAAGGGGGTCATGCTGTGCTAGACGCTTTCGGTGCAATAAAGTTGATCCTCTCGCCTTTACCTATAGACCAATCGGCACTCAGTGATGTGATCAGCATCATGCTGACCGCATTTACCACACTGATCATTTACCAGGACACTACACCTCGGCGGTTCACATAAGGTAGGTGTTATTTTTATCAAGCTGATATCAGTGTAAGTGGAGCCGTGGTAACATGGTGGCTAGATATTCACCTGCTCACCTGAAAGTCTTGGATTCGAATTCACATCATAGTGGTTCATTGACCTTAGCTTCATGGTTGCCCCAGTCTAAAATGAGTACCAGGTTACCTCCCGAGAAGTCAAAGCAGCGGCATGCTGGTGATAACATACTCACTGAGCTCCGCTTGGTTTATAAAAGTATCATAGTAGGGTTATATGCCCGATGCATCAAGTCTTAAAAATGTTACTCATATCAGGGTTTTTTTTTGTGTGGGATAAGTTTTTTTATAGTCACATTTTACGTGGAAAGAGGGTATGTGTGTGTCATCCATCCATAAATTGCTTCAGTTAAATTATAATTTTTTTTTAAATTTACAATCTGTCGCAATCTGAATCTTCATTCAGTATCAGAAAGGCAGACAAAGAAGACGATGGAGAGATAATGTCTAGACAGACCTGCAAACTCTTGGTGTTACCAACTGGAAAAAAAAAGGCCAACCAGAGAGATGAGTGGAGGCAGGTGATATTTGCAGCAGTGAACCTCAAGGGCTCGGAATGCTAAAGAAGACGAAGAAAGAGAACTAAATGGTGCCTCCAGACTGAGTAAAAGGAGTAAAGGACCCTTTTCCTTGCCTTCAGGCCTATAGTGCTAGGCCTATATTTTGTAGACCAAACAGCACGTCTTGTAGTCAACATCCCGCCGGCCACCTTTACTTCCTAGGACTTTACGTGGTACCCAGTCAAGGCTGGGTCCACCTGGAATTCAGATTTGAACTTACGACCTTCGAATCCGCAGGCGATTGTCTAGTCGCTACACACACACACCCTCCTCCTCCCCCCCCCCACTCCAAAACTGGGTAACCAATAGTATTTATAACTACAATATACATTTGTTTGTGACGGTTTATACGCTTATTTCCAGTGAAGCACATCACCTGACTGTGACCCGTTTGGCATTCCGACCCCAGACTGGAAGACTAGGGCACACAGAGGACAGCTCCAGATGGCTTCAGCTGGCCAGCTGTGGGGAAGATCATGCTGTCAGGGTCTACAACATTGATCTCATGGACTTTAAAAAAAAAAATTAATTGAATGACTGTAAAAATCTACCTTTACATGTAAGACTCTGGAGATGAAATGTCTGATGAAATAAACAAAAGTTATATGGAACTGTTTACTCATTTTTATTTAAATTATATGTAATTTTCTGCCCCTGTGATATCTTTAAAATATGCAAGACAACAGCTATTTGTCTAACATGAATTATGCGACATACGCATATGTATGGTGGAAGCTATTTTGTTTTCCTAATATCCAGAAACCATGAGTTGTTAACCCTTTGGCTTGGTACTATGGATATTGCAACCCTTCCGCCTTGATTCCATGATAGATACCCTAAATCTGGTAGAAATATGGCTTTTTTGCCTACCCCGGGCTTGAAACCGGACCACGCGGAGTTCGTCACCCAGTCGCCGTGCAGTCAGGTTTAACCAACTAGGCTAGTGAGCCTGGCCAAAAGGATAATATAAGGAAGCAGTGCCTAATTATTCATACTTGCTCTTTAATTTACTCACACACACACAGTGGGCGGCATCCGTGGCTTAGGCGTTGCAAGTCCGACTCGTAATTCCTTCCAATGTACCGCGATCGAAACCCACTGCTGGCTGCGCTGATTTTTATCATGGTATGGGTCATCGCAGGTCGACACAGCCTTAATTGGGTACCAGGATGGATGTCCTGGGAAAGTAAAGACAGCCGGCCTAATGCTGGCCACATTACCCCCCCCCACCCCCCTAGTGCCGATTGGTCTGTAAAAATATGGGTGCTCTTCTCATATGCCCGACGTGCCTAAGGCATAGAAACGGATCTTTACTTTACTTTCATATCAAAACATATGAGGACGCACACAGACAAAATCCCAAATACAGTTAACAAGAACCTGGAAAAAAAAAAACATCCACATAAAATCATAATGTCAAATAACGAAGGAAACTTATCACCAACTGGTAATTTAGTGTTCAAATATCAGTGTAATGCTTGACATTTTTTTTCTTGTTGATGTCTGCAATTTTTTGGTCTGACATTGGACAAGGTACTAAGAAGATCACTCTCCACGTCAAGCTAGCAACACTGTTTTGTTTTCACGACTGTTAAAGTTTAAAAAACATTCAGATTATTACGAGTACAAATGAACGCAACTTCAAAACTGCTTGACGCCCCCACTCCCTTGAAACTTCCTCATGCCTCCCAGGTTGGAGACCACTGGTTTGTAGCAAGCCTGTAAAGTGACATGGCACACACCGGTAGTGCCGGGTTTTGTGCTTCTCAGGGTGAGAGGGTTAATGTTTCAAATAAACAGTCTTATCTAAAAGAGTAAATGAAGCAATGGAATCCAAAAGCCAAGAAACTGGCAGGCAGGTCATTCGTTGAGCTTCAACATGAGGGGGCTCTGGGCAGGTGTCATCATATATGACAAATATAGCGCAATCAGCAAGACCACTAGTGGGAGGTGCATGGAAAGGGATGGTGTATGGATAATCATCCAGACTGTGAAGGCGGGGTTCTCTTGTCAGTATGACTCCGCCTCCTGACTTGACAAGACTCGCCAGCTCCTCCCTTGAAGGTGTGGGATAGTTAAACTTGCCATGGAAATAAAACTGACAGCCATCAAACAGTCCTGGTAACTGAGGGGGGAAACAACAAACGTTTATTACTAAAATATGTAGGTTATAAAAAACATGGATCAACACGTGACATTGAAATATTCAGGAAGCTGTGTTCAATATTTCAGTTCTCCTTCACCAGCTGTAACCTCCGGTGGACAATTCTGGACTTTAGTCTGTTCCAGAAATTGAGTTTTACATGCACATCAATTTTACATATCTGGCTTATCTGTATGCAGACTGTTGGTTCCTTGCCTCTCAGGCATAAGTGCTTCGACCTCAAAGGAAACCCCTCATCAGTTGACTCTTAGGACATGCTTGTTATTGATGCAGTGGATCTCTCCCCTCCCCCCCCCCCCCCCCCCCACATATAGATCTTCTGGTGGGTGTAACTCTACAACAAGTGAGATCAATACCACGTAAGCTTTCTCTGATATATGTGCCGTCTGTCAGTGAGGTATCTGGCCTTACATTCATCCACCACTCTCTTTTGGATTCATCTCCATGACCCCCAAGAAAATCACCTCCTCATCCAGTATTCATGTCATGCATGGTTCATGAGCACGAAATAACTTGTATCACTGGTTTCAGACTTTCAACACCTGTGGCCCTGTTTTTTCCAACTTATGCCTTAAATTCTCACAATAAATTTTTTTTTTAATTTTAATTATAGGTCTGTATGTCAGCTTTTTTTTCCCCACCTGTTTTTCAGCTTGGTTTAATTTTTACATCTACAATCAATACCATTTTGTTAAAGTACTTAATGGCTGTCATCACCAAATGCTATCTCTACACTGTTAAGTAAAGTAGTGAGTAGGGGACACACTAAAAATATATAGTGGAACATGGTAACCAATACAAAATGGCATGTACTGTAAGAATTTCTGTTTTAAACTTCTTACACCTCAAAAACTTATTAAATATGTAATGTGTTGTTTTTTTTTTTTTTTTTTTTTTATTTTGTTGTTGCTCCTGAGGGGATGCAGATTTGAATAAAGAAGAAAATGGTTAGAATGTTGGCTTTTTATTAAGGGGGCCCAGGTTCAAATCCTCAACAAAGTGATAGAAACTGTTTTGTCATGGATAAAAATTAAACATTCTAACATGCAGTTCATGGCGTCTGCACAAGCTATGCTGCCCTCAATCCTATGGCTCATAACCTCCTCCCACCTCCCTCCTGTTCTACACCACCCTAAAAAGTGGAAGTACAGTCAGTAAAGAGTTTTATTTGGAATACTTGTAGAATTTTACAGACAAGGCTGGGAATGACATGGTTAACTGCTGATGCCAAGTGGTTAACAAAGAAATGATATTGTCTTGAAACTATCAAACATTTACCTGTGCATATTTGTTCTCTCGAGATTTCTTGGGGGCCAGGGTTTGTGGATTGTTTGTGCAGCCTGCAATTTCAAAGTCTTCTTCAGGTGCCCTGATATTGTGTTCTAAGCATGTAGCTAGCCCTGTACAAAACAAACACAAGTTTATATATATATAAATATATATTTATTCCAATTAAATTTCATTAGAGTACTTTATTCTTGTGTTTTGTAGATATAAAGTTTCAAATCTTTATCTTTGTTCAGTTAAAACTTGAGGACATTTCCTGAAGAGTGACAAGACTCACTTCAGAGATTCCGGGTAGTTAGCATTCTTTGGATATTTTCTCCAGGTCGTGCTGGTGTGGGGAAATAAGCAGGCAGATAGACTGGCCAGCTCTGCACCACTTGGTGGTGAATTGATGTATGACAAGCTTGATGTTGTGGGAGCCCTTTGGGAGCAAGTCAATATTGCAGAGGCACAGATAGATCATTATGGTCTGAGGAGAATGGTGCTGCAAGGAGTTACCAGTGGATCTGGCCGACGCTCAACACAGTTAAGGAGAGGGCGGGACAGATATATACAGTCGAACAGTTACTAGTACCATCAGAATTTGAACTCTTCGCTTGCTGCTGAAAATGGGAACGGAATGCTTATGGGAGTATCCCGAATACTGTGATGATGATTCTTAATTCAACCACAACCTTCCATTTATATATCACTATACTGAACAACTGTAAAAGTGAATAAAGATAAAGACTATAAACTTTATATCTACAAATTGTAAGTAAGTATAAAGGACTCTTATGCCATTTACACAATGGGCATATGGTGCAAGACCCACACTGAGGACCAGTCGGCTCTAGGCGCTTTATGTAAACATCAGGCCAGCCACCTTCAATTCCCAGGACATTTCCTGTTCCTAGTTTAGGCTGGGCTGATCTGAAAGCCCAGCTATATTTTTTTTTCAATCAGCCTTTATGTGGATTTCAACCCGAAATCTTTGAGCTATCACGCAGATTTCTAGCTGCTGCATTATGTGGCTACCATATCTTATTATAACTCTTGCTCAAATAGTTTTATGCAGAAAGTTCATTCTCATTTTTAAAAACACATTATGAGTCAAATAATCGGTTACTGTTTGTTTTCCCCTGGGAGCCGCGTTGGCGCAGTCGATAGGAGACTCGCTTTCAAATCCAGCTGCCACTCACTGCAGCACAATGCCGGTGTTCCAAACCGGGCGGTTCCCGGGGTTCACCCAGCCTCTAGGAAATGGGTACCAAAGTTGACACTCTGGGGTAAATGGAGGAACATCGCTGTAGCTAGAGTTGCATGCAGACGGCGACACAGGCAGATAGTTCCTAATCAGCTGTCCTTACTGGCGGCAGAGCACCTATGGTTTATAACCGTGTGCAATGACGCTGGTTCACATCTCATGACTTTACCTTTACCTCTATTTCCTAATAGTGTTTGTTGTAAAAACTGGAATGTCTAAACCAAGAAAAAAATTAATTTGACTTAGATATTATTAACACAACAATTGTAAACATTAAAAATCCTAGTTTTTATGTAAAGTGCATTTCCAAAAAGTTACAAAAATATAGTAAAATAATTCAGCACATTTGCAGAAATAATAAAGTCTTAAAAGAAACAAAATTAGTAAACCGGTGGATGACTCCATTTATATTCTACTTACAGACTACTTATGAAGTTGTCTGAAATTGTGTTTTACAAGTTATACCTCGGTCCTTGTTATGTCTAAAGTGATGATGTAAATAAGGGGAGACTGCAATCGAGCTAATTGCAAGAAATGCTAAATATAACATAAAAAGTGACTAGAAAGCTCAACGGAGGGAATGGAAAAGATGCCCACAAACACAACCAAACGTTTCAACCAGTCTTTATCAACGTACTAAATACAGCACAAACTGTGAATGGAGAACTCAAGGTACAAGACAACAGAGCTAGTAAAGGACCAACGTATTTGGGGGGGGGGGGGGTATATATGAATAAGAAAGACTAGAATACAATACGAAATAAGTAAGAAGGTGTATGTAAAAAGAGGGGGAGAAATATGAAGTTAAATAAATGAACAAGTAAATAAAGCCGTGCTGAATATTAATCCCTCCAAACTAAGAACGTCAAAACTATGGATAAAACGATTTTTTAATGAGTAGCGGCTGGTTTGATCACCGGAGCAAGATTTAATAGCAGTGACTAAGATATCATTTTCGCCTTGGTGGTCAGAACTGCTGAAATTGAGGGAGACAGGTTTAAGAGCCTTATTACAAATGTCAGCCAGATGTTCATGGAAGTGATCTGCTGGCTTCATACTGGTTTCCCCAATATATACCTTTTACAACTTTTGCAGATGATGGCATAAATTTGGCTACGTGATTCACATGTGAATGCTTCTCTAATATGAAATAAACCTACAGACTTATTGGTTTATGTTGACTTTGTTTTTCTTATTAGCTCTCTTGTCTTGTCCGCTGAGTTCTGCAGTCAGTTTGTGCTGTATTTAGTACCCTATTGATAAAGACTTTGGTCAGAACGTTCGGTTATGTTTGCGTGTGTCTGTTCCATTCCCTCCGTTGAGCTTTCTAGTCACATTTTGTGTTATATTTAGCATTCCTTGTTATGTTTAGTTAAGATGTTTAACTTACATTTGGTATTAACAACCCACTGTCCAGCAAGAACAACATTTAGATACTTGAGAGTTCTTGGGCACCTGCCTTCAGCATTCACACCTGTGACGAGATGGCTGACTGAAATGTACATATTATAAGATAGGTCATGGGGTGCAATGAAATTCATGTTTAAATCAATACTTCTTACCAGCATCTTAAGGGTTAACAGAATGCAATGAGTGGGGCATACAGAGAGAATGTAGATAACACAGAGACAACAAATGTACCCAACAGACAGACCCACTCACACTGGACTATATGTTACTCCATAAACATCTTGTGGCACCCCAGTATAACTGTGCAGTATGGCTACAAGGTTGAACAGGGTTTCTGGGATTTGTACCGGTTTGATTTTCTTCCTTGAGATGTTAATCCTACAAACTGCAATCATGCAGGGAAATAACTGTATTTAAAAAACTGTACCTAAAAGAGCTGATTGCTAACCAAAAGGTCAGTGGAGAGATAATATACTGGCAGATATACAAACACTTAGGGTCACCAACTGGAAAAATAAGGCCAGTTACAGAGATGAATCAAAAATGGTGATATCTGCAGCAATAAACCTCAAGGGCTCAGAGTGCTAAGAAGAAAAAACAGTCATGGTTTGCTGTCAGTATTTCTTTTTAAATCTGTGACAGCTCCTGGTCTGCAACCCAGACCTCAAACAGTAAACTAGTCTCAGGCACTCAGACTGAGCCTATGCCCGAGCCCAGTAAAACCCACAACAGCCAATAAATTGTTCGCAATGCCATGTAAAAGACATGAAACTAACTTTGACAATCAACTTCTACTTGCTCATTGTTGTGTTGTTGTTTTTTTCCTTCCCATTATACTGAGCTGAAAAATACACAAACCTATTTAACCCACTGCACTATACAGCACTGAGCTGTTTTACCAAGCACAGACATGAAACAAAAGTTACCTTCAGTGGAAAAATCATCAACCACCTTGGCCCTTAACATTTTAGCACACTTTAGCAACAGTGAATGTTCATTCTTGGAAAGCGCCGTGCCAAGCAGGCATAAGGGCTGATCACCAACTTCTGCCACCTAATTTTAAAATAAAACATCATTTTCATTTCAACAAAGGGAAATAAAAATATTTACAAATTTACTTTTTTTAAATGTATTCAAATAAATGTTTTAAATCTCCTTTCCAGTTTAAAAAACAAAAACAAAACATCTCTTTCTCTGTTCACCGTTTGTAAGCTCCAGCAGAAAGTCCTGGTTGTTCATCCACTTAGACTTGGACTTTGTGTCATGGCCAGTTTTGCGTGCACAATCATTTAAGTTACTTATCTGTGTGCAGTTCGTTGTTCCTTGCTGCTCAGGTAGATGCACTCCGACTTCAAAGGAAGCTCTCAATTAGTCGACTGCTACAACATGTTTGTTAGGGAAGCAGTGGGTCTATTCTTGTTTTCCCAACAATGGGACCCCAGGAACCCACAGTGGGCACAAGAAACATGATTCTGTGCTTTACAGGATTTCCAACCCTAAAGGGTACTGTGATCTTTGTACAACAGAATTGTCCTATACTGCCTGTATTTACCACTTGTTAGGGCAGTGTAGGTTAGGGAAGTCTTGAATCTTTAAGAAACAAGGTTTAATGGAAGATATGCGAAGAGAAGGGAAAAAAACATGATGAAAAAGTGAATTAATTACAATCAAAGTGGTAATATACACAGCAGTAGTGATGATTTGGGGAAACCAGACTTCTTTAGCATGTTCTGAATAAATATTGAAAAAATAAGAGAGCACGTTATGCTATCAGTGAAATTAAGGGGTAAAGTCATTTACACACCAGGCCTTGCTCTAGACAGAGAGTTTAGTCACCAAAAATTGTGCAGGTTAGTTTCTTATTTTGCCATGACAGAAAAACTTGACATCGCCCTATTGATGACTCAAATTTGGGTCAAACGAGATCCCAGCATACTAACCACACGGCCAGCCTCTCCTTCTTCAAACTTCTGCATTTGCCCATAAAAGTACAGCTGGCATATTGTGTTGTAATTTACAACACATCCAATCTTAGCAATTCTCTTAATTGGTCACCTTTTATCTTCTTCTTCTACTTTGGTCACTGGCTGTAAGCTCCAGAAGAAGTCCTGGTTGTTTGTATGGATTTTGGCTTTGTGCCAAGGCCTGAGTTTTGCATGTACATCTATTTTACTGGCTTATTTATGTGCAGTTGGTTGTTCCTTGCGGCTCAGGCAGATGCACTCCAACTTTGAAGAAAGCTCCCAATAACTCGACTCCTTTGACATGTTTGTTGGGGAGGCAGTGGGTCTATTCTTGTTATCCGCCACAATGGGGCTCTGGAACCCACGTGGGGAGTCGCCTTCTTTTGACATGCTTGTTAAGGGCCAGTGGGTCTATTCTTTTTCCTCCCAAAAACCTCCCAGGACCCACACAGGGACCTACTTCATTCAAAAAGTTTACAGAAAATATAAACTTCCATGGACCTCTGACTCCACTTCTGCATGTTTCTGGTACTGAATGGTCACTATCAAAATTCTTCACACAACCAGTTCACCACAGAACACAATTATTGTTGGTTGTAAGGTTAATGAAACTTCAACCGTAGAACCAGAAACATCTATATTTAATCAATAAAAATGTAAACAACTACAAACCATTGATGTGTTGATGTCTGCTGCTGGCAATGATGTGCTAGAGGCAGTCAGTAACATTTCTCGCATCTCATCTGTCTGTGCTTGATCTAGAGGTGTCCTTCCATGTATATTCCTACAGTCACAATAAAACATGAATGCAGTGATAACACTGATGTATTTCCCCCGACTGTAAGCAGGTTAAGTAAAATTACTGTGTTTTAAATATCCCTTGCCCTTATGTAAAACTTACAACCACCATTAGTCAAAAAACTGTCACTACTCTCCGTATTTACTGGCTTTTAGGTTGGTGTGGGAGGTCTTGAGCCTCAGGATTTAGGGACGCATGGCATGGCTAGTGCTGTTGCCATGGACTGTGCAAGTTCAGAAGACAGATTCAGTTTAGTTCCTAAGACAGATTCAGTTTAGTGCCTAAGACATGGTTCAGTTTAGTGCCTAAGACAGATTCAGTTTAGTTCCTAAGACAGATTCAGTTTAGTGCCTAAGACATGGTTCAGTTTAGTGCCTAAGACAAGTTCAGTTTAGTGTCTGACAAGTTCAGTTTAGTGCCTAAGACAGATATAGTTTAGTGCCTGAGACTGGTCAGTTTTAGTACTTGATACTGATTCAATTTAGTGCCTAAGACAGGTTCAATTTAGTGCCTAAGACCAGTTCAGTTCAGTGCTTGAGACAAGTTGAGTTTAGTGCCTAAGACAAGTTTAGTTTAGTGCAGAAGACAGGCTCAGTTTAGTGCCTAAGACAGGTTCAGTTTAGTGCCTGAGGCTGACACTTCGTAAATGATACATGCTGACCATCATAATTAAACAACATATTTTTTACTGGTATTGTTACACAAATCTGTTCTAACTAATCATTGTTACCTTGCTAATGTGTTGGCTCCTCTTGACACTAGCAGTCTAACACACTCCAGATGATAATTGTTGACTGCATCATGCAAGGGGGTGTCATTGTCAAAGCCTGGGGTGTTGACAGCTGCTCCATAGTTTAGGAGTAGTTCAGCTATGGTGTCATGGCCATGGTTGACAGCTTCATGCTGCAAACACCAGATCGACACAATATCAAAAATAAAGAGAGAGGTGGGGGGGGGGGGGGGGGGGGGGGGGAGATTTAATCAAATAAACTGCAAGAAATTATAAACAAAAGTGGAACACGTAACGTTAATCTCCCCCACACCCCTGCCTATATACACACGAGGTCACTTCTGATTGGTTCCTGAGCCTCGTAACCTTCCTACAAGGTCAGAGGAGTTTTCCGCGATAACATTGATATCGTGTGTTGTATATTTCAGCATGCTAGTGCTTTTAACGCTCCAAAAAAATACAGCAACTGGTCCTAACACAAACCACCCCCCCCCCCCCCCCTCCCCCCCCCCCCAGAGAGTGCTGCAACCTATGTCACATGCATTCTCTTTCTCGGAATGAAAACGTAAATACAAGACAACACAGAAAGCAAACAATAGAGCTGGACACACCTGTAACCTTCAGGGAAGTCGACCAGGCCAACAAACTTGTGAATAAAAAGTCATCTACTCTATTTGGAAAGATTTGCGTTATGTTAACCACAAAAGTAATCCCTCAGAATTTCCATCACTTCTGACCCAAAGCCTAGATAAAAAAGAAGGGGGGAGGGGGGGGGGGGAAACCAAGATACCTCACCCTGTAAAAACAACTGTGCTAAGAAAACTGCATAATAGGAAAAGAATGACACTGAGGACTAGACTGTGAGCCATATGTGACATATAACAGTACAACCGGATGATGATGATGAATCCCTCAAAAGTATCACAAATACCATGCTGAAATATTTACACACACAAAACATTCCATACAAAAATGTGCACATAAAATGAACTAATGCTTCAACAATAATACCCAGGAAACACACACACAAAACATTCCATACAAAAATGTGCACATAAAATGAACTAATGCTTCAACAATAATACCCAGGAAACCAAAAAAAACAAACCCACAGCCATCAAAGCAAAAGAAAAGAGTTTTGATCATTTGACCACTAAGATCCCAGGCTTTACTTATCATATCAGAACTGGCATTTCACTGCTGTGTAATAATATGAAATGAAATTGGCTACATAAATATTATTTCTAATAAATTGAATTTTACATTCTGTGAAGAGGCATGTAAACATGTAACCAGGTCATGATTTAGCACAGCATATGTATGAAATGAAAACTGGCTTCATAAATTGCTTTTTAAATTAATACATTCCAAGAAACTCAATCAATAGGAAAGTCTTCCCCTCTCTAAACTCGGAATTCAGTTGAATATCTACAATTTCTATGGAATATTCACATGAGCCTGGACATATTAAAATAAAAGAGATATATAATCTTTCATCGTAACACATAGGATTGAGACTAGGCCTAGATGTTTCCTGATGGTTAATAGCTGATGTTTCCTCTTCATGTTTTACATATTTCATTGTCAAGACTCCAACCAGCCTTATATGAGTACACAATACCATTACAAAAATGTATCTCTGACAATTTCATCTGTTACTTTCATGTGGGGGCGTATGAGAGTGATGGTTTGTGCATATGTGAATATGTAAAGTTCACTATAATCACACTGCAGAGAAATGTTATGCAGCAATCAACAAGCTAAAACTGACTGAAAATGTAAGAATAAAACATACTTAGGAAAGAAAATGCAGTCAACTTACAAGTGGAGTCCATCCTGCATTATCTCTAACATTAGGGTTAGCGCCTTCCTCCAACAGACGTTGAACAGTTTCTACATCAGCCTGAAAGAGCACGTGTCAGCCACAAGATAGAATGTGTAACTATCAAAATCAACAAAGGAATTCTGTTCTATCATCGATGTCTGTCAGGAAAATTTGTCAAACACTGAGGACTAATTATAAACTTCTACTTGGAGCATACAGAAAAAAAAATCTGGAAACCCGGAAAATTTCTAAATGCATATATAACCACACCCTGATTCCCCCATTTTGAATCTTGAAGTAGTAATTTTCATGCCTAGCCTTTTCAGATGAGGGTGAAAACATAGGAGATCGAGTGATCATCTTGTCTGCCCTATCGCTCTGAGAAGGCTAAATCTAGTCACTTCCGGCTGTAACAAAGCCCTGTAAATGCCAATATATAGTCATTTCCCAAGTGACCTGTTCCTGAAAAGCATACTTAAATTCCACTGGTTCTATATGCCCGTGTGTCGAAGGTCCATATGTGAATATGTTGTTAACTAAATATAACATTCAGAGGCTTTTCTTGTAAAGCCAATAGATTTTCTATAGTGAGAATGACTTAAAATGGTCCTGTAAGCCCCAGTGATAGAGGTCACAGAGTCACCGCATGAGTCACCCAATATATAATTGTTTAGAGAATGCATTCCATTTAATTATTCACTCTGTTCTCTTTTGACTACTCTCTTTATATATCTTTATATATTTTGAATAAACAAATTTGTAATGTAGATAAATACACTTTTAAACAATATACTAGCTACCTGTATAAAACAGTTTACAAGGAATTAGTTTGAAAATCGTCATGGGCTTGTGACAGTGTTTATTTGTGTTACCATTTATAGGATAAAAGGGTTAAAGGTCCTCAGAATCTGGGACAGGGAGCCCTGCATTCACAAAGCACATGATCGACCTTCATTGGCACAAAACAACTTGAATTTATATGATCACATCTCACGGCTCATTAATAAAGGGAAATAGTTATTTTCAGGGGATAACTAGCTACATAACAAATCAGCATGTTTTCCCCCAGTCGTCTTCTATATCAAAGGGTAATTAAAGATCCCTTCTGTCTTGTTTCCTAAAAATGTTCACTTGTGTCAAAGCTTAGCAATGCTTATTCTTCTTCTTCTTTCGTTCGCATGAAATAAATTATCTATATCTGCAATACTGTTTCTAGTATGAATTTCACTCTTATGTAATTCACTAAGTGGCCCTAAAGTTTGACATCCACAATTGTCTCTTTTGGCCAGAAGTTTTGTCTGGAAGCGCTGAATCTGGGACAGTCTTGGAGGATGTGATCTGTTGTCTCAGGTGCCAGTCCACAGGTACACATGCCTGATAGGCCAATCTTAAATTTGTTGTACATGTGGCAGCAAAGTCGATTGTGCCCTGTTCTAAGGCGAAGGATAATGACTTGCTCTGGTCTGTCCATAATATGGTAATCGTCTTGTGCCAGTTTCAGTGGCATTCTGATTGATTTGATCATTCTCTTCTTCTGCTGATAAGAGACTGGTATGTCGGGTTGTTCTTCAGTTGCACCTTCCTTAGCTAGTTTATCAGCTCTTTCATTTCCAGGAACTCCACAGTTGGAAGGTATCCACTGCATTACTAACTTACAACGGTTGCCTAGTTCGGATAATAGTGTCCGTATGCTTGGTAATTTTCCATACTGGAGTGCCTGAAGTACCGCTTTTGCATCTGTCAGGAATACCACTGGTTGTGAAAAAATACCCTGTATTTAGTAGTTTCTCTACCGCTATCTTGATGGCTTGAACTTCTGCATCATAGTTGTGACAGTGCTTTCCTGTTGGTATTTTGGCTGTATCCCTGGTATTATTATAATACTCAATGTACACTCCTGCAACTCCATTTCTGACTGCACTTTCTGCTGACCCATCTGTGTAAACACGGACCCAAAGATTCTGTGGGTATTTTTCATCAAGTAGACTGAGGGTGGCTGTTTTGCGCTGCACACTGTTTTGTTCTTCCTTGTCAAATACTCCTTTCACGTCTGTCTTGATGTGTATTGGAAACTTATACTCCTCTCTCCAGGGGTCCGTTCTGGGACAGCATTTAAGGATCTATCAGTTGCAGGCAAATCAGTGGTTTGTCCGCAGAGCCGTTTGGCCTGGTGGATAAAACTACTTCTCTTTAGTCGTCCCAAAGCTAGGTTTTGGAATCTTTCATTCATAGGGTGACTAGGCATACTAAGAAACTTGTCTGCCTGTAAAAGCATCTTGGTGTCTCTGCGTTCACTCAGTGCTTGGGTCATCCCCATCTTCTCCATCACGGCTATAGGTGTTGATTTCATACTGCCTGTGGTAACTCTGAGTTCTTGATTTTGCACTTTGTCTAATTCTTGCAATGTGGTTTTTGATGCCGAACTCCATGCTGTTGATCCGTATTCAAGATGTAGTCGAACACTTTGTTGGTAAACTTTCCTAAGTATTTTCCCTCTAGCACCCCATGTGGTTCAACTTAGTTTTCTCAGAATGGCTACCCTCCTCCTGGCTTTAGTTGCTGCCTTGTTAATGTGTTTTTTCCATGTTAACCTATGTGCATGACGCCTGATTTTTGTTTTGGAGAGAGGGTAAAGAGGGTGGTGCTGCATTTGTCTTTGTTGATGCTGACACAAAATTTGTCGGCCCATTCAGCCATTGCATCTATGGCTCTTTCTGGCAGTCTGGTGGCCACTGTTGCATGTTCATTTGTACACCAGAGTACCTAGTCATCAGCTTACACTGCAGCTTTAATTCCATGGGGTAGTTCAGAAACCAGGTCATTGATATAGACTAGGAAGAGTGTGGGAGACAGGACGCCTCCTTGTGGGACGCCATGGCGCAGCAAAACCTTCTTACTCTTAAGTCCATCTACCTGTACTCGGGATCTTCTGTTATACAAGTAGGCTTTCACCAATTTGTACATACTTCCATTCACCCGGCAGTCTCTCAGTTTCTTCAGTAGACCTTCTTTCCAGACCTTGTCAAAGGCTTTCTTCAGATCTATCCATGCCTTTAGCACTAGCTTCTTTTTCTGGAAGGCATCCTCAATTTCTTGCGAAAGGTAAGTTGTCTGATCTTCTGTGGAGTAGCACTGTCTAAATCCTGCCTGCTGCGGCATGATAATGTTTTCACTTTCCAAGTACCATTGGAGTCTAACGTTGACAATACGTTCCATTGTTTTACAGAGGCAGCTGGTAAGACTGATCGGTCTATAGCTGGAGGCATCGGAACTTTCCTTTCCTGGTTTAAGCAGAGGTATCGTAATTGCTTCTCTCCATAACTGGGGAACTTTACCACTGGTCCAACAATGATTAAAGATCTGTAGCAGCTTTATTTTGGCGGTTGTTCCAAGGTTCTTGATCATTTCGTTGGTGATTCCATCAATTCCAGGTGATTTTCCCATTCTCAGCTTTGATATTGCTAACTCTAACTCGCTAGATGTAAGTGCTGCCACCAGTGCCTCAGGAATTATATCATTTTGTCTTGTTTGCTGTTTGTTCTCTCAAACCTCTCACTGTTTCTCTGGGCTGACATTAATGTTGCTGTCTTTGGCAAAAGAATCTGCAAAGTGGCCAGCTGCCTGTTTTCTTGTTAGTATGGCTCCTTCTTTGCATAGTGCAATATTAGCAATGTTTATTAAATAATAGACTCTATGGTTCGTTTATTTTTCCCGTAGCTGACCCATTAATAAAGACCATTTAAAAATAATTAAATTAAAATGAATATTTACATAAAGGAAATTAAACACATTGTCCACACTGGTAAAGGGATATTAAGCACTAGGCTTTCATACTTTTCTTTGGTGGAGGCGTTATGAGGTGCAGGAAATCATCAAAAATAATCAATGCATTAGTCCTCAAAATGCAAACATTGTAATGCTTAATTAGAACTAGGTAGTGATATTTCTGACAAAAATACAAGTTTTTAATGAAATACTGGGTATCCTTCTTCTTCTTCCTTTCCTAGTACTCCTTTAGGTGTCGATGGAGATATATGTTTTTGGTTCTTGTTCTTCTTTTCAGCTCAACCATAGACACTTTGTACTGTTTCATCAGGTATTTAAAATCTAAAGTAAGCCAGAAATAAATCAAGAGTTATACAAAACTTACCTTTATAGTTGCAACTTGTAGTGGTGTTTCTCCTTTAGCATTTCGTTTATTCGGATATGTTTTAGACTTACTTGCTGATCTTTCAGTTGACTTGCATGCTTCTTTCTCTCTCACATTTTCAAAAAGTGGTTTTGGTGGTGTCTTACAGCTATCGACTGACAATTTATCAGACTTTAAATCTCTATGTGCTATCCTTTTCTTTTGTCTTTTCTGACTTGTAGTAGCAGCAGACTTTCCACCTGTAATTAGTATATCTGATTCTGCTTGTCTATCTGCAGCAACTGCTGAAATTGTAACATCTTGTGCCACAGTTTTTGTCTCAATTTTGTCCACCCTACACTTGTTTAATTTACAGCTTTTGTTAGGTGGACAGTTTTTACTTGTTTTATTATTGTTTTCCTGTCCAGCTTTGATTACTGACGAACTCATCACTGAAATCATATTTTTGCTGCTATGATCACTGCATTTCTGCACGCTGCGCTGATCTGATTTAGCATTTTTACTTTCATTTCTCCTTGGGGTTATGACTGCCACTGTCTGTTTCTCGACGATTTCTCTATTACTAGATAAGGGCAACTGTTTGCCTGAGAAAGAGAGAAAAACACAAATGAAGACTGACTTACATTTTTTTTAATTTTTACTTAAATCTGGTCATAAGAAATAACAGACTGAGAAATGTAAAATGGCTAGGGTTATTTTTTTCTTCTACCAATACCTTGACTTTTTTAGGCAAATTAGGTATAATGAACATTCTTTGAAACTAGATCTAATACTTCTTTTCTTCTTCTTTGATCATTAAAAAAAAGGCTGGCAAATTGATTTACCGTGTTGTGGTTTACAGCTAGGCTGTGATATCTGCACCTCTCCAACCCCATCAAACACATATGAATGAAGCAAACCTTTAATTAGTCACCTTTTACAGACTTATTACTAAGGGGCAGCTACTATTCTCAACCCAAACCCTCCGCCCCCCCCCCCCCTCCCAAATGGAAATACGGAATGCACATGAGGATACTGGTGTCCATACAAGAGTCACATCATTGAAAAAAACTGCAGCCTCACAACATTCTATTTCAACAACCAGAACTGGATTCACATATCCACTTCAGCCAGCCAGTAGCAGCAACTCCAGCATAATTTGTCTTCTCTTATCTTCAGAACCATTGCATGGATCACAATCAGTTTGTTACATCTGTTCTTACACTGTCCATGTCATGTGATTTTTTTAATTTACAAGTATATAAGTGTAGATATTTTAGAGAGGCATAATTCCTTGAACTATTTAAACTATATAATTCTTCTTCTTCAGCCTTCTGAGTCTTCGATGTTCACTGCTGTAGATATCACCCACCTCCACTACTCTCTGTGACTGACTTTCTCTTACCAATTGATGACACTGAGTGTTTGTAGGTCTGCCTATATATTATCTCTACCAGCTCCTTGTTCTGCCTTGTGGTCTTACATATTAACCGTGGGACGCTGATGTATATGTCAAAGGTGGAATCTGAGCACTTATGGATGTGTCTGGAGTGCTGTCAAGATGACCTAACTAATAACTCAACCTCCCCGTGTGGGTTCCTGGGTCCTATTATAGAGAAAACAAGAATAGACCCACTGCCTGCCCAAAAGCATGTCGTAAGAGTTGACTAATTGGAGCTTCCTTCAAAGTCAGAGTGCATCTGCTTAAAGAGACAAGTAACCAGCAGTCTGCATACAGATAAGGCAGATCTGTAAAATGGATGCACACCCAACACTTAAGTTCTGGAACAGGACTGCAGTCCAGAAGTGGATGAACAACCAGAACTTTCTGGAACCACAACGCAAAGATGACGAAGATATGATGAAGATAACTCAGCTCACACCAATTTAATTTTTGTGTGTGCCATTTTTTGTCTCTGTTATCTGCTTTTCTTGATATATGCCCCGCCCACTACATTGTTCTTGTCTTGCCCCATCCATATGGTCAAGCCATCTAGGTATTTATCTCTCTGCCTTCCTCTTGCTCTTTATCAATATATCTTGTCAGGTATATTACCATGTTCTTGAGTCCACTCCTGCTCATAAAATGTCCACAAATACTGACGGCCTGTGTCTAATCAGTCTAATCAATTTATGATTTTTATCTGTTTTGAGGACTGCATCATTTCACATCTCTTGCAGTCTACTAACTCTGAGATCACCTCCCAGTTAGGCTCGGGTCCATAATGGCCATTTATTTGTGGTGTACAACAAGGATATATGCTACATACCGTGCACACAAGATTAGCTGTGTGTCCATTACAACCCCAGCATTTTTTACCTGTTTGTCTTCTTCTTCTTCTTCGCGTTCACCAGCTGTAAACTCTGGTGGAAAGTTCTGGTTGTTCGTCTACTTCTGGACAGCAGTCCTGTTCCAGAACCTGAGTGTTATGTGTGCATCCGTTTGACAGGTCTGACACATTTGTGTGCAGACTGCTGGTTCCTTGCCTCTCAGGCAGATGCACTCTGACTTCGAAGGAAGCTCCCAATTAGCCGACTCTTACGACATGCTTTTGGGTAGGCAGTGGGTCTATTCTTGTTTCTCTATAATAGGGCCCCGGAACCCACACAAGGGATTTTAGCTGTTTGTGATTTCACTAGGCAATTTTATGTTCATTAGTTTGCCACTGCTTACTAAACGGTCGGTCCTCAACACCACTGTTAAAACAAATGCAAGGCAGTCTTCTGACAAATCACACACAGCTAGTATTAAACCCAGCACCAAGAATTACAAAGCATGTTCACTGTTTAAACCACAGAGCTGTTGTATCTACAACTAGATAGTGATGATGCCAGTTCATACAACATACTGGCCTTAACTATCCCTTATTCCAAGAATTAAAATGAGCACACCGCAAAATCATGTATTTAAAAAAAAAAAAGGTTAACATTCTAAACACACATTATAATCATTAATAAATAACACACAAGTTATAGCCCTTACCATTTAATATATCAGACATTAACCAGCACAGGGATGCAATATTGGACAACTGCTTATCGACACGTGCTTCAGTGGCATATGAGGGTATGTTACAAAGTGGACATATGGCTCCCTGTCTGTCCTGAGCACATTTCCTTGAAAATAAAATAGATTAAACTTATTTTTAAAAAAAAGCTTTAACAAGTTTAAGAATAAAGAAACTTCATTTGCTATTTATGTTCCTGGGACAATATTCAACAGAATCATTCTAGATAAAGAGATGCCATTGACAAACAAAGAAAACGGCTTTTTTTTTTCTTTTCTTTTTTTTTTTTTTGCAGTCAGTGAAATGAACCCATGCCTTTAGAGTGCGAGGCAAACAGCTTGTCCACTTCAAATCAAGAAATGAGGAAAATAATCTTACTGGATGGGGTACACATTTTAATATAATATTTAAATTTTAATTACATCTTATAATAGTATAATTAAAACTGATCAAGGAAGACGACAGAAACATGGAAAAGAGAATGAGACACAAAATATAAATATTATTCGAGGACACAGGCATTTGCAGATGGCATGAGATAATATGGTTTGGTATGAACTGGCTGAGGGTTATGCTCCAATGGAGGATAGGAAGGAGAATAATAAAACTAAAAAGTCTTCTTCATCTTAAAGTCCATGTTGTGTGACGTTGGTAGTCATGTCTATCCACAACCTTCTGTCTCGTGTACTTTCTATCAACTCTGATACAGATGATCCTCCATGCCATTATGTCCAGCATATTCTCTCTCAGTCTCCTTTCGCCTCTCTTCCCCTGCAACTTTTCTACCGTCATGATGTACTCCAGTTTTCGCCTTCTGAACATATGACCATCGAATGTAGATTGTCTCTTTCTGATGTGGGCAATCAGTTTTCTTCATGAGTCAGCTTCTTTCAAGACATTTTCATTACTCGACCTGGAAACCAAAGTAATTTTTTTTAACAAAACAAATCCGCCTGGTGTCAATTTGAATCCAAGAAGGTCAGACCAACAGGCAAGCATCTAGCCACTACACACCAGCATTCCTAAAGATTAAAGCTGACTAATAATAAGCTGAACCTATCTTAATCATAAATGTCAATGTGTCTGTATAAAAATTTACATACCCACAGAATCTGTGTTCACACTGGCCCAAAGTAAAGAGCTCTTTAGAAACCTGGCAGCTACAAAGAAAAAACATTGCTTGTTAAACAAACACATTTTAATTGCATGTTTAAGTGACGTCCAGCAAACCAGCAGCAGATTTAAATATTCACTCCAAAATGCTGTAGAAACAGTTTATGAAATAAGAAATTCAACAAGCCAACAATGTACGTATCAACTGATCCCAATTTTTAAACATCGTCAAACCCAAAAGATTTTTTTTTAAATATATAACTATTAACTTTGTGCTAACAGTGTCAGACCTGGATGTTGATTAACGATCATAAAATACAACTGACCACCTGTGAAATGAGATGTCTGAAAAAGACTAAACAAAACTAAAAGAGATCATGTGAGAAATGAAAAAAATTACCAGAACTATTATAATATTATTTATAATTAGATTTATTTAAAAAACTGAAATGGTTTGGCCATTAAATGAGAATGAATGCAATGATGCCAGCAATGATAGAGTACAACATGAAGATAGAAATACCAGCATATGAGGGAGGACCAAGAAGAAGATGAAGAAGTCACTGATATCTTGAGACTCCACAACAGGCAACCAAGTGTGCCCTAGCTCGGATACTGAACATCTGTTATCCTGTGCTGCCACTGAGGTGTGAAGCAATAACCCTGTCATCCCGTGACAGGAACAGTTTCAGTTTACTGTTTTTTTTTTTGTTTTTTAATTGCTTTTTCTTTCTTTTTTCATTCTCTTTTCTTAGAGTACTTTCGGAGAAATATAAGGATGTGTTTCTTTTCAATTTGCTTTGTGAAAATGACATTCTTTAACAATATTTTTAGGGTTAAGAATTTCACATAATTTGGGCCCCAATACATAAGATGTGGTGGGAAGTTTCCTGCCTCATCGACCAGAACAGGTTGCTATGTGGCACCCATTTTTTATGAGACTGGATCAATCTCAAAGCCACATTGGCTGAAAAACATTCTGCCTCTTCAATGGAACTGAACCCAGACCATTGCCTCAGAAGGCAAGTACCCTAACACTACTACTATGCCAGCAGAACATCTTCTTATCTACTACAATAAAAACTTATCTATTAAACCTAATTATGAGAAAATGGGCTATCTTCCGAATAACGGTCCTAAATTATCTAGGCCGAAAATATACCCTAACAGAGCCTCAGTCACGTGTCAATTGCACACTTCCAGGGACTATACCGCCGAGAGTATCTCACACGCCGCTGACGCGGCGTGGATTGGTGCTAAACTAGATGGCTGGGACTCACAAGAAAATAAAATAAGGGAAGCTGCAGGAGATGCGGTAGCTGCTGCTCGTGAGTCCCAGCCATCTAGTTTAGCCCCAATCAACGCCGCGTGAGCGGCGTACTGGATACTCTTGGTGGTGAAAGTCGCCAGAAGTGCGCAATTTAAGTCGCCGGAAGTTAGCAATTGACACATGACTGAGGCTCTGTTAGGGTATACTTTAGGCCTGGATAATTTAGGATCGTTATTCTGAAGATAGCTAGAAAATGTGAGAAAATGATTTCTTGGGTATTGCTTAGACTTAGTGGTATCTGCAGATTTTGGTATGGCACTCATCTCTTTAAAACAGTTGTTCCATACAACTAATGACAGCCAGGTAGTCACCTGTAATAATAATAATAATAATAATATATATATGCCAGGAAAGACATCAATCATCCCTTTTGCATAACTAGAAGTTCTTAGTTCTAGTCTACAAGATGGTTACATAAGTAAGTCAAAAGTTAGTAGTTAGTAAGTAAGAAAAAGCCCGGCTCTCCTTTCAACTACGGCCAAATCAGAAAACAAAGTGAGGTCGACATGACTGGCAGACCCCGCGCTGCGACTCACATTAGCGACCGCGTTCACTTACCGCTAATTGCGACGCATTACGGTGTGGAATAGGGGGAACGAAACAAGTGACATAATTACTGTGTTTTGGCAATAGACAGCGTGCAGTACCCTACTGTCATCATACGGTTAGGGTTTGGGGTAGGGGTAGAGTTTGGGTTAGGTGTAGGGTTAGGGTTTGGGTTGCTACTATGAGTTTGTGCGAAGACGAGATGCGGCGACACTAACCGTAACCCTAACCCACACCTTAACCCTAACCGTAACCGTATGACTATGATTATTGCAGGGCAGTGTACGCTGTCTATCGCCAACACACAGTAATTATGTCATTTGTTTTGTTTCGTTCCCTCCTGTCCACTCCGTAATTGCACTGCAGCAAGGGGACAGAACTCCGACTAACAGGCCGTCTACTGTTGTCTACCGGCCGTAGTTGAAAGGAGAGTCAAAAGCCCTATCTATTCTCATTCATTATAAAAAAAATAAAAGTTCACAATTAAATTAGTTATGATACTCATGGTGATTCCCTTCTTATTTACGGCAGTTCTAACTTACCACTTGCGACACTGAAGATAATTTTGTAAATGAATTAAAGCACTCCGTGTCTGTGGAAACATGACTTCGTTTACTTCAGCTTGACTACTACCCTGATCAGCCATTGTTTTGGTGGCTCTCTTTTCTACGATTTGTTTTTCCCGCGGTCTTCGTTTCCGGTTTCCGACCTTGATCAACCAGCTTTTGGCATTCAAAAATATGTTCCTAAATAAATTGGTCCAGAACTTGCTAGCAACACAGTAACCTCCAACAGACAATTCATCAACATCATCATCATCATCATCAGGTGCCCTGTCGACTGGCATGGGCAATAATGGCGATCATGCCTCTCCACAATCTGCAATCTTCTGCAGCATGTAACAGTTCCTGTGTTGCCAAGACTGTCAAGAATTGTCTCTCGCTGTCGTCCTCTGTCTCTCCTTCCACAGATCTTGCCAGTGGTTACATCATGTTCCATTTTCCGTCTTCTCATAACATTGCCGAAAAATAATGTCTGTCTCCTTCTGAATTATGTGATAAGTTGTCTTCGGGTTCCTGCCTCTTTCAATACCTCTTAGTTGCTCTTTTTGGCGCTGTCCAAGGTATTTTAAGCATTCATCTGTAAAACCACATCTCCGAGGCCTCACGAAATTGTTTGGCCTACCTACCGATTGTCCAGGACTCACAGTCATATGTTAAAGCTGGATGTATGTAGCAAGCAAAAATTCTTTTTTTTTAACCTTCAATGACAGAGATATTGCAAAAGATGTTCTTATTTTTATAAAATGCGGACTATTTCATACAATTAAATGAGGCCGTAGTGCCAGGAAGGAGAGGCAGGGGTCGACTAGCACGAAGATGGGCATATGAAATAAGTGACTTTTTTGGCATGAAAGTGCATGTGTATGAGGCAGAAAAGCTAGCGAGAGACAAGAGGTTCAGGCAAACTAAGACTACATTATGCCTAAATCCAGCACTGCCGATATCCCAGTGGCTTGAGAAAAGATGTAAACAAAATCAGTGATGACAGTTCAAAAACTTTAAGATGTGCAGGGACAGATTAATCAATGCAGAGGGTTGGCTAATCAGGAGCGCCGCCACACATAAAATATTGAATAGGCGTAAGTGCTAATCTCCCTCTCCTAATAATTTTGTTTCTGTGAGGGACGGGCTGAAACCCTGTATTTGCGAAATTATATTAACTGTTAATAATTTCATAATTATTTATGTCTTGGTAGTGTTATTTTTATTACTTTCGCCCAATTAAACACGACTATGCTCTTTGAGCCACGCCTCCTTTCTGGGCTTCCTCTTCTGCCTTTCTAGCCCCCAATGGAGCATACATCCTCAGCCAACTCACGCCAAGTTGTTTTATCATTTGCTATCGCATGCAGCTCTCCCTACGTCCTTCCCATCTTTCTAATTTCATTCTCCAGCTCCTTTCTCCGTGTTTTTGCGTTCCTTTATTCCGATGCCCACGTGGGTTCCCTTCTCCGTGTGTTTTAAGGGGCTTATTCCTCATTTAATTGTGAGAGAAACAAACTCATAATTTAAAAAAAAATTGATATAAAAATTGATTATTATTATTATTGGCTCTCCTCCGAACTTCTACCCGATATTATGGCGGCCAAGAAAATAGCCTAACAGGGCCTCAGTCGTGTGTAAAATGACTTTCTGCCAAGGAACAAATCTTGATTCCTTGATTCCATGATAAATACCGTAAATCTGGGAGAAATGTGGCTTTTCTGCCAACTATGCTAGAGAGCCGGGCCTAAACATAGATAAACATAGTGCCCCCAGAGCAGCTTGCCTAGCCTAGCCTATCCGACTTGATACGGCCTTGTCTCAGCTCACCGCTTAACAATGACAAGAGTTGACGGCCCTGCACGTAATCCAGGTTCCGGGAAGAGCACACTTTCACAACATCGAAATTTGACCTTGTCGAACTTGTCACCAGCGTGAAGCCAGAAGTTACACGGTGAAATTGTTTGCCGTAGAGGTCACGTTCCCAACACCGGGTTAGGTGTAGCTAATCAGCTTGAATAGAATCCTCATCATTCCCCGTGTGGGTTCAGGGGCCTTATTGTTGGAAAAACATAAATAGACCCACTGCCTACCCAAAAGCATGTCGTAAGAGTCGACTAATTGGGAGCTTCATTTGAAGTCGCGAAGTCGGATTGCATCTGCCTGAAAGGCAAGGAACCAGCAGTCTGCATACAAATGAGTCAGATCAGTCAAACTGATGCACACGCAACACTCAGGTTCTGGAACACGACTGCAGTCAAAAAGTGGATGAACAACCAAAACTTTCCGCTAGAGTTTACAGCTGGTGAACGCGAAGAATCGTCATCATCAACATTTGTAAATACCGTGTGTTCCACCTATGTTTTTTTAACCATATGTGACCCCCATGATGCCGGTTTGGCGTTTGTAGGGGACGACTGGCGCAAACGCCCCTCGCCCTTTTTAACACACGTTGTTCTTAAAGTCCATACCGTGTGTCATTGGTTGTCGTGTGGGATTCACAACTTTCTGTCTTGTGTACTTTTAATAAACTCTTATATAGATGATCCTCCATGACATGATGTAAAACTGTCTAGCATCTTCTCTCTCGGTCTCCCTTTGCCTCTCCTCCCCTCCAGCTTTCCTACTCTCACGATGTACCCCATTTTTATCCTTCTAGTGACATGACCAAAGAATGTAGATCGTCTCTTTCTGATGTAGGCAGTCAGTTCTCTTCGTGAGTTCGTTTCTTTCTAGACATCTTGGTACTTTAGTTTTATACGACTACATCTTGTCGGCTTCGAGATTTGGTAGGGAAGTCCCCAGAACGTCCCATAGCATGGCGAAGAAGGGGGGGGGGGGGGTAGGCTTAGGCTTAGTAGTAGTCGCTGTCCATGGAACAATAAACGAACTGAGGCCCAGCTCCGCCAAGCTACACACTAGGTCACCTTTCATTTATTCTTGGTTGGGATGGTCAACGTTGCCTCAAGGTTAGACGGGTGTCCCAGTGTACTGCTGTATTCACAAAGCATTCTGCGTTGCGTGTTTTAATTGTTCTTCTGTGTGCAACGGCCAGACCACATTGCGTTCTCACTCGTAAGCTGAATTAGTGTTTGTTGGTGGGTGTATGACAGCCGTCTAAGATTTTCAGTAGGAAATAAGTTCATTTCAGCTGTCAGCATTGGCGTTCGCCAGAGAGTAGCGATGCGTGTCTGCAGCAACAAAGCGTTTTGCTGCCACCGCAAAATGTTAACAAGTCTGAAACCACCGTACGTCGAATGCACTCTCTCGCGGGGCCTAGGTTCCGTGTGTGGGGTAGCAGGGGTGGGGTTATGGAATGTTGTACTTGTTATGGGGTCATTCAAAGCGCTCACATGCTGTAATATAGGGCACGCGTGGTCGTCGGTAAGAGCGTCGGCACAAAACAGAGTCGCAGCAAGCTGGTACCCCTGCTACTTAAAGTTGCGCGTCTCAAAGGTTAAGACGCATGAATGAAAGTCTAATCACAGTGTCATGGCCGGACTTTGTCACTCAAAAGTGTGTAGTAGGCGGCGCTGGGCTTGAGTTCATTACCTTTTCCCTATTCATTTAACACTAGCCCTAACCCTACACCCCCCCCCCAATCCCATAATATGGTACTGCCCAGGGAAACCCCTAGGGATCCATAAAAATGCCCTCAGAAATCTCGAAACCGACCAGATGCGGTCGTATAAAATTAAAGCACAGACATATTTATTGCTCCTCTTTTTATTTTATTTTATATGTCCATAGTATTCTCGTCAGTCGTCTATAAAACCACATCTCCACAGCTTCCTAATAATTGTTCATAAAAATACCAACAGCTCTTCTGTATATCAGGATATGATTCATAAAGGTTTTAAGAAAATTGCCTTTGTAAAGAAAAAATGGAATTTGTTGAAGCCCCTCCAGATTATGAGGCCCAAAGCTGCAGCTAAGCTTATGCCTAAATTCAGCACTGGTTAAATGTATCTTGGTCCCCGTGTGGGTTCCGCGGCCCATTGTGGGAAGAACAAGAAGAGACCCATTGCTCCCCAACAAGCATGTCGTAAGAGTCGACTAACTGGGAGCTTCCTTAAAAATCGGAGTGCATCTGCCTAAAAGACAGGGAACCAACAGTCTGCATACAAATGAGGCAGATCTGTCAAACGGATGTGCATGCAACACATAGGTTCTGGAACAAGACTAAAGTCCAGATGTGGACGAATACCTAGAGTTTACCACCAGAGGGACCTGTTCGCGTTTCCAGGCCCATCTACACACTTTCTCAATCTGATCTAGGTCAGAGGGTTGTCAAATTGTATTACTTTCTTCTAAAAGAGTCTCGCGTGTGACATAAGTTCAGGCTGTGGTAGAGGATTTAGGATAGGGCCAGTTCTAGATGTTCTGTGGTCGTTGAAAGCTGTGTCGTTCTGCAGTATATAACACGCGACATCGCCACTGATGTAATGTGAGGCAAGACAACGTTACACCCCTCCGACGTAGAAGAGTTTGAGAACGTATGAAATGAAAGGTCAGTGTGTAAATGGGTCAGGAAACGTGAACAGGACCCGCCGGAGTTTAACGCTGGTGAAGCGAAGAATAATGTGTCTTGGATTTGTGTGACCTTTTATGGTGCAGTTTCTAGGTGAGAAATATGTTTAAAAAATTAATTAGCTCAAAGATGGTTCCTGTTCTTCTAGATGAAAGAAAGAAATAACAACCGATAAAGAACCCTTTTCCACGCCTTCAAGCGTATTTGATATAGAGGGCTAGACCTATATTTTATAGACCAATCAGCCTTTGATGGGTGGTGTGTTCAGAATAATCCCGACCGCCTTTACTTCCCAGGACTTGTACCTGGTACCCACTTAATGTTGGATCGACCTGGGAGTCGAGGTAATTTTGGTTCTTTTAGATACAATGAGGAATTTACAGCCTATAAAAAAAAAATCAAACAGTATCTGGTAAACTGCCCAAGAGAAATAATAATATTTACAAACCCCTTTGTAACTAATACCCAAGTGGCAGCTTTGAATTCGGACCATTCATACCACCCCACCAGTGTTGTATAATTACACATCGATACAATGAGATTTGCCTATGTAGCCTTGACATTTGATAC